CTCAAGGCCTTCAAGGCAGTAAAATTGTTATTTCAACTATTAAATATGTACATTCTTAATAAATTATTGCTAATATAATTATTAGAATTGTTAAGAATTGCGCAATATGAAGTTAAAGTATCAATAAATAATAAAAGTATATGTGTAAAAACACAATATAATAAAATATGTATATATTTAAATATAAAACAATGACAATTGTCAATTACAAGGTTACAATATTTGCACTGGTTAGTATTAAATTAAATTTTGATATAAAATTGTAAATAACTTTAAGCATAGTGTTCTGTTTAAATGTTTATATGTAATTATTTCTTTAATTGTTGAAAATTATATGTAATAATAATTTGGTTAAATCTTACCTTCAGTTGAAGCTAAATATGCAATTTTATCTTAAAAATTCACAACACAAACACTAATCTAACAGCTATTGATTTATATTTTTACCTCAGAACATTTGGATGATACTTCTTTCTGGATGATTCTTCTGGATAATAATTTCTTCTTTACAGATGAGGCATCCTTCTTTACAGATGAGGCGTTCTTCTTTACAGATGTGGCGTTCTCCTTTCCGCCATGTTTCCCGCTAAAAATCGATCATGAGAAATATCGATTATTTCAATAATCGTAGAAAGTATATTCCGATGGGGCGCTGTAATCGCGCGTTTCGCGCGAAATGATAATTTGGAATACAAAATAAAACATGCTGGTCTAAATCAAATACACAAAATTCATAAATTACAAATGTTGTTAATATATAAATTTGCACTCTGGTCATCGAGATGTTCTTTCGAAGCGATTTCGGCAATCAGTCGACCATCTGTATGAATGAAAACTAAAAACTTGAGATTAGACCTAACAATATTGAAATAATGCAATAAATAAGCACAAATTCTATCTCAGAAACATATGATATATTTTATTATCTTCTAACATATGATATATTACATGATAAATCCCACAATTGCGTAGTTGAACAAAGAGCCGAACAAACAAAGTTCATAAAATTATAGAATATCGTTATGACAGCATCCAAAAATGTATTAAACAACAATATATTAGTTAAACGAACCTGACAGTACACTGTAGAAAGTGGTAGAATGATAATGGAAATGTTACGCACTAACAAAATTCACAACTGTCAAATCAACACGTCTCGACGCCATGACACCCGAAACTGGCATCTCCCGCCAAATTTTCTTCTAGTCGCTTTCCTATTGGCTAACGCGACGTGCATGCCCATTGGCTTAAAGCGGCGCGCCATTGAAATATTTTACGCGCGTATCATTCAAAACTCAATCAATGTACTTTGTAGTTTCAAGCAAAATAATTATCGAGAATTTATGATGAATTTGTGATGCAATTTTATATTAAAAATTAGCATTTAGGCCTTCTACGCCTTACTTATTTGAAAAATAGAAAATTTTAGTATATTTGCAGTAAAATTGTTATTTTAACTATTGAATACGTACATTCTTAATAAATTATTGTTGAATTTAGTATTAGAATTATTAAAAATTACGCAATATGAAGTTAAAGAATCAATAAATAAGAAAATGTTGTAATAGAAGTATGTGTGTAAAAACATATAATAAAATACAAGATTACAATATTTTTACTGATTAAAATTGAAATTAAATTTTGATATAAAATTATAAATAACTTATAATTTAAACAGTATGTTTTTATAACAGTATGTTCTGTTTAAATGTTTATATACGATTATTTCTTTAATTGTTGAATTATTATATGTAATAATTTGGTTAAATCTTACCTTGAATTGCAGCCAAAAATACACGTTTTATTTTAAAAATAATACATATACAATACATACAGAAATCTAGCAACTATTGATTTATATTTTTACCTGAGAACTTTTTGACGATAATTCTTTCTGGTGATTTTTCTGAATAACGTTTCCTTCTTTACAGATGAGGCGTGCTCCTTTCCGCCATGTTTACCGTTTAAAAATCGATCATGAGAAATATCGATTCGAGGTTCGAGAATCGTAGAAAGTATATTTCACCGCTGGGGCGTTGTAATCGCATATTTCACACGAAATGATAACCTGGAATAAATCAAATTCTGGTAATTGTAAATCAAATACACAAAATTCATGAGAAATTCTTTAAAAAAAATGAAAATATTCACACATTTAACAAAAAATTGTTAATACTTTAAACTGAGACACGAGAAATTTTATTACGCAATAAAATTATTATTTTAACTATTAAATTAAATTTTGGTATAAAATTATAAATAACTTTTAGTATAGTATGTTCTGTTTAAATGTTTATATGAAATTATTGCTATAATTGTTGAAAATTATATGTAATAATTATTTGGTTAAATCTTACCTTGAGTTGAAGCTAAAAATGCAATTTTATCTTAAAAATTCATAACACAAACACGAATCTAACAATTATTGATTTATATTTTTACCTGAGAACTTTTAGATAATACTTCTTTCTGAACAATTCTTCTGAATAACACTTTGTTTTTTACGGACGAAGCGTGCTCCTTTCCGCCATGTTTCCCGCTTAAAACTGACGGTTTTAGATTACAATCTTAAATCGATTAGATCGATTACAAGAAACATCGATTGTATTTGAAAATTGCGAAATTTTGCCGATTGGCGCTGTAATCTTTCCTAAAATTATTGCGTGCGCATTTCGTACGATACGAAAATATATTGCATAAATTAGAAGAAAAAATAAAAATTTCCTGATTCTTTCCGTTCATTTTTACAAAAATGTTAATTATGTCTGCACATTTGTAAAACGTAAGAAATTATGTGTGTAATTTTATCTTTTAAACCATGGTCTAATTTTAAGTTAAAATTTAATAAATCTAATTTTTTTTTAATAAATTTAAATCTATCGAGTCTATTCTTATTCAAATAATATCATTGACAACATTGCTTATATTTTTTGATTTTAATTCCTATCGCCAATAGCACCGCAGCAAGATACATATATATTTGCCTTAGTCGATACAGCAGAATGATACTAAAATATTGAGGTTGGGTGACTCCCAGAATGTAATATTGTACGTCTCTGATATTGCATTATATATCTCTTCACATTATTATTATTTTTATTACATACTTCATTTAACTTTTTATAAGCTTTGTATCTGTGTTAGTAATTTTACACATTGTTACATATATATATATATATATATATATATATATATATATATATATATATATATATATATACATAAACGTTTGTATTTTAACGTATGAATGTAATATGAATAGAAATTTATTATTTAATAAGAACATTGAACATAAATAAAAAGGATTAAGAAATAATGAGATTTCTTGTGACCTTCTCCCGTTTGTCATATCTATATACATTTTATAAACATATATAGATACATACAAGTCTCGCGCCTACATAATGGTTTAAGTTTAAGGTTCAGCAAACGTCATTTCGTCAGTAGTGCTGCGGCAGCGGTAGCAGTAGTGTTGGAAATGAATGAATAAATGATTTAGTATGAAAAACATTAATTTTGTCTGTAATTGTTTAACATTTTGTGTATATAATTTGTAAATATGAAACATGAGGTAAAAAGTAAATAATTATCGCATAAATTGATAATTTATACTAATTGTCAGATTGATTATACTGAGATCTTGCATACTTAAATTTGCTGAATTTCTGGGAAATATGGATATACTTGGTCTTCATCAGTTCATTGCGGCACCAATAAAAAATCTTTTTCGATTTCAACGTATTAAAGAGTAAGATATAACAATTAATATTAATTAACAAATGTTCACATTTAGTATCTTGTTAATTTGCTTAACTTTTGCAACTAATGAAAAAATGATTGTTTAAATGGCTATGTAAAATTATAAGGAAACTAATTAATAATCTTTTACTTCTGCATGATACCTTATTTATATCTTTAATAATAAATTTTAATTTATTCTTACTTTTAAAGTATTTTGGAAAATAACTTTCTATATTTTTAATGTGGCATGTTATTTTATATTGTATTATCCTTGTACACCTGTATGAAACCTTAGAAGTTTATTTCCTTATGTAATATAACTGGTTTTAACACTTTTACGTAAGAAATTTAAGTATGTGTATAAATGTTGTTTAATAGAAAAGTACTTTTATTCAATAAATTTAAAGGAAAAATCACTTTCATAGATTTTTAGTTTCATTTTTTTCAAACAAATTTCCTGCATTGTATTTTTCAACTTCATTCTGTTTGCTAGTAGAATTAAAACTTTGCATGCATTGGGTATTTTGATTGGGCCTATAAATGAAATGCTACTCTGCTTGTAAGTGGACAAAGAAGTAATGTTTCCTATGGAAGATTCAAATCATATGGATATTCGATTATTGAATCTTTACAATGTTTGGGAACATATGGAACATTATCGTCGAATGTAGATTGACAAGTAGGTATTGTATGTATGTGTGTATTAATATTTATGTAAATTTAGTATAAGTGCCATTTTTAAAGTAGTATTTTAAAGTAGTATGAAATCATTTGTTTTATTTTTTATTTGTTTATATTTGTAGAATTGTATGTTTATTCTTTCACTATTGTACTCTTTACTTATATAAATTAATATTAAACAAATTGCTATAGTCTTACATTGATATTAAATATACGATTGAGGAAAATGCATTGAACTGAAAAAATCCATTACATATTTCTGAGAATTATTTGTATCATTTCGTACAATGCTGTATAATATGTATATAATTATGTATTAATGTGAACATAATACATACTGTCATATATTGATGATACAACAGTTCAGTTTATATTAAAATATTTAATCAAACATAGAATTGTCAATATGTATAGTATCAAAAATAATGAATAATTAGAAGAAATTACAGAATAGCATAAAAACAGCAAATCAGAAATGACATGAATTTTATTCTATGACTTTGAGATATTTTACAAACAGCATTGCACAATTTATACATGTTAATTTTTGTTTGTATTCAGTATATATAATCTATGTTCCTTATCTCTATTTTTGGATTTAGATGTGGAAAACAATTAAGAACAGGATTAAGAATTAATAAACTAATCTGAGTAATTCAAATATAAATAAAAAGTATGTATGATTCATTTTTTAAAAATAACAAATGAAAAGTTTATATTGTAATGTCATTATATTTGATAAACAAACATTTTTGTTATTATTTCATAGATATTTCTAATATTTTCACTATTTTTATACAGTGCAATTTATAATAAATATTCTTGTTTTATTTTTTTATATTATTAAAAATGATGGCTTTAAACTATGTTTGATCATTTTCTTTTCTTCTTGTCAGTTTTTAAAACTTACTTTAACAATGAATTAAGATATTTTCTCCAAAAAAGAGAATATATTTCTTAACATTTTTTATTTTTATAAAATCACTTGTATATTATTAAAGATTCTGAAATAAAAATCTAAGGAATCAAAACTAAAATATAGTTTAAGTTATTTAAATAATTTTAAGTTAAATAAATATTATAGCAAGTTTTCAAGGTCACCTTTCATTATAAATTTTTTGTTTATTTTTTTATTAAAATAATATTTTTTTATAAAATGAATTATTTTAAAAAAATAATACTCAATTATTCAGTATTCGATCAATAATGAAATTTATACGATAGGGTAAGATAAGGTAGCTCTAAAGTTTGAAATAATTTCAGAGAAAAATCAACATATTATGAGTATTATTGAAATCTTGAATTTTAAAGCATGTATATGTACTTACATACATGTATATATTTTGCCGTTCTTGTTATTTTTACTCTTGTCCCCGATGCACTTTGAGCTGACACAAAGATATATAAGTACTTACGTGTAACAACTAGTAATTCTCGAAACAACATCTGAATACTAACTAATGTAATTCAATCTCAATTGTGCAAGAGTTAAACGCATGTTACTACACATGTGTAATATTTAATGATTATTTCTCTTCATTGTCTTTTAATTGACTGTAATTCATGAATGAATGAAATCATAGTTCAAAGCTTAAATTTCATTACATTTTTTAACCGTTTTGTTAAAACTATTGCATATGATTATAAAATTTGAAATATCTAATAATTCTTTATATTATGTTTATTTTAATTAACTAATAATGACTAATTAATTTACACATATTAATAATTTAACATTCTGGTATATCATATCGTCGAGAGAACTTACAATTAGTAATTGTTATAAGTTGTCGAAATATACTCGTCATACGATAATTGAAAATTTCACTGTATCACAATTTTCTGTATAATACTCAGAATCCGCGTACAGTTTTGCAGGTTTGTCTATTAATCAAAATTGAAAATTAAATAAATAATAATCAATAATTAAATGATATTTAAAAGATATTTAAATTAATTAATTAAATTCATTATAATAAAAATCTAAAATATTTTTCTTGTTTAGATTATCTTATACTTCTTTGTTCCTATATTTTCAGTTTGATTATATTTTGAGAAACTAGCGTCAATTAGTGCCCTTTTTTAATAAGAGATTAATATAATCATAACGAATAATAAAAAATCACAACACGATTAAAATTATCAAAATTTTGTTTGTTTTTTGTTAAAATAGAATTAAAGTTTTAAGATTTATAATAAATGCATATATTAGAATATACTGTGAAGTTCGATGAACGTACAACCAATTGCTCCACTTGGTATTAATCATCGTTCATTGAGATTATGTGCTATGTAATTGTTATATATTATGCCCCATTGTAAGCAAAAAATATAATAAAAATAAATTCAAACTGCAAAAATGTTAAAAAAAAAAATTGATATAGACATAGCTAATACGGTCTTGTTTTCGACTTAATGATAATACATTAAAACATATTTTCTCACACCATGATATTTAGCTTAGATTATAGGCTACAACATATGTAATTGAATTTGTCAAATCATGTTTTAAATTAATAAAAATTTTATTACATTAACATTTTGTTTAAATTCTTAGTTACTAGTAAAAATGTCTTCTTCGATATAATTCTATTGATATTGCATATATGATAACATTATGAACTTACAAATATAAAAACAGATACGCTATGAATAATTAAAAAAAACCAAGATACACATATACACATTGAAATAATATGTATAGAGAATTGGACTAAATAAGACAGATTAATTATTAAGAGATTATTTTATTTAAAAATTATAACATGTTTTGTATGAACATTCATTTAAAGCATAATATTATATAATGCTATCATTAAGTCTATATTTCATATAATAGAAAATTCTTTACTCAATAAAAATTCTCTTACTCGTATTTCGGAATGATTATTCCAGTCGTCATAGATTTCATTGTTAAGCTCATTAACGTTATGCACGCAAGGGAAAACTACGTCGCTAAGTGCTAAATGGTCATTTTTTGTCCTTGATCACGCATGTACAGAATTTTTTATCAATTATATTTCTATCTGAGATATTTTCGTTATTTCAAGTAATACTTTTCAAATATTGATCTTTTTAAGGCATTTTGACTGCCCAATCTATTTTATATTATCTTTAATTCAATTATAAAACGTTAATAATATATTAATAATACGCCCCAAAGTATTTATTACTCTGAATAATGATTTATTTATACACGTTAATATGATCCTTTTATTTATTTCATACGTGTGGTAATGTATCAGTAAATATGAGTTGACTCTATTTTTTAGAAATATGATATCTCTTCTACATGTATATTGCACTTTATACAATTGCTGAGAGTATGAAACGTAATTAAAAAATTTACTATTCGATGATCGATAATATTAAGCAAATTATTATCATAGTATTTTCCTTTAGATGTGCTTATGTTTGCAACAATTACTTCTGTTCATAATCTCGTTCTTAGTAGAATATTTCAACTTCTTTCAATTCATATATTTGAACATTGCATGTTGTAAAATCAATGTAACTTTGGCAAATATTGCAGCTAATGCGATAATGTGATTTGCACAATCTCTTCAGTTATGCTGAACATTATAAGCCTCGGAAGTTCCGAGAATCATGAAGAAATTTCTAAAATGACTTTGAAAGATAATTAAGTCTTCAGACACTTGTTTATGGATATTGTATTGTTTCAAGACAATGAAGAAGTCTAAGGTATAATGCAAGTCAAAAGCTTTCCTTGCATAGATTAACCCATGGAATAATTTGGTTATTATATACTCTTCGATTTGTTTTCAAAAGCTTCTATTCCACGTATTATTTTTCAGAATTTATTTTTAAAATTACAATGGTAGTACAACCCTTTAATACATTATTTTTATGTATATGTATATAATTTCATTATAAATGACTCATTAAGGATAATTATACACCATGATTCTAAAATGATACAAGCGAATTCAAGGAGATTCTATAGTTTAAAATAAAATAAAAAGCAACAGAATGGCGAATGCATTAATAGGCTCATTTTCAAGAAAATCGAGTTTAAAAATTTATCAAGTATGCATTTATTTTTTGATTAATTTCTAACTAGATACAAATGAAGAAATGGTCAAGGATTATTCTACATATACAAATAAATCGAAAATATAAAATAAAATTTCATCGTTTAAAGTTTTGAAGAAGATAAAATTTAAATATTGATTGAAAATTAGTTCAATATACGTATATAATTTTTAAATTTGACTTTTTCAGAAATGAAACTTTGAATAAAACAAATTTTGTTCTACATTTTCAATTTATTTTTATGTGTAGAATATCAATTATCTATTCTTGTCTAGCTAGGAATCAGATAAATTCACGTATACTTAATAAGTTTGCGTAACTCGATTTTTTCAGGAATCAGGTCTTCAATTTTGATATTCTTGATTTTCGTTTCATTTGCAGTTATAAAATCTCTTTTTCCCCATACTGAAAAATTAGGGTGTGTATATACATATATATGTATAATTATACGTATATATAAATAAACATTAATATAATTTGTATGTTGACTAAACAATCACGTAAATATCTTTTTCTTTTTATCATACGTAAAATGTATATTAAAATAATCAAAAATTTATAAAAATATTTAAAATCGTATGATGATAGTATAGTATATTTAAATCGACAAATTTTTTACATAGTAGGTAATTCAATTATTCAGTGTTCAAAAAATATACGTTGGATTTCATTTCAGAAAATTTCTTTTACTATAATAAATTTTTTGGTTTTACTGTACAATATAATTGTGAAGTATTCTGTATATACAACTTTTTACTTTTTGGAAATAAAATGTTTCTACTACTTTATACATTTTCTATTCTTTTCCATATATTATATATCTTGTGTATAGTTCTATAGTAAACGTTTTACAATGTTAAAAAAATATACAGTATATAATATTTTAATTAGTACAAATAAATAAATATAAATATTGAAAAAAGACAAATTTTATTGAAATGTCTTAAATTCTTGCAGAATAAAATGGATGAATCCTCCAGCGTGTAGCAATGAAGCATATACACCTACCTCTGTAGAACACATAGCAAATGTAGCTACTCATGGGATTTGGGTTGTACCATCTGTCATAGGTAGCTGGGAACTGGTCCACCGTTCTATAACATGGACCCAATTAGTATCAGCTTATGTATATGGTACATCTCTGATTCTTATTTTTACGGTTTCGACATTTTTCCACAGTGTACATTATTGCAATAATAACAGGTACTTCCTATTACATATTTTAATTTAACTTGTATAGTTTAGTTTATTACATCTTTAGTTATAATTTTGTATTTACGAAATAATAATTAATTATATTGCAGACAGCTTAAAGAAACGTTGCATCGTTGTGATCGTGCCATGATTTACATTTTTATTGCTGCAAGTTATTTTCCTTGGTTAAATGTAGATCATTTTCCAGATGATGAAGTATTATTTATAATGCGTTATGCTGTTTGGATTATGGCAATATTGGGTATAGTGTATCAACAAATCTTCCATGAACGATATAAAATGTTAGAAACAATTTTTTATGTAATTATAGGAATTGGTCCTAGTTATGCTATTATTAATGCAGTAAGTATATAATTACTTTCAAGAAATCATTATAACTAGGGATGTTAGTAAATAATGAACACACATCATTTAAAGATTTTCACCTTACAGTATAATCAATATAACATTACTGAATTAAAATTGGGAGGATTGTTTTATATTTCTGGCATTGCATTTTTTAAATCTGATGGAAGAATACCATGTGCACATGCGATTTGGCACCTTTTCGTTGCTGTCGCAGCTGGACTTCATTATTATGCCATATTAAATCATGTCTTTCCTATAGTGTGTTCATCAGATAATTTTATGACAGCAGATGTACCATCATTACCAAAACTGTTAAATTCTCATATTGAAGAATTATAAAAAATTTTATAATATTGATTTTATATCACATCAAACATTTTATGAGAATTTTTAATACAAAATTAATAAAGTAAGTATTAAATATTAATTCGCAATTATGAGATTAAAATTACCAAAACTAAGATTTTTCAATTATTTAAAAATTTTTAAGAAATAGAGATTATTTAATATGGAGAATATTATATGTTACTTTTAAAAAATGACTATATTAAGTACCTGAAATACACGTATAAAAATTATACTCTCAAATTGTATTTGTCAAAATACAATTAAAAAAGATGATTTAAAAAAATATTATCTAGCAATCAAAATTATTATTTAAAGTATAAATCTTTATGTATTTGTATAAGGAAAGTAACATTTTAATAATAGTTTTTAAAATTAAATATAATAAAATAAAGTAATATATGGTAAAACTACGTTTATCCGAATATTGGAAAATATAATTTATATAGTTCAATAATAGTAAGAATTAATATTCAAATAACTGAATTTCAGGTTGCTTTATTTATCTTTTTATTCTTGTTTATATGTCTATTCTTGTTTATATTCCTTAGCATTTTATATTGAATATGTTTAAATTTTCAAACTTTTATCATTTTCAATGTTACAATATTACATAGCATAACATACATAGTTACAATATTACATATTTCATATATTGTATCTTGCAATTTCATGAATTTTTTAAATTTCAAATTTATGCAATAAGTAATCAGATAAAAATATACATTGTAATATGCAAAAATATTTATATATTAAAGTTGGATGATAGAACTTTAACTATAAATTGATATCTAAAATTGAGTATTAACTTCCTATGAATAAAATGTGGATAAACGAAGTTCTACTATATGTGCATTTTATATAATGATATAAGTTCATATAAAAGATATATCAGAGGGCCCAAATTTGTATAATAACTCAATATGTTAGTTAAATTAGGTACTGTGACAAAATTCAGATAAATGAAGTTTTACTGTAATAGTAAATGCCTAATATGAATTTATTACTTTAAGATGATATATATCTTCCTACTTTCTAAGATATTGTATAGTAATTATTTTTTAATAATATTAGATAGTTTTTTTATAGTATATAACATTTTATAAGAATCAGTTTCTATTGTGGACTACAAAGCAAATATTATTTAATTTACATAATATTTATCTAATGAATAGCGAGTAAACAAAATTGACTGTTCATAACTCATTTTGTATATTTAAAATGTGCCAAAATTTATATTTATATGTGCGTAATTGAATAATTTCTATAATATAAAATAGTATTCCTTATATTTTATAGAGTATTTAAATATCTTTAGTTATTTTTTTTTTCTGAAACACTCATGGTTATAGCACTGTAATAGCAATATAATTATTATTTTTTTTTGTCTTAACCATTTTGTCACATAATAAAGGAATGTAGTTATGATATATGCTGCTAATATTGTAAATTAATAAAATAATTGATATAGTTTTATTAATAAAGTTTTAAATTTATTGTTTTATTGTTTACTAATGTCTACATAACTTTATATTTTATTTTAAGCAAAGTGAGTAAGTTATGGGTAAGTTATCATTAAACTGCAGTTTTTTATGTATTTATGCAAAATTTTAAAATCCAATAATACATGGAATGTATATAATATTCGAAAATATATAAAACATCCAAAATATTACTTATAACATTTAGTGGATGTAACAAATTTCTATATTAGCATAATTTTTTTTAATTATGTTCTCCAAAATCTGAATTTACATAAAAATCTGCAATTTAGTTATCACAAACATTAGTATTAAAAATATTTATTTTTTTTATTTATTAATATTAAAATATTAATTTGTTGCATCTTAAGATACAATGCTTAAAACAAAGTTTGCTTTTCTTTCGTAAACTTTTCATAACTCTTTTATTTCTAAAAATAATCTTTTATTTTCTAGAAATTTTTTTCTCTGTATTTGTGATATTTATTGATGACATTATATACAGAACATTTATTGTTCCACACGGAACAACTTTAAATGATAATATAATAAAAAGTGTTACCTAAAATTTATGTTGAATAGATAACATATGAAGTTGAACAATTTCAAAAATATATTTCTTTTTTCACAATAAATAGCTTTCTTAATAAAAATATATATGCAATTTTTTTCTATCACATTATCTTTTCTATTACATTTATATCATAAAAATAATCTGATAAATGGACTCATCTAATATAAAATTATACAAAAATATGAATCAGATAAGATCGTATTTAAATTTATTTTTATTAGAAAAATCTCATTTATTCATTAACGTAATTTATACATGTAAAATTTCATTAATAATATTAATTTATTTGTATAAGAGGAAAAACTACAAAGACTATATTGTATTTATATGGGGATATTTATTATTCAAATTCAAGTCGTCTAGAGTTATACTAGAAGTATAGAATAAACTACTAGTACTTTTTATACTAACTAAAGTACTAGTATAAACCACTGGTATAGAATAATAACTTCCACTTCCACTAGAGGCGCTGATTTCATAAATCTATAGTACTTGAAGAAAGTCTCATATGTGTTTAATGTATTTGTATTAAATTGAAAGAGAAAATAATCTCATTGAGTTTATTATTATTTTTATGTACATATACAACACATTATTCCCTATGAATTTACTTACTGTACATTTTCGCAAGCAATTCAGATATTGTTTTTATAACAGTATTAATAATACAATCAGACGATATAATCATGCATCAAACAAGGAATATAATAATGTATCATCATTGCCTCAATCAAGACAATTTCCAGATTACACAGTATTATATTTACTTCCTATGGCCACAGTTCCTTATATTTTTAATAAAATGAAACGTAATTACACATTTCTTGTGGGAGCAACTATACCAATATGTGTATCTTTACAAATATTAGGTTTCATACCAGCCATGGAGAATTTAGCTTTCATGAGTTGCAGTAAGTTTAAATAAATATTTAATATTTAATATTTTTATGCAAGATTTAAATCTTTATTTATGCAATTTATTGTATATTTCAGATTGTATATTAGCTGCTACATTACACACTATTGGTTTTCTGTGCAATAATATAGTCGGAGCAATATATATTAAAGAAGATGAAAAAGATAAAGAAAATTTAGAAAATCAAAAAATTATAATCTCATATATAAGTTATTGGGGTCAAAGGATAGATTTAAAGACAACTGCTGATAATATTATTCCTTTTGCGGAAGATTATACCAATGCCTCAAATGATTTCTTTAAAACTCTACATGTTAAATCAACCAGTCAAAAATTCAAGGTGTACTTAAAATATGGAAAAGCAGGACCAAATTTTTACAATATTTTTGGATAACTTTCCGTAATTTATTTAGTTTAAATAAATAACATTTTAAATAAATGTGTTATTGCTGCAAATAATGCATATTTTTACCCATATCAATCTACAGCCACCTATAATGTGCATAAGCTCGATTTGCCTCGCATTGTTTGTGCATATCATATTTCTTTTTAATAACTCGTCCCTAAAATATATAATTTTACAGTTAATCAAATACAATTTTACAGAAACAATATTATATATTATTAACAATATTACATACTATTCAGTACTCATAACAACCTAAAACATTATATAAAGTTATACAAACATACTTGATTGTTTGCAGCATCAATAATATCTTTTGCTAATACATCAGAAAGTTTTTCAGCATTTCCTTTGTTCTGGGCAGTACTAATTATCCAATTCATAGATAAAAATTGGGCTCTATTTTCATTCATTGGTATTGGAACCTTTAACATTTTATGTTACTGATTTCAAATATTTACTTAAATAAAAATATATTTGTACCTGATAAGCAATTCCACCTCTTGATATTTTTTGTAGTTCTAAAACTGGTGTACAATTTTCTACAGCTTGATAAAAAATTACTTTTGGGTCTAATATAATATTTTCTCTATATTCAGGTGAAGTATTATAATATTCATTTAACTTCTTTATTTTAATATTTTCAAAAGTTTCATCTAATATTTTTCTGGCCATCTTCTTATTACCTTTCCTCATGATATAATTTGTAAATTTTCTGATACAAAGAATATATATAATTAATTATTTAAAACTAAAGAAATGTTGCCTACTCAAGTCAGAAAATTTAAGTTTACCTAATCAATTCATCATGAAATTCAGAACATGTATTATTCGTCTTGGCTGGTTTTACAGGTAAATGAGAAAATTGTTTTAATGCTGTTTCTTCTTGATACAATGCTTCTTGTTCACCTTTTTTGTAAATTGGCTTTATATAATTTGGAGGAAACACACTATAAAATTGAAAGCTATTTTCTAAATTGCATCTGTAAAACAAAATATCTTTATATTATTATATTATTATATGCTAATTATTTACTTACTATCGTCAATGAAGGTTATGTGATTAACTTCTCTTCATTACAAAATAAAATAACATAATACTAAAATTTATAAAGATTACCTTAAATTGGATAGTATTAGTGAATTAAATTTTCTTCCAACAAACATTTTTATATATATATTAATATATATATATTATATATATTGTCAGTTTTACACTTTGACAGTGAACACATATGTTTAAGAGTGACATACCATGTAAGTAAATAAGTATATACCTAGTTCCATTCACACGAACAGTATAGGAAATATATTTCATTAACTAATAACATTTGTTTAGTACAATAATTTTTTTGTCAATAATATAACATTGGCAAAATGATTCCTTATTTATCGATATTTTATTTTTTAGAAACTGATAAAGAGAAGTAATATTTATTAAATTCCATAAAATGATTATGTTTGCTACAAAACATATTTTCTTAATTTTATATTATTACTAATTTACGTAAATTAAAAAAAAGCTTTTTAATTAGATTTTTAAATGAAATCTAGTAGCAAATCATTATGAAGTTGAATAAAAAGCTATTTATTATTTACCAAATATGTTGTTGTTATTTTAGGATATCTTAATCATATATTAATAGTGGATTTTGTATTTTATAACAAGATAGATATTTTCAAAATAAACTTAATTATAAAAATGTATTATAGAGGAAATAAAAAAAACAAACGTAGAGATATATAGTATTAAAATAAACCTCTAAATCCTACATACTGTTTGTAACATAATAAATTATTAAAGTATATTTATTAAAATTAATCATCATTTTTATCATTTTAATATTAGTTTTAAAAAACTGCAACGAAAGAAATAACAGCATAATTCATAAATATTTGAAATTCATAAAATATAATTATCCAAGAAAGTCATTTTCTTGTTAAAATTGCCACCAGCACCTGCAACGATCGAGACTTAGAACTACAATAGTTCGTGAATCCCTTCATAGAGTTCCGAAAACGTATATATAAAACGAAAATAAATGAACAAATCGAAGCAACTGGATAAAAGAATTTTTTTACCAAGTTATTAAAATTCCGATATGAATTAATGTAAACTTATTATTATCTTTCTTTCTCATTTACTCCTGCATATTACACTGCATGCTACGTATGTCATTGTTGTTTCGATCATTAAATAAGTGTGATTACGATAAGCTTATGGCAAGGTGTGCTTTTGTAATAGAAAGAAAGTCAAATCGCAATTGAAATCAAGTGTTCTGGGAAGAGAAAAAGTAAGAGTTTTCGTATACGTTGTTTGCAAACGAACGAAATTGCACAAATGGTGCACTCACTGCAGAATACATATGCTAGATTGTTAAAATCTTGCGGCAAGGTCTCCTAAAAGGAGTGCCTTTAGTAAGAAATTATTCTTCTGGTAGTCAGCTATAAAAAAAATATCAAAGAATGACGGAGAATCGGGGGAATTTTTCAACTCCGACTAATCAAGGTAAGTCGCAGTGCAATGGAATTAGTGATAACTACATAAAAAGAACTATAATCTACATAACCTAAACATTAACTGCATCATTGACAGAAAATATCAATTTGATTTTGTGTGTATATACATACATACATACATACGTGGTATATATATGTTAATAGTAGTAATATTTATGTATTAAATTATCTACGTGTAATATTATTGATATCTAGGTTCTAGCAGATTTAATTTTCAACATTTGGATTTTGGATCTATTAATGATGTTCAGAATGAAATGTCAGGTAAAGTACTTATATCTATATCTATGCATATATATTGTAATATTGTAGTATAATATTGAGCACACACACAATACATTCATATCACATATATGCACGCTCGTGTTTGCATGCGCTTATAATTATATATATACACATACATTTCATTGTAATTTATCAACATTTACATTTCTCTTACAATAGAAAAAAGAAGACAATTCAAACTTAATTTTCAAACACAAGGAAGTAATATACCACTTAATAATTCAACAAATTCTTCTATTTCTAATTCAACTGGAACTGCAACTTGTTTACCAATGTAAGTTATATGATACATAATGTGATAATAGGATTTCTTTCATCTTAATTTTTATTTTATAAATATCCTAATATCTATAGCGTTATATTACTGCAATAAATTGTCTAAGTAAGTAATGATTTTCCAATTAATAGCAGATAATCTTATTGGGTAATTCAATAATATTCATTTGAATATTAAGATAATTGAGAAATAATATTTGAATAAAGGAGGCTCTACTGTATTTGAATTAAAGATTTTTTTAACTAGTTCTTTGTTTATTAATTATAGATCTTCTCGTCCAAATTTGCCTTTATCTTTACCCAAACTACCAGTAAGATCTTGTACTGCAGTTCCACAAGAATTGCCTGATAAAGCAAGGTATATATACATTTGTTAAATTGTACAACTATTTAATATTATTATGATGTACTTTAATTGTAGGGATAAGTTACGAATGTGTCAGTCAATGCAAAGTACTGGAAAATTACAGCTATCGCCAAATACTGTATATGATTTCACAAGTGAAGATCTTCAAGATCTAGGGGAAATAGGACGAGGAGGATTTGGTACTGTAAATAAAATGATCCATAGGATAAGTGATACTGTTATGGCTGTGAAGGTATGTACTTAATTATATTACTAAAATAATTTATATGATATTTATATAATTATAGAAAAATTTTTCTTATAGAGAATTCGTTCTACAGTGGATGAAAGGGAGCAAAAGCAACTATTAATGGATTTAGAGGTTGTAATGAAGTCTAATGAATGTCCATGCATTGTGCAATTTTATGGAGCTTTATTCAAAGAAGTAAGTTTTAACATTAACTTAAGTTTTAATAAATCTTTTAATATTAACTTTTCTTGATCGATAACAATAAGTATCATATTTTGGTTAGGGTGACTGTTGGATTTGCATGGAACTCATGGACACTTCATTAGATATATTTTATAAGTTTATTCATGAGGTATTAAAGGAAAGAATACCAGAACGTATTTTAGGAAAAATTACAGTTGCCACAGTAAAGGCGTTGAATTACCTCAAAGAAAAACTAAGAATAATTCATAGAGATGTAAAACCTAGTAATATTCTATTAGATCGACATGGTAATATAAAACTTTGCGATTTTGGTATATCAGGGCAATTGGTAGATTCGATTGCACGAACTCGAGATGCCGGATGTAGACCATATATGGCTGTATGTATAATGAGATGAATATTTAACAAAATCTGTAAATAATTAGAAGCATTTGAATTTATTGTAATCTTTTAGCCAGAGAGGATAGATCCTCAACGTGCAAAGGGTTATGATGTTAGAAGCGATGTATGGTCATTAGGTATTACATTAATGGAAATTGCGACTGGTTATTTTCCATATCCGAAATGGAATTCAGTTTTTGAACAACTTTATCAAGTAGTTCAGGGTGATCCACCACGCTTATCTCCTAATGAAAATGGAAATCATTTTACTATGGATTTTGTGAATTTTGTGAATACATGGTAAATTAATGTAACATTTATGAGATATTACTTTTGTCTTATTAGAAATTTTAGAAATTTTATCTTTATATATATTTTATCTTTGAATAATACTCTCTTTTTTCTATGGTACTGTTTTAGTTTAATTAAAGAAGAGACACAGCGGCCGAAATACAACAAATTATTAGAACATCCATTTATTAGAAAAGCAGAAGAAGACACTGTTGATGTTTCAGCTTACATAAGTGGTGTTCTTGATAATATGGTTCTCAGGGGATTGACGCCTTTTACTACTAATCGGCATTAAGTCGGAAATATAAGATAATACATATTTGTACCTTAATTTCTATAATTTTTCAAATCCTAAATTTGATTATTGTAAATGAATAGATTATTTGCACTTCGATTTAGTGTAGGTAGTAAAATTAATCAACATCGATCATCGTCGATAATAAATCATTTTGTGTAGAATCATATTATCGTGTCACAAAGTTCTTATATACATAGTAATTAGAAGTGTTTTAATAACAAGTTGACATTTATTAAATAGTGTATAGAAAACAAATTCTAAATCAGCTTTCTCATTGAAACTATAATATGGTTTCAGTGAAACACATTTATAAAGGTATAAAAAAAGATATCTTTATTAATTGCAATTATTTAAATGACGATTTGTAATAAAGTTAAATTTTGTCAATAATTAAAAACTTCAATGATATGTAATGATATTGTATGCAATATGTTAAAGTAAACACTACGTTTTAACTTTTTGTAATTTCATGGTATAACTATTGAGTCAATCTATTCAACGTAAGAAAGGAAGGAGGCAAAATATAATTATTCCTGTTGGAATAAGTAAAAAGAATATGTATTAAGATTTAGTACATTGTTTTAATGTATCTTTTAATAATGAAGATAATAAGAAAAATTTCTTTTCACACATAATGTACTATGATCTATATTTAATTTTTCTTATTTCTTTTTTTTCTATCAATATACATGTAAATATATTAAGTAAGAAAAATACGTCTATTTTTTTGGTTTATTATTATGAAAGAGGACTACATAAGCGTAAATCGTTACAAAATTATAAATCTTTTCTTTTAACAATATTGAAAAAAATACATATTTTTATTTCAAAAGAATGACAAAGTTATATCTTCAATGGAAATATCTTACTTTTATGACAATTTTTTCACTGAATTAAATGTTGAATATAAAAATTTCAAACTTTATTTAATTTTATTTTTTTATGAAATTTTATAAAAAATCGAATTTTTTATTTTTTAATACAAAGTTGTATGTCTGCATTTTTGATTATATTAAGATATAATAAAACTCGATTCAATTCAAAAATACTCAACAGCTATATTTACTTATTCAAACATAATTTTATTTGTGACAAAAATTTAAATATTAAATAATTTTTTTATGCATATATATTTCATAAATATTTTACATATTTTAAAAATTTTTGAATTGTTTAGCTGCAAATAAATGTACAACGACATAATAATAGCTATCGAAAATACTATTTATTTATAAGATTTTTTTACGAAATTACAAAAAAAATAAATTTTGAAATTTAAATTGGATTATCCATATTATTGAAATAGAATTACTTTTATATACATATACATATACATAATATATACATACATATATTCTCAAAAGTAAATTTCAACTATAATCAATAACTTTGATGAGCATATGTATCTATATATAAATGTAAAGCATTTATGTACACCTACATAGAGATACAATGATATCATTCACCTGAATCAGAAGATGATGACAGTAAATGAATGCTGATGGATATAATGATATAGAGTTAACATTGATTTTAATTTAAATTTTATCAAAATTTTGTGAATATTATTGCTCAATTATAACAAATGTTCATTAATTAATTGATATAAATTTTTCTGTGGAATTAAATCTTACTATTATTTAAGTAAAGTGTTATAATATCCAAGTACATAATACTGCAATGAACTTAAAATAACATCGATTAATATCGTGATTTTTTTCATTTTTTTACGAATCTATGACTCGGACCTATTTTGTACGAATTAATGAGAAGCGATTATTTATATATATAGATATATATAGATAGTATCAAACTATATATTATTTATAGTCTCATTTGTTTGTATCCCAATATTTTGGAATGAAAACATATTTGATTTGAAAAAGTAAATGAAACGTAAATTAATTGTAATATTTTATATCGGCTCATATTTCGTACAAGAATTTTGAAAAAAATAATTCCTTTTATAATTAAAAACTTGGCTAAATCTATTGTTAATACGACAATTACTCTTGCTATCGTTGCTATTGCTGTTGTGGTAGTTGGAATCAATTCTCTTGAATATTTTATAAAAGCACCATCATTCTCCTGAAATCTATACTCACATTCGCGTCTATATTTGTAACATCGCTAGGTGTAGTACATATCTGGTCTTTTAAGTTAACCATTGAAATACGTCCACATCATCTTTCATGTGATGACCTATAAACATTTCCTAAGAGGATATGTTAAAATCTATCGATCTCGAGTCGATCTGTACTTTTCAAGGAAATACTTTTTTTTCAAGTAGGAAGTAGATATTAGTGTTTAATTTGCATCCCTGATATTATTGCATACATTTCTCAAACTTTTAATATAATTTTTTAATTTTATTTTATTTTATCCATTTGTATATAAAAAAAAGAGATTTTAACTTTATTCAAGTTTTTAATTTTTAACTTAGTGAAAACTAGAAAGAAACATTTGACTTTCTTCTTTACTATTAAAAGTAAATATTAAATTAATATTAAAAATATATTTCAATCATTATAATCATTCTTTTTTAATTTTCATTATCATAATTTTTTTCTTTGTATTTCTATGAAGAAATTTATTACAATAAAAACTGTAAATTCTTCAAAATAATTTTGTTACAATATCGAAAGTAAAATTTGACTGAAATCCAAGAATTATTTTATAAAAAGAATTAAAAGAATTATTTATATTTACTTTCTTTAAAATAAAAAGAGATATTTATTTATTATCTTATATTATATATAATTTTATGTATACGTGATCGTATTGTTACATTTTTTAATTTTTATAATAAATAAAGCATTGTTAAGAAGAGAAAATATTTTAAGAATTATTTTGCTATGCTTTCTTTCATTTTTGCTTATTTTTCTAAATATACTAATCAATATTCTAGTCTGCTTAAATATAAATATAATTTACAAACATAAATTGGATAATATGTACTAGAAAAATAAAATTATATAACTCTTATTCTCATAAGATTAAGAATTAATTCTTTTTAAAATATACACAAGCACATAATATGCGTATTACGCAAATATACATATATAGACGGATACTTTCTAATTTTTTAAAATGTAAATTAAGTATATAAATTATGTATTTTTTCTTTTTTGAACATTTCTTTTATTTTGTAGAGACCTAAAGTATACAAATAGATATTTTAGATTTCAGTTTTAAATAATATTTACTAGATCAGAAAAAAAGATTTAAATATACACCTACATTTTATATATACTTTACATCTAAAATTTTTATTTAAACATCTATTTGAATCTCTACATACTTATATATAACTTTATATAAACAATTATATATAACTTTATAACAATTGTTATCTACAAATAAGGGTAGAAGCAGAAGATGAATAATAATCTAATAATTAAAGTAATATCAATATTTCTAAATAATGATGTAAAATTACAAGAGGAAAGAATCATGAAAGTATTTTAGCAACAATTGATAATGATGGTAGGTAAAACGGAAAGTGGCCATGAGTCACAACCTGACGCGACACAGGGAGGGTAGCAGGTGCTACTACTGTTGGTGCTGGTACTGTTGGTGCTGCTGGTGTTACCATTATTGCAGGGGTGGCCAGCTGGATAGGCCAGCAGGGGAACGGATGTTCCCAGGAGATTATTGATCGTGCATGTAGATACTTCCACTTGGACTACGTAGACAGCATGGAATTTTGCATGAAACGTATTGAATCTCCTTTTTTCTTTTAACTGAGAATATAAAATTGAATTTATACGTACATAGGTGTCAGAGATACACACTCTTAGAATACATTGGAATAGATTATATTGATTATTTATTCAATGTAGGTAATACCTGCAATCTCTTAATGAAGTTTTCGAATCCAAATGAAGTTATTGGTTCACAGAAATATAAAATAATTATTATCTTGTAATAATTATTAGATGTCTCTTTAGAAAAAAGCTAGAAAACAATTATTTGTTGATACTTTGCAATTTAGGTATGATAATATAAATCTTCTAAATCTTAAAATGATTTCCTTAAAATGAAATTATATTATAAAATATTTTAAGCGTTATAAAATGTGAGGAACATAATTGGGAACCACTTCCATATCCTAACTTTAAGCAAAATTGATTTAGGTATGTTTAAACGTGAAATGGTTTAAACGTGATCACATTAGTGTATAACTCAGATGTAACTCATATATTTCGAAATTTCAAGGATATGTTCATTCAATTTTTTTAAAACTAGAAACCAAATTTTTTCAAGAAAGAAACGATTTGATGTCTAGGTATATAATTCTTGCGAATTGATTTTGCTAGTTAAATGACAGAATTTTTTTAAAACTTATTTGATGAGTGCTTAATGTATAAGCTTATACAAAAAAGATTTGTCTTATTTAGTGGATTAAAATGAAGGGTAAATGGGAGAGACAAGGAATGTTACAAATTTTCAATTTTCTTAATAAAGCAAATTTGTGACATTCTTTGTTTCAATATTTTAGTGTTCTAGTAAAGAAATTAATACATGAAGACATATCAGACATTATAACATTATAATAAATTGCATTTAATAGTCCTTGTTATCGTGAACAAAATGTGATATAAAACAGAAAATCATGAAAAATGGACGTTTCTTGTTTATTCCTCTTTTTCTTCAAATGATCTTTAAATTTAAAAAAAGTGATGAAAGTAATAAAAAAAAATTGAACAGCGCACTTTCAATTCTTGTGTATTTTAAATTATCTTATTTAAATGCATTCACTTAAAGTTTAAATACATAAATTAGAAAAAATAAATATAATAATAAATTTAAAGCAGCTAATATTCGAACTGAAATCGAATGTAAGGGCGGCGCTGGTTATCTAATTGCAGGGGCAGCTATAATAGGAAAGCAACTCCATTTTTAGGTAATTTTAGCAAATCAAAGAAAAAGCAATTCAGACAGTAAAGTTAGATAGGGACTGTTTCAAACCTGCTAGAAATTTAGAGCATATATTATTGAAGCTAACTTCCTTGAAAGATCATATTTCTTTTTACAAAATAGGACGAAAAAATGTGTAAAAAAAGTGAAGCTGCTTTCTTCTTGCTGCAAACCCTGCAAGTTCAATTGCTGAATGCAGTATAACTGATAATTCATATATTACATACGTATAACTCATTCAAGTCTGTTTCATGATTCCGACGAGTATCAGAGAGGGTTGGTCAACCATTGGATAACGCCCACACAATGGACCTGCGTGTAGGGTGAAATTGCGTTTGGATCTCGCGTAAATTCGTCAGGAAATTTTCATCCTAACGATCAGAACGGGCATCGACCAATAATAAGCAGCCTTCTGAAATTTAACACGCCATTCTCAAACACGTCGTCGAATAGCTACGGTTCTCTCCCCTCTCTTTCACGCTGGTATATCGCGAGTGACGGTCACTGCCTTTCTGATTCGATCAATGAAAGTACCTGTATCAGACATTCAAGCTATGCGACCACCCCTACTAACAATGAAGCATATGACCACCTGATTTTCATTTACTTGCCGCACATTAGTATTTCCATCACCGTCATATTACAGATTGTAACCTTCAAAGAATCATTTTTTTTTCTTTTTTCTTTTTTTTTCTCTTTCACGGCAGGCGTAAGTGTTAAGACAGGCATTACTCTGATTGGCCAAAAATACCAATATAAATGAGTAAAAATATCTGTTAAAACAATGAAATTGTGGATTCTATAATGATAGTTCTAACAGTTTCTACAGAAATAATATTTCTTAAACGCAACTACCGAGAAAGCGTTAACAGTGGAGCAGATACGGGCGTATTGTATCAGTAATACAGAAGGGATGTATTTCTAATTGATGGATATATTTTTTTTTTTAAATTACAATTAATCCTCGTATTATCAATTTGAATTTTAGTATTAGTAGTTGTGATCTACCAGCTTCAAAAATTAGGCTCCGCATCAACGATTTGTATTTTATAGTTGCTCAATGAAAAAAGTTTTTTCAGATAGAAAACACTTAATTAAAGCGTATGTCTGAATATTCAATATTTTAGAATATAAACTAGATTTATATATCTAGTTTATACAAGTATACCTATAGATTTTGCAATATTTTTTTTCATCGGTTTTTTTTTCATTCGGTTTTATCATCTCTTTTTTAATTATTTTTTTCCATATATTGAATTTAATTGAATTTTTTAGATAGTAGATATAAATAATAGATATATACCTATTATGTATATTTACAAATATTTACAAATATGTAGTTACCATTGACTAATTGGTCAAGTACCACTAATTAGTTGTAGTTACAAAAAAATATCACATGGGTAAATACTACAAATTGTATAAAATAGGTAATCTACCTATATCATCATTGAATTTTAATTAATTAGTATATCTAACAAAGAAACAAACAAATGTTTTTAATGTAGATATTTAAAACGATTTTTTACTAGTGTCTATTAATGATAATTATATTTATTTATTATTGTGTAAATTTTTAGATGAATATAGTTTGCATAAACATATTAATTATTCTAAATTATTTATGTAGTTCCTTATGCGCATTAATAAAGTCTATTCATTGATAAAAAAGATTTTTCGTAAAGAAATTAATTTCAAAAGAGTTAAGTATATTATCAGGAATTATCAATATTAATGTCTATATGTAGACATAGGTATCTGTTTACAAAAATAGAAATCATATAAAATAAATAATTATAATAAATTAAATCAGATGGATGTTTAATAATTATTGCTAATATGCTAGTAATTTTTCACTTTCTAGACTTAATAGAAAAAACATAATATAAATTAGAAGGATTAGCTCAATAGAAGAAGTAATCTAATAAAAGAAATTGAAAAAAAGAAAATTACAATTTACAATGATGAATTAATACATTTTCATAGAAATCTTGAACGTACAATCCAGTTTTATTACACGAATTATCTATCATTCTTCCTGCATTACATATTCCGCGCAATTTTAAAAGTACATAACGTGATACTTTTATGCGTGCAATATTATTTTCCAATTCTGTTTTAATCGAGTCTATAATTATGAAACAAAAGAACCCTTTCTTCCAGGAAACTTTTCTATAGAAAGTCTTATTTGTTTTCTTTCTTTTTTTCTTTTTTTTTCTTTATTTCCTTTGTGTAAAATAACGAGAAATGGATGAAAGCAAAATTTCGAGGGTAAAGAATTATGAATAAAAAATGCGAGGGCGAACTCTGCCCCCCCCCCCCTCCCCCATTTACTGTCCAAGGAATTAAAAGAAGGGAGAGAGGTTTGCACGCAGGTTTGAACAGCATGTACATATGGTCCACCTGCAAAAAGGGAGCCAACACCTGTCACGCACACCAACCACGACCAATGGTTTACGGCTTACGGCCAGCAAGTAGATCCAAAGTGGGGGTTTATCAGGGCTTTCGTTACCCCTTGGTACTAGTTTCATTCGAACGATCATGCGGTTTACACGTTTTATCCTATATTTTCGCGAGAATGTACGTATGTGATGTAATAAATTGTAATCGGGCTCACGATCGCAAGTTTCTTTATGCGCTGGCGTGAATTGTTTTGCCGAAAGTGAAGGATCTAAAGGTCCCGTTCGATGTATTGCCTTTGGAAACGTTCAGAGGTGTGTTGTGACTTTTAAATGGGAATTTCGCTTGAACACCAATTGTAAGCCTTGTGAACCTCCCGTATTGATTCACTCTATTTGTTTTTACTGTTGCAATGTCAGTCACGATGTTTAGACGTCGGCGAATTTAAATGCGCGAAACGGATGTAATAAATTTCTTTGTCATCGATAGGATACATGTACGTTCGTACTTTTTAGATTCTATTGTAGATGTAGATTGTTAATGCTTGATTGCATGCAAAAGCATTTCATTTTACCAAACAAGTAAGCACGATAGATCTTCGTTTGTACGAATCGTTAACAGTTAATGTTGAGCCTTAAATATACGAATTCGTAATTGATCAATTATGATCCAAAGAAATAAGAGAAAGCTCGTGAGCTTTTATTATCTGAAATCCTCGGCGAACACTTGTCCCCCGACGTGTTCAGACAAACGAAGTTCTACTGTATATATTTAAACAAGTATCTAATGTTTAAACTTAATTAAGATAAATGTGAATTTTTTTCTTAATATATATATTAGATTTAATACAACAAACGTTATTACATTAGAGGAAACATTAAGCGCAATATAAAATTTCATATAAATGTAATTCCGATTGTATCTTACTAATATCCGGTCGGATTAGGTGATATTAATTTTCTTTTTAACGTCATTGAACAAGGTATGATGCGCAAGACAATGAAATAACGGCATATTGCAAGAAATCCTAAAATCATTGGTAAAATCATCACAATATTCTGGATATATACTTATTAATATACCGATCGTAATTATAAATTATAAAACGCGAAAATATATCGATACAAGTTTTTTTAAATTTTATCCTCGGATCGTAGGTTTGAGAAACAATAGCAATAAATATTGTCTCGTGATCAATGAATGCTTGTGATTTCTTTTTTTTTAAACAATAGAAATAGGAAACAAACAGAAAAGAAACTATATATAGATACATTCGAATTTTCGATCATTTTATCCAGGCTTTTAGCACGCTTTCGATGCATATGCGATGAAAAATGGTGAAAATGAAGGCAGAATCGATCGATACTGAGAAACCAACGAGTCGTGGTGTATCAATTATGAAGGAGAACGTGATGCACGATGATGATTATGGTGTTGAAGCAGAATTGACAAGTCTTTCATGGCTGCAATCCCTCGATATTACAAGTGCTTCTAGTCTGCCTACACCACCTTGTTCTCCATCTCCACCCCCCATAACGCGACAGCCAAGAAAAAAGCTCTCACCCCTGATCAAGGCCGAATTAGGTAGGTGAAATTGATTTTATTGTGCATTGCTTTGTGTGCATCGTGTATTTTCTGTTATTATGAAAAATCTCACGGTCGATATTTTTTTATAAATGACGGGAATTGAGGGATTTGCAGCGCCAATTTTTAAATATTTCGTATTTTACTTTTAAAAATGTCTTTCACTTGGTTAAAAAAAGATAACACAAACACCATCAAGCGTAAATACTGATATATTGATTGTAAATTCATAGCAACTTTTGATTGCTCTTTTGTTTATTAAAATTATAATGAAGCTGCCTTCTTATTGCAGCATCTTCTTCAATCATCGCAGCATTAAAAAGTAAAATTCTTTATTATTCGATGTGTAAATGAATGTTACTATGAAACTGAAGATTTTTATCCAAGAGACAAAATTGCACAAAATGTGGAAAAATTGAAATTTGGCACGTGAAACATTTTTCTATCGAAGATCTGAAAATAATGTTCACATTATATTCTCAAAAATACTAATTTGCATAAAAATTCGCAGTCTAATTATTTAAAAGTTTAATTCAAATGTAACTTAAATTTTGGTTTGTAGGATATTGTATAGTCAACACAGAGGTCTACAGTTTATGAACATACTAAAAAATTAAAAAATACAATAATGTGAAATATATCTACAATTAACTTTCATGATAAAAATAGCAAATTCAAAATCGTTATTGAAAAACATAAAGGAGACTTGAATTTTTGAGACAATTTTTCATCGATCGCGCCAAAATAAGTAGTGAATATTCATTTTATAAACATTATTTGTGTAAAGGAAATAATATATGCATAAAAAAAATAAATAATTTTCACGCTTGCATTTATGCTTTCCTTCTAAAGAGTTTTAATGCTTGTTTTGTTATGTACGCATTCAGTATAATGCGGGATATTGATGTATCTAATCTATGTAAATACACAGACGTTCGAGAAACATAAAGGAAACTAAAACATAAAATCATTATGCTTTAAAAATACCGAATAAGTTAATTTTGTCTGTTTAGATCTAGCAGCGAATGCTGAGAAGTATCGAACTGACCCAGACGCAAAACCGCCATTTTCGTATGCCACGATCATTTGCCTGGCAATGCGTGCGAATAATAACAAAGTGTCACTTTCGAACATATATGCGTGGATTCGAGAGAACTTCTTATTTTATAAATACGCTGACCCAGCCTGGCAGGTATAGTCAAAAATAAGGGAAACTTTAATGCCGGGAGTATTCTTAGCAATGTTAAAATAAAAATATTGAACCATCATATTAGTAAATTAGTATATCATGTACACCAAAATTATTAGTAAATAATTAAATTGACAAGTATTATTACTAAAAGTATCACTTTTATGCTTGGTAATAATATTTACCTAGTTCTTGTGTCTAGCAATAATATCTTTTAATGAAATAGATATTACAACGGCTGTTGTTTTATTATTTTTTTTAAACAGAACTCGATCCGACACAATCTATCGTTGAACAAATGTTTCGTGAAGTTGCCACGTTCGAAGGACGAGCCAGGGAAAGGCGGTTTCTGGAAATTGGACTTGGAAAGAATGGAAGAGGGTAGAAAATCGAAGCGACGCGCGACCATGTCGCAACGAATTCGTGGATCAAAGAAGTTAACGTCGGCGAAGGCATTGGTAACGAACAATGTTCAAAGCAGTGGTACCCCATCGATCAATTGTCCATCAACGTTGTACGAGACACCGCCCAGTAGCGTGTCTCCTCCAATTCCAGACTGTCTCTCAGAGATTCCTGATTCTACCCAAGTTAGTTTAAGCGAAGACGATCTCACTGGTTTGCTAATTGCTACCGCGGGCTGGGATGAGAATCAGTTGGATCTTTTAGATTCTCTTCTCGATACTCTTTAAAAGATTGACCGGTTAAACCTTTTTGTACACACAAAGAACTCGAAAATTATATATATGTATTTAACTCTCTCTCTCTCTCCCTCTCTCTCTCTCTCTCTCTCTCTCTCTCTCTCTCTCTCTCTTTCTCGACTTCTCATTATCCGAGAACTTATACATTTACGATATCTTTTTTTCATGGATACGAGCAAGTGGTTTCAGTTTTGTATGTTAGGAGTATTTTCAATTTGAAAGTTAATTTAACTAATTGTGAGAAAAGTTCACTGTATTGGTAGAGGAAAATTCACTATTTGAGATAGCCTTCGTAAATCGAGTAACGTTGATAGAATTTGAGAACAATTTCAGCATTGTAACTGACATAAAATCTAGTAAAATGATCTGACTGGTCACTACGTGGCTGGTTGTAAAGGGATATTTTCAGTGTAGTAATAGAGTCAATGGTCCAATCTAGACAATTAATTTCTCTCTATTAAATTGGACCATATCTATTTTTCATTAATTTAGATAAGAATTTTTATTCAAAACATACATGCTGTAAAAACTAAAGGATAACTCTAAGAAGCATTTTACAGCATACTAAGAAAATCTGAATATATTTAGGTATTTGGCAAAGTAATCAGTCGCTGTCAGACTGAAAAATTCTAAACAGCATGCTGTTTATTGTCTTCTTAATAATTTGAGATTTCACCTCAAAAAAAAAATAGCCTCAGTAAACAAAAAACAGTGCAACTTTTTACGCCAGATAAAAATTTCAATTGGAATTAATTAATTCAAATAATAATATCATTATTTATTCGCAGCAATAATTATCGTTGTTATTAATATTGAAATATTTGTATTTTAATACGGAAGACATGATTTGCGCTTATTACTTGACTGAATACATTAGACAGTTTAACGATAAAATTGATACCTAATAATACTGTGTACGAGAAATAATTATATAAATATTTGTAACACAGGAATTTGCAGTGTGCCTTCGAATAAAGAATACATATTTATGATATCATACATTTGCCAAGTTGAATAATTCGTGTAGAGTATGTTTCGTATTCTTGCTTTTAAAATAACGAAATACTAAGTGCCTTATAAATACATAAATATCGCCAGCAAAACAAATTATACTCTCAATTCTTCACTTCAATTTCAATGCAATTTCTGTTGGAGTGTTATTCTGCAAAAATTGAAATATAACGCAGACAATTCGTCAACACACTGATCGTAATTCGCTTACGTACGTATTAACGTTTCGAAACAATAAAATAAACAGTGAAATAAAAGAAATCTCGCGTGGATCATAAAAAAATTGTCTGCAATTTGTAATACTTTTCTGTAATGTCATAATTCTGCAAGATTTATATTTAGATAGGTATACATACCTACACTCTCGTCCATAAATCACTGGATCAAAATGAGATATTTGTGGTCGAGAGTATATGCAAGTATATCTCCTCTTATGAAAACTTAATAGAGTTTTTTTATATTAAAATCCCTGATATTAGCACTGAAATATCATAATCTCTCAATTAAGTTAACGAATCGATATTTTCTAGAAATTATTTCTCTAGAGTTGCATATTGAACGGCGATTACTATTTATTAATCAGAACGAGTAGCGATTGAGTAGAGAACAAAGAACGATCAATTGATTGTCATTGTTGTTATTACATATTTCTATAAATTTGAATGAAAAATTCATTTCCGTCCAAATATTGTTTATGATATTTTGTAAAATAAAATATTTTTATGCGCACTGTACATCCTCCTATTTTTCATATACTTTCGTCAACGTTTCTTTTTATTCTCACTTAATTAATAAACAAAAAAAAAGAAAAAATAAAAAACGAAAAAAAAAGGAAAAAGATATGTATTACCAATAGGCGTATTATTTAGTAACTATAAAGGTGTGCACATGATTTAATAACTTATGCACTAAAGTGATCGTAACTTCTAAGAATCACTTTGTATTGAATTGTAAGTGAAATGTAGGAATACACCATAAAACAGTATAAATACTTTGCATATGAATGTTTTACCAAAACGAAAATAATTATTGACTAAATATAAAGAGCGAAACTTCCATTGTAGTTTATATTGTGGATTTTAACATATTTTAATGATATTATTTGTAAATAAATCTTTTTCCTTCTCTTAAGTTCGCATCTACGATGAAATATTTATTTAAAACAAACGATGTAAAACCTTTATCATAGTGGGTCACTTTGTTTCTCTCGTAAACTCAAATATTTGAAATTTAATTACACTTTAAGTTTTGAAGAAATGAATTTAATTGATAATTATGTTATGTAAACTTGAGTTACATCAAATAAAAGGATTTCAATCAAGATTTGTTCCCATATGTAATCTACTGTTATTAAAAAGTATGTTCTTCCCTTTCATAAAATATATAAGCATTTAATACTATGCGCAAATTTTCTTGTCAAAATGATCATGATATTTTAATAACGACATTATAATAAGTTCTTATTGTGTAATGAAATATAAGTAGATATAGTAATTATAAAACAGAGTATGTTAACAATATTGGAAATTATCTTGACGAATATAAAAAAAATACATAAATTTATGCATGATGAAAAGAAGATGAATAGATGAAATAAAATTCGATTTTTGACAATATGAATTAGCATAAATATTAAATTTGTATTTATTAAATCAGGAGCACCCAACTATGAGAAATTCTCTCAAAAGGGAATTTCACGATTTTTAACGGGGGCGAATCGCGCAAACTTTATCGTGCAAAGTATAGAGGAAATGCAGCGTATTTGGAATATCAGTTTGTTTGAAATGAATAAAAAAATTACAACAGCGATAGAAACAAAAAAAGCTATGTAACATTACAAAACAAACAAAAGGTATTTAAAACTTTCATCTAATTAAAGAATGACTACGTTTAAATTAAAATTATAACTAAGTTATTGATTTAAATTTTTACCTGAGAACTTCTGGATAATACTTTTTTCTGAATGATTCTTCTGAATAATACTTTTTTCTTTACAGCCGAGATGTGCTTTCTTCCGCCATTTTTCCCGCTTAAAAATCGATCGTAAGAAATATCGATTATTTTCGAGAATCGTAGGAAGCACATAAATTGTGTATTTCACTGTTGAGGCGCTGTAATCGCGCGTTTCGCACGAAATATTAATTTGAAATAAAAAAAATAAGAAACTTTAATTAACTACACTTAAAATTCATGAGAAATTCTTTAAAAAGAACGAAACTACTGACACACTTGATGAAAAATCGTCAATACTTTAAACTGAGACACGAGAAATTTTATTTGGTTAAATAATACCTTGAGCTGGAGCCAAAAATGCACGTTTTATCTTAAAAATTCACAACATAAACACAAATCTAACAACTGTTGATTTATATTTTTACCTGAGATCTTTTGGATGATACTTTTTTCCGTACAGTTCTCCTGAATAACACTTTGTTCTTTACAGACGAAGCGTGCTCCTTTCCGCTATGTTTCCCGCTTAAAACTGACGGTTTACGTTACATTGTTAGATCGATTAGATCGATTACAAGAAACATCGATTATATTTGAAAATTGCGAAATTTTGCCGATTAGCGCTGTAATCTTTCCTAAAATTAAAATTATTGCGCGCGCATTTCGTACGATACGAAAATATGTTGCATAAATTAGAAGAAAAAATAAAAATTTCTATTTTCTAATTCTCTCCGTTCATTTTTACAAAAATATTAATTACATCTGCATATTTCTAAAACTAAGTAATTATATAAATGAAAATAGTAAACTACGGAGACTTACTATTGGTCATTCCACGGTATAATAACACATTCACACGTGTCACAAAATTCAGCACCATAACCTTAAACTTAAACTGTCAAATTTTTGACGTACATATTATAAAATATCTACTGTAGCATTATGATAGATGCAAAGAAAACAATTATACAAAAATTCAATACGGAATTGGGGAGCGATTTAAAAGGCCTTAATAAAATATACGAGTTTCACCAATCTCTTAATGAACAGAAAAGTAAAATTGAGGAGTCGGTATGTATTTGAGAATGTATTATTCTGTTAGGATTCTGTCAAAAATATTACATGTATTACTCCTATATCTTCACAATCAGGCATAAGAAAAATTTTTGAACATCTCTTAAATTTTTAGTTGTCTATGGCATCGACTGAAGCTCCGTCAAAAGTAAAAGCAGTTATAGAAAGTGTTGAACAGATAAGTATTGAATTTCAACAATTGGAGAAAAGTTCTTCAGAGTTTAGAAGTGACATACAAGAAACAATGCAAGAAAATGATAAAAGCTTGCAAGAAATGCAAAAAATTATTGATGTTATAAGTTATTTGGATAAATCTCTATCATATTTGAATTTTATTAAATATGTTGAGGACATCAGGTAAATTATTACTTATTTTATAATTATCTTCAGTCTCAGAAGATTATGATTTTAGCGATGAAATCCAAGTGTCTTTAACAAATGGTAATGATGAATCAACCATCTCCTTATATGTAGATCTTACAAATATTAGTTGTCAATTAAGACCATCAACTTGTCATTATCTCCAAAATTATGTTAAAGAAACTCTTCACTTTTGGCATAATCTTATAAAGGATAAATTGTCTAAGTATATTTTTCTTTTATATACTTTTATATATAATTAATGTGATATGTACATACATATATATGACAATTATACATAATAATATCTTTTAGAGAATATAATGATATACTGAAAACATTAAAATGGCCTTTTTGTGGTAGTAATACAAATACATTACATACTCCCATGCCAGAGACATTAACAAAATTTAAGATACTTACAGAATATTTGTTACATTTACAGTTACCGTATCCTTAAAAAAATTAAATTTTATGTTTCATGAAATATATTTATATTTATATTTTATTAATTTTATATATCTTATTATAATAAATATATTTCATCTTTGATTGAATGAATATAGTGAAGAATCTGCAAAGTGTGTGGTAACATCAGTGTTATTAACTGACTTTACTCCTGTGAGTTTACCAATTTCACTGTTGATAAGGCCACTTAGACAAAGATTTATATATCACTTCACAGGTTCTAAGTTAACAAATCGGCAAGATAAACCTGAATGGTTTTTCACTCAAATATTAACATGGATTAAAGATCATGTTCAATGGGTACAGAAAAACGTACAACCTGCTGCAAATTCAATAGGTTTTGATCATGTAGACATGAAGGTAACATACAATTAAATATACGTTGTTTGTATTGTTATTTGTATATTGAAACATAAAATAAAATTTTGTATCTATTATTCTGTTGCAATAGGTAGAGTTCATGCGAGCTTTAATACAATTAGCAGTTGAGAAACTTCATTCTGAATTATCAATAGTACAGTATGATGATGCTCTATTTGCTCATTTAGTTGATGAAGCTTTAGGTTTTGAACGAGAATTGAGAGAGACCTTATTTTATCCTTCAACTCAACCAGCTACTGTTTTTGTACTTACACAAGCTCACATATTTGTAAAATGGATTAATATGGAAAAGAAGTGTAAGCTTACAAAATATTTTTAATTAAATTAGTTTCAATTCAGTTTTTTAAATATATTACAATCTAATATGAAATATAAATAAACTTTTTAATAAATTAATTTTAATAAAGATTCCATTCATATTAAATTATTAGATGCAACCGAAAAAATGGATGCCATTTTGAGTTCAAATACAGCTTGGGAAAAATTACCAAGTTCTGATACTGATGACATGAAAGTAACTGAATGTGCAGATGCTTTTCTAACACTTCTTACTACAATTTCTGATAGGTATAAGCATTTACCTCAACCAGGACACAGGTAAATAAATTATATAAGATTTTATTTTATTAAAAATTGACACTATATTAAATAAATAATTAAAATAGATAAATCATTAATTAATTATAAATAATTACTTAATAATATAAAATAGGTTGCAATTTCTTGAGCTACAATTGGAATTAATTGATGACTGGAGAGTAAGATTGCTTCAATTATTACATGAAAATTATGAAGATCCTTTAACATCTCTAATGCCACGTATTCTGAATACATTACATTATGTGGCAACTGTTTTAGAAGAGTGGGGTGTAACAGTGGTAAATATTTTATGCATAAAGGACATTAAGTATTGCAGATATGTTATTTAATGCTTAATTTCCAGCACTTTTTACAATTATATTTTTTTAAACAACAATTTGAGGCAGCTGAAACTGCTATGTTAAAAGGAAATGATATTACTAAAAATGTAGGAGAAGTTGAAGGTTCTGTATTTGATGAAGCTGTTGCTCTTTTAAGAAGATTAGAAAAGAAATTAATAAATGAAATTAGTGATTCTGTAGCTTTAGATGTGAAAGCAAAAAGCAGACCATATAGAACAGATAAGTATGGATGTTTAATATTAAATTACATATTATTATGTAGATAATAGTTTAATATTTATGTATGAAATAAAAAAAAATTGAAAAAATTTATTTATATATATATAGTTTTTTATATTGACAATAAAAATAAGTTTATTAACAAATGCAATAAGTTAGTAATAAAAAATTATAATTTATTTCATTTAAAAAGAATAAAAATATAATTCAAAATATAATAATCATTTTTTTAAATTTTAAGCAACTTTTTAGAAATTAGAATGTATAATTAAATACTTTCGATTTTTTAAATTTATGTTAAATAAAAATATGATTGAATTTTAATTATTATATGTATCACATTACACATGTTAATAAGGATTGATGAAAGTAAAAATAAAAAATAATTAAAACAAGTAATACATTTCTTTAAAGTATAATTTTAAATAAAATTAATCATATACATGATTTGTATATAAATATACATAAATATTAAATATTACATTATCTATAATTATAAAATTTAAACCATATTTTTTACAGATGGTTTGCAATGCAATCTACTAAAGAAGTGGTTTCATTATCTGTGACACCAAGTGGCTATTCTATGTTTCAAGAATTAGCAACACAACTTAATCTATTGCACAATACACTTGCTTTACCATTATTTCAGCAGGCTTGGAAAAATTTAGCTTCACAATTCGATCAAGTATAAATTACAAAATTATTTTAAAAATAAACATCATATTAAATATTTATACAAATGTTTCTTTTACAGTTTCTTTTAGAAGAAGTTGTTCTAGTAAATCATTTTAACATGGGTGGAGCTGAACAACTACAATATGACATTTTCAGAAATTTGTTTCCATTATTTGGCTTATATATTAGTAAACCAGAATCATATTTTCCTTTGTAAGTAACAAATAGGGAGAATATACAAAATATTTCAGTATACAAATTTTTTGTGTAAAAACAGTTTGTTAAAATTTTTTAATAATTAATCAAATTTGACAAATTATTAATTCATTAAATTATAGTGAAATTTTAATTCTAAAATTTGTTTCATGTTTTGATATGTGTAATATGTATTTTGTATACCTAATTGTCTAAATTTTTTATTTTAGGATTAAAGAAGCATGTATTTTGTTAAATATTATGTTAGGTTCAGCAATGTTACTTGGTGAAGCTCTCCACAACGAAGATGAAATTGCTACAAACAAAATACTAGCAGATGTTGGTATTTATAAAATGTCTCCTGAACTTGCTTTAAAAGTAATTGGAACAAGGACAGATATGACCTATGTATAAGAGTTTTACCTTATACTATTTTACAAAAAATAAAATTATTTAATTTTGTATATAGTGTACTATATCTATTATTTTTTGTAATAATGAATGGACATAATTATTTTAAATGAAATTTTAAAATTGTATATTTAAATTATTAAATCTATACACACATATAATTAAAAATCATATGTATATATAGTGTTTAACAAATTAACGTTATTCCCCCATTATCTGCACCTAATAGCAATAATCTATTAAGAGGAAGAACCGCCATTGTGGTAAGGAGACCTTTGAAAGTATCAGATTTTAATTTTGATGATGAAAATGAAGCTGTTGTTTCTATAGATGTAAAAGCTCCTATCCGATTTGCTGTTGTTCCTATAACTAATTCTTGTTCATATGTAGTCATGCAATGAACTGGTTCTGTAGAGCCCCTAAAAGTTCAAAATATGACATTTATTTTGTTATTCAAAAATATAGTTCGATATGATAGTTTTATATAATTTTTTTAATTATAAATAATAAATATAGAATATAGAAAAACAAAAAATAATACTTTACTTCATATGAAATTTGAGTTTTCCATCTAGTGCACTCCATACAGCAATAGTTTCATCTAATGAAGAACTAATTAATGTAGTTTCATTAATTGCCTCTAATTGTAATATCTAAAAAAAGAGCAATTAAGTAATTCTATATTAAATATTTCTATGGTAATTGAATGTTTTAGAAAGATAACATACTTCACATTCATGACCTTTCCAAGATGCAATAATAAGACCAGTACGAATATCTAAAATTGTTAGAAAACCTGATGCTTGACCTAATGCTACCCAATAACCACTAGGTGCTACTGCAATACATCTGATCAAACCTGTTGGATTTACAGATACCTGATAGAAAAAAAAAAGAAAAAAATTATTATTTCATTAAATAGCTCGCAATAACAATAATGTCTAATATGATAGCACATACTTTCATTTCATTTACATATTGAAATGTTCTACAGTCAATAACTCTCAGCGTAATATCTGTTGTACCCACAAGTAAAGTTGTACATGGAGGAGGGCTTGCAGCTAAAGTATTTACAGGAACTGGACGTGAGCTCTCTGGGCACCCAAGAAGCGAACCCATAAAAGGATCCCAGCAATGAATTGTACCATCACAGGTAACTACATATCGCAAAGATTCTAGGAATGTAAGTGCAAGAATTGACTTTTTATGTCCAGTATAAGTATACTGGCAAGATGAGATAGTGTTTCCATCCCCCTATTGAAAAAATATTTTACTTAAATTTAAGCTCTTTTTATTTATATACATTTTTAAATCTAATAATATAAATTTTTTATTTTAATTTCTCTTGTTTCCATTTTTTTTTCAAAATTCATTTTATTACAAAAAGTTTATGTTTTTTTAGTTACTTGTATAAAATGATTCTAAAGTCGTAGTATAACTAGAAATATAAAATGAAATTTTTTCATATAGAAATTCATTTAAAAAAAAATTGAATTTAAACATTCAGTATGTATATAATGTAAATAGCAACCATTTATTTATTTGCATTCAGTTTATCATCGTTACTTTCATTTGTATCAAATCATGTTCGAATCCACATAAAAGAAGTTTTTATTCCATTTAATTTATTTTCACATATCATTTTCATTCTAGATTTCATGATTTTAGAATTAACTTATATATTTGAAATTGATTTATCACATTTATAATTTTACCTGACTTCTTAAACTCCACAATTTCACAGTTTTATCTCTTCCGCCACTCATAAAACTATTCTCATTATCTAATACATATAGGCATCTAACGCTATTAGTGTGACCGCTAAAAGTTTGAAGTTTTATTTGTTTTATATTAAATGCTGTATCTTTTTCTGATCTTCCAATTTCATGTTCCCAATATGCCAACCAATTTCCTCGTAACTGTCTCCCACTTGACAGAGAACAGCTTGTTTCACGATTAGATATTACATTTTCTGAAGTAACATGATCTCCATCATTCTTTTGCATAGCAAATCTATTTCCCACAACTGATATATTTTCAAAATTAGCCGTATCACTACTTGTTAATTCTGTATTTTCTGTCATATTATAATTATTATATGATGTATTATACTTGTTATCATCTTTAAAAGAATTAAAAAATATATTGAGTTAAAGATCTGAAGTAAAAGATTTTAAAGTATAGAAACAGTAAGAAAAAAGATATAAAAATAAATATAATAGAACATACCAATGTTAGAAATTATTTTTGTTTCTTGTTCATATTTATGACACAAATTACGTATGTGTTCATGATTCTTAAGTATTTGTTCCATCACTTCAGTATCAATACATTTATAGAAGAGCATATACGTTTTATGAGCAAATTCTGTTGTAAATACAGTTTTTAATTCTTCAAGTGCCTAAATATATATCAAAATCTAATTATTTAATAATAGGAAATATAACAGTAATAATTCAATAGTAAAAAAATAATTACTAATAATATCTTCAGTTACCTTATTTTTTTGAGAATCAGAGGCATCCATATTTTCTACAACTGGTGGAGAATAAGAATCGGCAATATCCTGATTAAAATTTGTTTGAAGAGTATCTCTATTATTTTCATTTAAAACTTTTATCCTAAGTAAATACATATATCTATATATTATTGTTATATTAAAACATGATTAAAACAGAACATCAATGCTATGTTTATAATAATATTAAAATATTTAATATGTACCTTGTAAAATGCTCACTTATTGTTTTTTGGCTAATTTCATCCTTAACATTTTCTGTAACATCTTGATTAAATGATTTATCAAATGCTAAAAAAAATCGTTGAATAGGTACAGCAAGATGATTTTTTGTAATAACGCTACCCAGTCGTAAACTGAACATAAACAAGGTTTCTAAACATTTTTCGGCCATTATTGAACGTGCAATAGTACCATTAGGAAAAGTAAATCTTGTAGATGATAATATACGAACTGTAGGATACAATATTGCTTTTACGATTGGTTCCTAGAATATAAAATGAATCCTGTTAAATGTATAGTAACCAGTATTAAAAAAAAACTTATAAGATATAATCATACATGAAGTACATCCATCAATACTGCATCACTAAGATATGGTGTGATATAATTTAAAAGGGTCAAACATGAAATAAGCCCTCCTTCCAAATTTTGTGTTAATTTTCTTTTACAAAGCGCTAGAAGTTCTACCATGTGTGCAAAATACTGCAATACTATAATTTGTTCTCCATATAGGCCTATAAAAATATTTAAATTAGTTACATTTTTAAAATTTTAATTAATAATTGCATTCCTTTTTTTATACAAATAAAATAACCTGCAATAGCTGCGAGGCATTCCAAAACTTTGTTGGCATTACGATCACCAAGTAAAACTTTTTTGTTCCAAGAAATACCTTCGATTGATAAAGAGGTATCATTGGTTATTGTTAAATTTTCTTTTCCAGTATAACATAACGTAAGCATTCTCAACAAGTTTCGAGATAAATATCGAGCAGTAAGTACAGGACCAAGTCGATGAGATAACCAGATAATAGACTCAGCACTCATTTCAGAAGTTGTACACTCATTTGATGTAGATTTTTGATAAGTATGATCTAGTTGGATACTTTCATATTCTGCAGTGCTAGATTTAGTATCATCTGTTTGTAATGTTACAGAATTTTGTTCTTCAGTTCCTATGGTATACATTTCCTCAGACGTATTAGTAGAATGGCTAAATCCACCATAAGTAAATTCATCATTAGAAGTCCTACTTCCAACATGACAACCAATATTGCTAAACTCCGTTAAAGATTTACTAGAAGAATAGGATGTTTTTGGTATAGGAATTGTTGGCGATTTAACGGATTTTAATGGCGAAATTTTACTTCCGTCTTCATTTGAATCGTCAGTCAAGTTCAAACTCAGATCAACATTTAAATCAATATCATATGTCGTAGCAGAATTTAGAGATATCCAAGAACTTTCTTCTGCTTCCATTGTGAACACTTCTGCAATAGGAAAAATACTTAAAAATTTTCTTAATTTTTTAATTAATTTAAATTATAAACAAATTTGTAATCGTCTACCTTCGGTATCATTGTCAGTTGAATTTATATCACGTGTATAGTCACTAGTTACAGGTCCAGGTGATAAAACAATATTATGATCTGAATCTACAGAAAAATCCTCGTCCAAAGGAGACAAGATCCCTTCTCCTTCATTACACATTCCACTTAAATCACAACTCCTGTGAAAAGAAATAAACTTATTTTTAAAAGTATTCATAATAACTAATAAATATTATATCAATTTAGTTATTTCTGAAAATAAATTAAAAATAGAATTAAATGAAAATGAAAATGAAAATGAAAATGAAAATAAAAATGAAAGTGAAAGTGAAAGTGAAAGTGAAAGTGAAAGTGAAAGTGAAAATGAAAATGAAAATGAAAATGAAAATGAAAATGTTCTACAAAAGTAATACTTAAAAAAATATTTATTTTCTGAATAGAAAAAAATTGTTTCTCAATTTAATTTTTATTAGTCATTTTACTGTAATATAATTGTACTTTTCTTACTTAAGATTGCCAGTTTTATGAGTGTATGTTGAAGATCCTTGCATATAATCTCTATATCCTCCAACTGCTTCTACAAGAGGCGCAATAAAATTTTCCAAAAATCGTCGTAAACCCAATCTTACCATAAGTTTAAGCAAGAAATTTCTATGATATAAACGTGTAGTTTTAAATTTTGCTATTAATCCTGAAGGAAGAATATCAGCATGAGGAAAGTTATCCATAAAAGAACCATTTTCATATAACTTCATAACTGATAGAAGGAATGTTTGTACAGTATCTCGAGGACCTAATGCTCTGGAAAAATATCATGTGTGCTTAAAAAATATGCTCCTTTTATATTAAATATTAAAATATTCTCAAACATGTAAGAAAAATTTTATAATTTACAAATAACTTACTTAGCAATAGGGTCAAATAAATGCCAAGCAGCTAAAACAGCACTATAAGGTTCTTCCATTATTTGTTGTATATGAGGCATTATTAATTCTAAATATGCTTCCCTTGCAATTCCAGTATGGTATAATAAATGCTCTAATTCCCTTGCAATTGCTTTAACTTTACATTCACTGATTTTACAAAGGAATATTATTTTTGTCTTAAATGTAAAATCTATATCATCTTCAGACTTCATTATAAAATTCAATTCACGAACTAAACTATTATACTCTTGTAACATTTCTACAATATTAAATAAATATTTATAATACTTGGAAAATGGGAACAAACTTCCAGAAAGTATTGGCTGTAAAAATTGGTGTGCAGATGGAGGCGGTAAACCCATGTGTGTAATAGTTGGATAACGAAAACGCATATCAGTTACCTGAAAAATTACGTAGTATTATATATTTTTAATAGTTATATATTTGAAGTAATCAAAATATTATAAATATATACATATAATTTAATAAAATATACAATAAACTAATACAATATAGAGACATTAATAAATTAAGAACAACCAATATTTATCATAATAATTATTTATATTAGTACGTACTTCTATGTTATCAATATTGTAACTGTTTGGTATAATATCAACTTGAAGCAATAAAGCAACAGCATTTCTTACACATTTAGGTAAACTATCAGCTGATGTCTTCAAGATATTTAAGCATGTAGCAAGTCTTTTTGCAAATGTTACTTTTTCGACATTCCACGTTGCTCGAAATTTATTAGATAAAAATATTTCCACAATTAAACAACCGAGTATTTGTTGTTCCTTAATACGTCCACTAGCCACAATTTGTTTATAGTTTGTAAATGATTCGTGTAATTCAAATTGTGGTTTATAAACTTGAGAGCTTACTTTATTCACAAATGCATGCATGGTTTCTACATGCATAATAGCTGCAACAGGATTATAATCTTTTGGAAGAATTATCGTCTGACTTGTAGATTTATCTTGCTTAGCATTGTCTTCAGAAGCAAGTAAAGAACCTCGAGAACGACTTAACAATCGACTTAAAACCAAAGGAGACGATCTTGATACATTTATAATTGATGCTGGTAATTCTTCTTCTTCAAATCCAGAACTGTGACCTTCATCATCACTCGTTCTATTACCAGACTGATCATTTCCTATAATAAATTATTTGATTAATTAAAAAAAAAAAATAAAAATACTTTAAAGAAAATTTTATATTAAACATACTATACTTATTGATTAAGAAAGATAAACGTAGTCGAGGTGGAATTTTACACCAATAAGGTGAAGGTATAATTTTTTGAGGATGTGGTTGTGTAAATAGTTGAACAATACCAGAATTAGTTAAACTAGTGTGATTGTCAACAAGTTGTAAACAAACGTTTTTAGATTTTACTGCTGCTGAACCAGATAATCTGCAATGTAAAATAATAATAATAATAATATTAATACATTTTATGATGTTAGAAACTATAGTTACTTGTAACCAAAAGTTAAATCTATCCAATGATGTAATCTTTCAGAAACGTGAAAACTTTCTAAAGCCTCTCTGTGTCTTTCAATAAAATCTTCTGGAGATGTAGCCCACCCAGGAATTTCTAAATCTGGTAAATCTTCATGAATGGACTGTAATTTTTAAATTACAATCACGTTAAATTTATTACAATAAGTATTTCATAAATCATCGAATTTATTGGTTTTATCTTGCCTTAAAAACTTTGGGGTCAGAAAAAAATTGTGGTATGCATTCATCTGGACTCCAATCATGTAATCTCTGTATCGATGCAGGATACTCTCCTGGTACCCATTGCGGTCGTACATACTTACAGAGGACAGATTTATTATAGCGACGAGAAAGATAAACGTAGTATGTAATTTCTGATAATACATCTGATACGTGATGTCCTACCTTAAAAATACATTACAAAACATTACAAAAATTATAGTCGATTAATTATACCAAATAATTTAATTTGCAAATGTTATTAAATACATACTTCACTTGACTGCGAATCAAACGTTAAATCTAATTGTCTGTCGCCTTTGTTTAATCGAAATTTGGATTTTGTTAAATCTCTCCAATTACCACCACATCTTGATGTAAAATCTGTGACCCAAGGCATAACATGATGACAACTTGGATCACCATATCTTCTACCAGCCAAATTATTCAATGCAGTTAAATAATCATAATTGCTAATACAATTATACACCCACATTTCACATAATTGTTCAATATTTTCATTCATTCCAAATTTAGAATTTTCTTGTAATGTAGAATTTGATGGAATTATTTCGAAATTTTTTCTACATCCATTAAAATTTTTTGTCTTAATTTCTTGACTAGAAACTTTGGAATGTTCATTTTCAGGTTTTATGTATACATTGTCACTTACTTTTGGTAACACCTAATAATAAAATCTGGGAAAGTAGTTATAATTTCAATAGAAAATTGAATTAATAAAAAATATTTATAAAAAATTTGGATATTAACCTGTATAGTAAAATTATCCATAAGTAATATATCACTAAGAGTAATTTCACCTAATACTAAACCCCGATCATGTAAGTCTCTAGATAATTGTAATAACTGATATATTAAAAACAATGGTTTTCCATGACTCATATTTAAAGCAGCAGGACTGTACATTACACACCTTTAAAAGTAATAATTAACATATAAATAATTAAAAAATTAATAAGAAATGCAAATTGAAATAATATATAATATATCTTACTCGCGGAGAGAATATTCTGCAGTTTGTTCATGTAATGTTAGAAAAGCAGATGTAGTTTCAATAGCAAATAATATTGGTAGGAGATTACAATGTACTTCAGTTGATATACCAGGCAATACTGATACCACTGATCCATTTTGTACTTGTACTAAAGTACAACCATACATTTTCTGTAATACTTCTTGCATAATCCATGTATCACTTACATTAGCAGTTATATTGTATTGTTCTTTATGTTCTATGCAATTCCATGGACCTATATGTATAAACAAGTTAATGTATGTATATACACATGAAACCAAAGAAACATAAATCAATTAAGTTTTCCAATAAATAATTAAAGGCATACTGTAATATTTTTTGTAACATTCTTTCCATAAATTTCGATAATTAGTTTCTGCAACATAGTGCATTAATTGTGAATATGTCAGATCTGCATGAGTATTTCCATTTATATTCCTTCCTCTTGGCAGTGGAACAGCATATTTATGTTGTTTTTCATAAACCTATAAATTATAATAACCATTATTTATATGTTTAATAATATTAAAAGGTACTTTTTCATCATAGGTAATAATATTGTATTATAATTAACATATATTATTGTATTTATAGATAACAGGCAATTTTTAAAAAAATTAATAATATTAATAATATTATTATAGTTGGTGTTAATAATATTTCACATATAATTATACAAAAATATGTAGTTATACATATTTGAATTAATAAAAAGTAACATACTTTAACATATATTCTTATCCAATCTGGACCCAGATCTTCAAGTGTAGGATGAGCTGCAATTTCATCTTCACTTAATCGTTCATGGTAGATAAAAGAAATTGGTCCTATATTAACTAAATTGTTTAGCCAGTTTCTGTGGATAGTTAAACAAATTCTACCATCTATTACTTTTATATACTTTGTAGGTACAAGCAACTCTTTTGTCACTACATCCATTTTTTTATCCTTATGGTTTATATCTATAAAAATCGATTTTCATAAAATAATATAATGTAATGATGTTTAATCGTTAAATTCATACCTTATGGGTACTATAATGGAGCAGGAAGTCAGCAAACATCTACTACGTATGTTTATTATCTTAGTTGTTTAACGCCAAACACAGCTGATTTGTATCAAATGAACAGCTGATACTAGACGCCATATTTAGATGTAATTTTATAATACATAATGACTAAAATATATTGAAAGATAGTCTTTCACACAACATGATTCTTCATTTATTGAAATATTTCTTAAATTTTTTACCACACTTATTACTTTGTGTATTCTTTTACAGCATAACCTATAATTTTGCAAAAAACAATGTTTACATAATACATAATGATAATATTCATGATTATGATATATGTGTGTACAATCAATGGTAAATGTTAAATGTTTTTTGTAATAATAAAAATGAAGAGAAAAAAGTTGAATAGAGTAAATTGGACAAATTTATTTTAAAATGTTTATTTTTACTTTTCTCTAATAACTTTTTTAGGATTTAAAAAGGAAATTCACTTAATTTCTTGATATAAATGTTAAATTGATGTGTTTAAAAAGGATAAAAATAAGGAAGATATTTCCATAATATCTGTGAATAAATATCATATAATTATTTTTATTTAATTTTTAATTTTCAAAATCACTAATAAATAGTTAGTAAACGTTTAAAATGATTATGGACATTATCAAACATGACTGTTTAAAGAAATACTTCATAAATTGATATTTGAATAATTTATATTTTTATATCGCATACAAAGGAAGGTTTGGAAAGATTTTTCAATTCAAGTAAAAAAGAAATATTTATTTTATTACAAATTAAGTGACAATTTTTATTACATATTTTTTCATGAAATTTTATGTTTTTATAAACCTTTTGTAGAAAAATATTTATAAAAGAGTCATATATTTATTATCACTTAAACTATACAATATTAATACAGGTTTTTGTTTTTCGTTCCTTAGTTCTTGCATTTCTTCACATATCTCTTTTATATACTTCTTATATCTTGAATGTCTAAGAAACATTCAAATAAATAAATTTTTGTTAATAGAAGCAATTCAAAAAATCTTATCTATTATATATATCTATTTTTTATATACAGAAACAATATTCAATCTACAGGCACAAATCTTTTTAGTACAAAATTTTTCAAAATTAAAATAATTCCATAATTTTTTTTTAAATTTCATTTTTGATATCATTTTATAAATAACTAAATAATTAATAAATAATAACTTACTTGTCTATAATAACTTGTATACTCTTTAGAAAATCTTCATCTCCTTCGTCAATTTCCAAAAAACTTATTATCGTTCTTATTACACTCATTTGTAAAAATACTGCCAATATTTCAATCGGAATTTTAGATGAAATCCTCTGGAGATATGTAGACATCTGTGCAATTATAGAATTTTTCAAACTTCTTCTAGAACCACTAGAAAGTTTCTCCTTTTCAGATAAAATAAAATTAATATTGACATTGATTGGATTGCTGGTACTCAAAAAATTTTCAGTTGCTATTTTGTTCTCGGATTTACTTAGACCAGACAAAGAGCTATCTAATCTTTGGAAAAAGTCTGCTACTTCTTGATTATTCATTTTTTTTTCTTGAAATCTATCACGTTCCCAACTTTGAATTATTACACTTCCTTTTTCTTCGCTTTTTAAAAGAATAACATGATTGATTAAATTTTCTCGACAATATTCAAGGATCTCTTCGAGGGAAATTAAATCTATAATTGTAACTTTGAGTTCAAAAAACCATAATTCTTTTAAAAGATCAATCATCTCTTTTACTCGATGATAATTGCCCATACAAGACATGGCAATGTCGATTCCGTTTTTACATTCTAAAGATCCTGAAGTTTCCGAAACTGCAGAAACAAGTTTCTCTAATGAAATACTAATTCCGGTGCCATAATGCTTAATTTCTTTATTGGCCATTCCTGTACGTTCGAGAATATTTTTAAAAGAACAAAGCATTTTATCGTAACGACCTCCTGCTGCTATTACTTCTCCACCTTTCTTTTTAGGTGTGATCTCATGAGTAATTTGATAAATTATACCACTATGTTGATTAATATTGTGTACTAGAAGAGGTACTACCAATATTGGCCACTGTTGAGAAAATTTAAGTTTTATTATACCTTATAGTATAATATAGTATATTAATATAATGTAGTAATTTATTTTTATAATAAAAACTATAGAATGACATATATGATAAAAAAATTTTTTTAATCAGAAATAATTATTTCAGTTATTTACTTGAAATATAATTAGTTTAGCATTTTACCTTTACACCAAGTGCTTCAATATTCTTCATAACCAAATCAATTTCTTCTAGTCCTTTTTTAGCTAAAGCAGCAGCATTTCCTTTTCTTCGTGTAATTGTTTTTAAAATACTATGAATTTTAGCAACAGAACTTTCAGTTTCAAACAAATTAAATAACGTCTCCATAGCTTGATCAGTTAAACATAAACTTATTAAATGCGTCTGTATTTGAAACTTCGTAAGTTTTTTATCACGTGCATCTCGAAGAATTGAATAAATATCTTGATATTTTTCTTTATCAATTCCACAATACATTAATACAGCTTGTAATAAAGAAGTGTGATTTAGACGGATAATGAAATTTCGTTCTTGCAATGAAGGTAATTCGTTGATAATTTCCCAAACAATATATACCGATTCAGCTTCCATTAAAAGATTACCAGGAGTAGGACTTATTATATCAAATGCACACTCATAAAGTTCTCTGGGATGAAAACCTAACGCCTATATACATATAATATGAAATATACAATATGCCAAGAAATTTATTAACTTATATCTTAAATATTAATTTATTAATATAACAATAAATAATATATTATTATTAATATTAAAATATATGATATTAATTTTTAACGTTACATAATTAATTCAATTATTGGTTGATTTTTAAAATATTAAATTTTTTTACATCCCACATAGAATAATTTTACAATCAATTTAATAAAATAGTCATACCTTTTTTTCTCTGAAGACCTTTTCAATAGCATATCTTCTAATGTGCGACACATTGTTCCATACAATGTATCTTGCAAATGTAGCGCGTAAATCGTGAGGTATACAAACAATGTTTCCATTACGAGTCATTAATTTTACAGCAGAAGGTGAGAAACTACAAAACTGATCCGACTTTGGTACGAAAAGTGGAGTCCCTAAATAAACACCTCCATGTCTTTGAAAAACTTCAATTATTTTGCCTTTTACTACTTCTTCGTGCTTTTTCCAAGTAATAGAGTTGATATGTTTCTTAATAGGAAAATTCATATCGAAAGTAATATCTTCTGCAGGACTAAGTTTTTGCATAAAACAGCATGAAATCAAATATTTATATGCTTTGCTTTGATTATAGGAAAGCGTGTGTCGAATCATTTCTTGTAATTCCGTCTCTTCAAGTTGTGCAGAAGGCAAATATTCCGAAGAAAGAAGTTCCTGAGCAGTGGGCCGTTGGCTAGGATCATGATTTAATAACCACCTGTAATTAATTTAATAGTACGATTAATTTATTTAAGGATCGATAATATTCATATTATTGATATAAGTATATTTATTTTTAAAATTTTTAAAATAAATTAAATATAATAAATATAATAATATTTTGTAATATTTCGAAATATTAAAATAGATTTTATGTAATAAAGAAAAAATATCACATAAATGGTTAATTCTAATAATTAACGATTAATTGCTAATAAAAGAAATATATAGTCACCGATTATAGATCAATTAAGATGAGCGAAGAAATTGAATTATTGAATAGTTTGTTAAATTTTATTAATTGGTTTGTTGATTTAAATATAAACAAACAAATTAGACATAATAAATTAAATAGTAAAAAATATAGAAAAATTTTAGTAATAAAACAAAGAAATTGAAATAAAATAAAAAGTCATAATTACTTTTTTAAAAACTAATTAAGTTATAATTATAGTTTTATAACATATAATATATAAAAATAGTACGTAAATAATTGAGAATTAATTTTCACATATTTTAGATTAATTTATTCTAATTTATATTTACTACATACCGTAAGATATGAACTAGTGGCATATCAGCCTGTAATTCTTGTGGAAGTACAATTTCTCTCATTCGTAAATTAGCTAAAATTTTAATTCGTTCCATTCCTGTAGTTGGAGGTTTGTAACACATTTCAAACAATATTATTCCAAGGCTGTAAATATCGACCTTTTGATTGTAAATAGCTTTCGCTGCTTTTGTTGTAAGTTCTGGAGCTACATAAAGTGCCGTGCCTACTTGTCCTGTTAGAGACTCAACATCTTCGGTTGCGAAGGAAGCAGTGCCTGAGACACATAATATATTATAGATGGATATATTTACAAAATAATAATACATACAATGAAGAGCATAACTGTATCACTAATAGTAAAAAATTGTCGATACTTCAACTTTGTAAAAAAAAATTATGACAATATATATATATATATAGATATATATATATATATATATATATATATATATATATATATATATATATATATATATATATATATATGACAATTTACTTAATCTCATTTTAATATAAAGTTATTAATAACATTTTGTAAATTCAATCAGTTATTATAGGATAAAAATCTTTTAATTTTGCACAACACTTACCTTTTTCAAGACCTTGAGATTCTTTATCGGTTTCTACGGTTTGTGCCAAGGATGAAAGTATATTTGTAGTTGCTAGGCCAAAATCTCCGATTTTTACATGGTCGTTACTATCCAAAAATATATTTACTGGTTTCAAATCTCTATGTATCATTCCTTGTTTATGAATATGCTCTAAACCTTCCACAATTTCTCGAAATAGTCTCCATACTCTTTCTTGATCTTCGTAAAGTCCACGATCAATCGCCGTCCGCAAAGTACTCTTTTCACAGAATTCCATTTGAATATACATAAACTGAATTTCTTGGACCGTTTCTTTTGATTCAATCGTCTTTTCACTTTCATCGGTTTTTGTATTTGATGCAGATGCTTGGTTTGGATCTCTTTCAAACTCTATACTATCGGAGAAATCCACTTGCAACAAATCGTGCACTCTGAAAAATTTGATATATATTGTGAATATTTTAAGATACTTAATTTTGAAGTTTTTATTTATAAAAATTATGCATACATATACATATACATATACAATTATGCTCCAATACATAATTTTTTTGTTTTTTATTCTAATAAATTAATTGTACGATTTTTTAATTTTTGAAAACATATATAATTTAAAGGAAATTAATTCATATATGTTTATTATTTTTAATTTTTTAATACTTGGTATCTAAATTGTTTTAGACTGTTTTAAGAAGACATCACCAAAAAGACCAATATTTGTAATTTTGTTTAAGAAGAAAGAAAAATTTATAATTTATTATTTTAAAAATTTAAAAATTAAACTCTTACAAAAATGCAACATCTTCATCACTGTCAGTGTCGCTTGATGCATCACTGTTATCTTCATCGCTGTTAGTTGTTCGAGATTTGTATGAAACATTCCATTCAAGCTCAGGTGATGCAAATTTTTCAATATCATCTGTTCCTAAATTCTAAAGCATAATTATAAATTAGAAGAAAAATTATTCACAAAATTATTATAATTTAATAATTGTATTTGACATTAAAATAACTACGTATATAAAAATAACTTTATATATCATTATACATCATGTATTTTAAATTTCTATGTATCTTAAATTTCTATTTCTGATTCTATTTCTTTACTTGATAATGTATAGAAATAAATGTTTTTAAATTTTGAAATCAGAACAGATATTTTATATTATTTTCAATAATTATTTATAAATAATTTTTTATTAAATAAATATTTAAAATAATTACAAAGTAATAGCTAAATTTTGATTCTTTAAGAATCACAGATTAAATTAGAAAAAAGTTAGAAAGACAATATTATTTAACTTAAAATGTTAAAATATGAAAAAGATAGCGCGTCTCAATTATTGTAATTTATAAACGGTTTGAAATTGATTAATTTTAAATTTAATTTTTTTTCTCACTCTTTCCCAAAATTTTTTGCTTACAATTTAGATATACATAGATATTACACTATAACTATAATAAATTAATTGAAATATTTTTTATTAAAAAAAAAATCGATTCAACAGGAAGATAAATAAACAAAAGAACTTTTGCATTTTAATAATTTCTGTGAATTAAAAAACTGTAGGTAGTTGCAAATTTAAGTTATGAAATTAAATCTTGAACATCATGTTATTATTTAAAAATGAAAAAAATATAGAGTATTTCAATGTTCAGAAAATGAAAGTAGGAAATAAAATAAAATTCAAATGATTAAATTTGAAATTCAAATATATATATATATATATATATATATAAAACAATTACAGTAACCGGTTCTGAACTCTTTCTTTCGGAAGATGTCCTGGATTCTTGTTCTTCTACTGTATCAGTTATTACAGCACTTTCTATCCACGAATTGTAATATCGTACTACATTTTCATGATTCATTCGAGATAACAATTTCACTTCTCTTGTAATTTTTTTATTAAGTTGTTTATTTTTTGGATTCAGTTTTATTCTCTTAATAGCATAAATTCCACCATCCAGCTTATTTTTCACTTTTAGAACATCACCAAAAGCACCTTTACCAAGCCATTCAAGAATTTCGAATTCATTTGCAATTCTTGAATGACCACCTAACGATGATACATATTGTCTAATATCTGTATCAAGTTCTTCTGGTTGATGTTTCTTTTCTTCATCTTCTTGTGGTAAATTTGGTAAATTTAGTAATGATATATGGATTAATGGTGTTTTTATGAAAGAATGCTCTAATAGCTGTTCAGCTGACCAACGTTTTCTTTCATCTTTTTTAAGACATTTTAACAAGAAATCTTGAAGATTAGGCTGAAAGGATTAAAAAAAATTGATTCCCTACAAATTTATCATTTATATTTTATTTATGTGTAAAGAAACATACCTGTACAATTTTTGTTGGATCAATTTTATCTCCAGAAACTATGGTTCCTTTTAATAAAGAAAATATAAGAACACCAAAACGATAAATATCTGCTTTTTTTCCACTTCTGCCTTGTATACTTGGAAAATTTGGCTCAGGATTAATCGTTGTATATGTCTGATAAATATCAGATAATCTTTTATTTAAAGAATAATCTGATATTCTAATTACTCCTGTGTTATCAATATAGACACTAGAATCCCGTAGATCCTTGTGTACAACATTATTCTCATGGAGATATTTTAAAGCAGAGAGAATACCATTTGCTAAATATCGAAGGAAATCGATATTTACAGGGATGTTTTCCAATAAAAAAATGGAACAACTTGTGCCTGCCTAAAATTCAATAATTATATATACATGCTAAATGCGTTTCCATATGCGTTTTTTAAAAAGTTTATATTATTAATGCATAAAATTCTTTTATAAATTTAACAATTTTTCTAAACTTCAAAATAAATGTTCTTTATTGTAAATATTGAAATGTCAAAGTAACTGTAGAATAAACTTAAGTTTATTTAAATATGTGAAATTTAACTTATATAACTTAATAATTAGTAAAATTTATATGAAAGAATGTACTTTATATATTTAGCTAAGTCATAAGTTTTTGGTCTGAATTGTAATTAAATATTATCAGATACCTCTTACCACAAATTCTTGAAGAACATAAATAAGTACATTTTCCTCCTCTTGCAGGTATTTCATGCTTAAATAATGAACAAGATTTGGATGATGTAATTTATGTAAATGATTTAATTCTTGTTCTAAACTTCCTACTTGTTTCATAATATGCTGAATATTATTTTCTTCAGTTTTATTATTCACTTTTAATGTCCATTCACTAATTACAAACAATTCCCCAGTTATCATATCTACACTTGCATAAACAATTGATCCCTTAGTACTATGTCCCATACATTTTCCTCTGTACACTTGTCGTTCACCTAGAAAAGTTATTATACATTACAAAAAAAGTAAAATTTAATTTTTTCAAATACATAAGTTTTATGCAGAAGTTTTAAGGCAATGGAAATGTTTCGTTTTTATGGACAAATATAAAATTGTGAATTTTAAAGGCTGTGTTTTAAAACTATGTCTCAGATTTATGAAGCTTTGAATTTAAAGCTTCGAGGCTGTGCTACTTAAGTTCTTAAGTTCTTAAGAAATATTATTTTCTCACCGATTTCGATGATTTTTAAATATGTAATCGACATTTTGAACAACTTTTTTCCTTTCAAAAAAAAAAAAAAAAAAAAAATGAAATTATCTAGTTTCCAAGGCATTTATAAGAAACTATTAATACATTACTGATACTAATACATTAAATCCTGCTTCTCTGTACACAGTCCCAAGCATGATATGGCCGACACATTTGCATCATTGCATAACACATACACACTTTAAATACAAGATAAGAGATAGATTTGAGCTATGTGTTATAGTATTATATTTGGCCGATTTACAGCCGATTGTCGTATGCGCTGATAATACACAACGGCATAGATGCACAATTATAGACATATTTTTACTGATAGACTTTAATAATAGCCTAAGTTATTACAGGAAAAAAGTTTATTCAAAATTTGCACACTAAAATTTTATATTTGGGATTTTCTCCCTTCCCTCCAACCTCTCAAAATTTGATATCGCTCGGGAAATAATCCTGGGAAATATTCCTCCTAAACCAATAATTTTTCGATATACATAGATTAATATTTTTTTTAAAAAAGTGTCAAGCTGTACAATTAATGCATAAAAAAATATGTGATTCTATTTAAAAAAGTGGAAGTGACTTTGAGATTTCAGAACCGGAATAGAACAAATTTTATTTCAAATACTTTTTCGAATAATGAATAATTGTTAAGATTACGTGTAAAAATTCAAATGGAATATTCTATATAAATTTTTTTCGGTATCATAACAATATAACTATGTCATCAAAATTAAATTTTAAGCTACCAAATCTTAAACTTTTTAGTTATTTTCCCTGTTAAAACAGAATACGAATACAATAAATTATATACCTTTCTGATAATCGAAGTTTAATAATTTTGTGCCTTTATGTTTGCATAAAAATTGTGATTTCTCTGGAGATGAAGAAGATGGTATTGACTGAGATGCATCGTTTGTTTGTTCATTATATTCTCTCCGTTCAGCTTCTTTTAAAGCTTCTTGTCTTTTTTGAATTTCATCCTGCAATATCTGCAATTTTTTATGGACATAATATCCAAATTGAAACAGATATATCTCTAAACTGTTTAATAATAATATGAATAAATAAATAAATTATATTTGTAGAATAGTAACTTAAAAAAATTGTAGCTTGGATAAATAAATATTAATTAAAAAAAAAACTGAAGATAAATGGTTTGAATTGTCTACATAAATAGACAATATTTTAAGGATGTTTGATCTGCCATTTTTTTCGAATAAGACAATTTTAATTATAATAGGAATTAAGTTTTCCAAATTTTATTGCACATAATTTATTCCTAAAATAATTCAGCAAATATAGTAGCTATCTTAATATTTCTTCAATTATTTTATGAATTAATTTTTCATTTAACTTCGAGGGGAAGGAAGACCTTTATATGAGAAAATAAATTAAAAATATAAATACAGTTTATCTGTGAACAGCAAAATATTTCGAGACATATGAATGATATCAAAAAATGTTTCAGATAAAAGCTATAAAATATAGAAGAGCATATATGGCGATGTTTGATCTCGTAATAACTTTAAAACATCCTGCGAAGGTCATGTTAGAATTTTTTAAATGGAATATTATTGATAATATTTTAAATGTAAATTATTAAAATGATCGATAGTGATATATATCTTATAAGCATCACAATCATGGATTTTATCATGAACTTATAAAAATTGTATTTTGTAACTGTTAAGTTTACTTATAAGTACTTTTCACAGTAATTACAAGCAGATCGGTTTCACAATCAATTATATGGAATCTATTGTATTTCTGATTGCTTATCAACGATACCTGACTGGATTTGATGGTCGAAAATTTGGTAACGGGGCAGAATTTTCTTCGAGTTTTGGTTTGTCTTCTGTATCAGTTTATAGAACCACTATCCTTGACGTCTGACATGTCTTTCGGTGGCTTCCTAGGTTTATGAAAAATACAAAAATTTTAATTTTTTGTATACAGCCAACTCAAATTATGGATTTATTTTATCTTTTTCTTTATTCCTCATTATTCCTTGTTATTTTATCTTGTACCTTTTCAAAACAACAATGAAGACTATATCAATAACTGTCAAATAATCATTTTCTCCTCAATTTATTCAATAATAATAAGTATCAATATAGTAGTTGGTTATCTATATTTGAATAATAGATTTTAATAATAATTTGCTCATTTTATTAATGTGCAACTCTTTATGTACAAAATTTATGTTTTAATAAATTATTTGATTTTGGAATTTTTTGATTTAATTTTATTACTAATTTCTATAAAAAAAAAAAAAATACATAAAATTGAATAATCTAAATTTTTATAACATAATACAAATTACTAGTGAACATCACTTAGGGATTAGTGAAGATTTCCTACAGTCATACAATAATTCACAATTATAAAAAAAGGAATATTTCAGAAATTCCTGATAATAAATATAGTAATTACAGAATATATTTTATTCGTTTCATCAATTATACCACGAAATTGATTTAAAATTTATAAAAAAAAACCTATAAATATATAATCTAAAATTAAATATTTTTATAAAATTGGCAAATCAAACATCCTTTATGGGCAATAATTCATTTATATTCACAAATTCACATAATTTATAATTTGTGTTGCTAAAAAAAAAAATTATTGCACTATATACAGTGATTTTAGACACTGAACAGTAAGACACTGAACTTTAACAATGACCTTATTTATACATTTTATTATAATATGATATTTATACATATAAAACATGCGTATCTAACCTGTCTTTCCTTGTCTTCCTTCAACTGTTTTTCTAGTTTTTCAATTTCGATCTTTTTTTGACGTCGAGAAACCATTTCTTCATAAAAGCTACTATAGCTTGGTTTATTGTGCTCGTGCAAATATATCTGAACATGATGTGCTAAATCAAAGATCATTACTTCCCCCTGTAATTGTTTTGCCAGCTGCACTAAATCATTATGTAATACTGCAACTTGTTGATGAGATAAACCTTTGCTATTTTCTAACTGTATATTTGGTACTCTGCAAGTAATTTGTTAAAAAATGTTCTTGTATTAAAGATTATATAACTCATCAAGTTATACAGATTGAATTTAATACATATTTACATTCATATATACAAACAAATGACCTTTACAAAAACCTTATTTACAATTATATATTGTTCTTTTGTAAGATTCACGTATGTTATGAAACAAAAAATGACATTAAATTTGTTTGCAAAATAAAGATAAGAACATTATTAAATAAACACAGAATATAATTTTAAAAAGTTATATTTATAATTAAAATTATACTTACTCATCAGGATATTTGTCAGCGCATATTACATGTAAATCAATTTGTGCGTATGCTTCAGTTAATGACATACTTTTTTGAGGCATCAAAGAGATTATTAAATTTAATGGTTGCCATTTTCGTTTCTCAGGTCGTAAATCACGGATTTCTTCTCCAAAGATGCTCTATAAAATCGATACATTGTTAAAACGTTAGAAGTAATATAACATTTTTAAAAAATCAGTAGATTATGGATTTTTATGCTAATTCAAGAATAGCATTTAAAAAATACATCTTAGATCGTTATTTATATTTAATTTTTGTAATATTCTTCTTCTCATATGACATTCATTACATGTAATTTTGACTTAATTCTAAAAAATGAAGAACTATCATACATAATTCAATTAAAATATACAATTCTAGGTAAAATCATGTAATATTTAAACACAATTTTAGCAAATAGTGTATGGTAACTGAAATCATATGTACTATAATAAAATTGCATTTAATAAAATAATATTTAAAAGAAAAAAAAAATTAATTCTATATTACAAACATAATTATTTTTATTTAGCAAAATAATAGTTTCGCAAAAAATTTTCTGTGTTAAACATCAGTATTCTGACACCATAGTTTGAGCTAAAAATTAATTTAATTTTTATTTTTAACTATCTTTTTAAACAAAAATGGAATTTTGTATGTGAACCAAATCATGTGCAAATAAATTGCAGTGCAGAGTCAAACTTTCTGTTAAATTCTGATACTTTTATTTTTATATAATGTATTAAAAAAATTATACTAAAGAACTTATATACTTATACTAAAATATTTATATTAATATTTAATATCAATATTAATATTAAGTATTACTGCTATATTTATTACTAAATACTTGAAATAATAATTTATACTAAACAATAAATAATACTAAATAAGTCATATTTTATATAATAATAACAACATTAACAATAATAATAATGATCATGGATGATAAAAATAATATAAACAAAACTTGAGTAGTACATACTATTAAAATCAAAGTTTGATTTCATATTTGCTTTGTAATCATATTAATTTTAATGGATTTTATTGATATTGTCACATATACTTACATAATACAGTGACAAGAATTATACATATACATATTTATATGTATTATATACTTTTTTTATAAAGTTTTTCTATTTTTGAAAAGAATACGTTACGAATAATTTATGGATATAGTATACACGAATCTCAATCCTCATTTATAATTAAATTACGCAAAAAAATCATTAATTAATTTTGTATAAATGTGTCTATATTTGATTATGATGTAAAAAAAAAAATGTACAGCATTAATATAAACAATTTATTTATTCAATTTATTTATTATGACGTACCTTCAAAACCTCGATTTCATTCTCCTGCCGAACTTTGTAGGACTCAGAGGACATATTTCTTTCGATTTATTATATTTTCATTATTCAATTTTAAATACTTGTTAAAAATTATTAATGATTTAATTCATCGTTCGGCATTTAACCTTAAAATTCACTGCAGTTCAATCTCAGCATTTGAATGAACTTTAACATGAGTAAATTATTCACTAAAAACTTAAACTATTTACTAAAAATTTGAAAATAATGTACATATACTATTATACTATTTCATAATTTAAAAAGACATTGATGTTAATTCACTAATAATTTCATATTTTGATTGTTAAACAAGTAGTTTAAATTACAAAAGAATGTCTAAGATATCGAACAAAAATATATAACACAACTATTCACCAACGAACCACACAACTTATATATCACTATGCTTCTCAGTAGAATATACATGAAGCACGTGACTACCATTTCGATATTGCGGGAAATTTAAAATATCATTCCTATTTTTATATTCCAATTAATTTTGATATCAATAATTCACTTATGAATTTTAAGATATAGAATAATATAATGTAGTATTATGTACACATTTAATTAAATATTTGTAAAAGTAAATTTATCACGGTATTAGAAAACATGTTTAAATGTAATGCATGTACCATTAACAAATAAAATACTTTTTATTTGATAAAGTAGAGTTTTTATTTATCAAAATAAGAATCAATAAAAAATTAATTTCTTATACGTGTTCGCTTTATGCATTAATCAGGGAATTTTTCCTATGTTTCAAATCAATGTTATTAATAAGTTATCTTCGTGCTGCCGTCAATAATTCGTAATGAAAAAATTAATTTTCATTTGATTATTATTCTGATAAATACAAATAAATGATATCTTCAAGTTTCTGTCAGATTTAAATTATTCATATATTACATTCATATATTATTCATATATACAGTTTTAATTATGATAAAACTTACGGAAACAATGCCTGATTGCAACAACATGATGTTAATAATCTAGTCAACATTAGTTATCAATGACCCAGCCTAACATAACACAACCTATCTTTTTCACCCTCGTTTTGTGGTTTATGTAGTGTGACGAAAAGATATTCTAATGTCAAGAATCTCCCAAACCTGTGACTGTTCACTCAAAAATAAAAAGTCCAAAACTTTTGATAAATAAATATAAAAATTGTATTCAATTTTATATTAAAACCCGAATGTGTCACTATAGTGCATTGGCAAAATTTGGATAACGATTGTTCCGTAACGAGGTTCTGTACCTCGTCTGTGATATAGTTTTTCCTTTTTAATTTACGTAGAAATTAAATAGTAGCAAAATGGTTCTCGCAGATTTAGGTCGTAAAATAACATCTGCACTACGATCCCTTAGCAATGCAACTGTCATCAATGAGGAAGTAAGTATTCCTACAGTAACATAACCTTAAAATTCATGTTGATACAACTAATTAAAATTGTAACATATGTTGATATATGTTATTTAATATATGTTAGATTATAAATATTTTCCAGATGTTTTTCATTTCTTCAGTATAATTAATTTAATGAATTTCATAATTTCTATAATTCAATTTATTAAAAAGTCAAAATAATAATTATTGATATAAATATTGATGTCAAAAGAAATATTTAACATTTTATATTTACATATATTTGTATATGTATATACATGTAAATGTATGTATTGTATAGAAATGAAATATTAAAGTAGATACATGTATATATGATTATCCAAGAATTTGTAGTTAGTACAATATTGAACTATAATATACAATAAAAAGTTCATGATTTCTTTATTATAAATCTTTACTTCTTTATTATTAATCTTAAACCTTTACTAAACTTCTAGTATTTTTATATTGATAACATTTTGAAAGAAATTAAATCAATTAAGCTTTATTTGCATTCTAAAATGACATTTTTATTTTTACTTCATACAGTATTCTATATGATAAAATATGTGACAATAAATATTTTACATATGTTATATAATTCATGAATTTAAAATAATAAATTTTAAATAATCTAAATTTTTAATTATATTGTTATATGGATTAATGTGTATTAGTGTAAGTCACATAGATTAATGTAATTTGCTTTAATTAATATTCTCATAGCTAGAATAACTAGAATAGTATTTATTAATTAAAGTAATATAAGCACATTTACTATATTCTTATATTGATATTTTTTTGATAGGTTTTAAATTCTATGCTAAAAGAAATATGTGCGGCATTACTTGAATCAGATGTTAATATCAGGCTTGTCAAAAAGCTGAGAGAAAATGTACGTCTTGTAATTGATATTAATGATATAGCTGGTGGCCTTAATAAGAGGAGAATGATACAGAGTGCTGTATTTAAAGAACTTGTAAAGGTATGTTAAATAAATTATTTATTATTTAAAAATAAATATTAACAGAGATAAATATTTTGTTATGTATATGTTATAAATGTTTTAAAAGTAACAATATCGCACTGAATATGTTAACAAATTTGTCAATTACTTTTGTAGTAATCTTGTGTATATATAATTTTGATCTTTGTGTATATATAATTTTGATCTTTGTATCTTGTATCATATTAAATGTTTATTATCATAGTTCTTTGCAATATAGCTAATATCAATTTTTAATCATATTTGTTTTATTAAATATTTTATTCTTAATCATTATATTTATGTTGTTCCTTAGTTTTACTATTATAATTATTTATACTATTATAGTTAGATTAATCAACTAATATTGTTTGATCTATTATAATTATCTAGTCTTGAATTTCTTCTAATAATCTTTTAAAATAAAGAGAAAATTTTATGATCATTTTGTTGCAGCTCATTGATCCTGGAGTAAAAGCTTATCAACCAATCAAAGGACGTCCTAATGTAATCATGTTTGTTGGTTTACAAGGTTCAGGCAAAACAACTACTTGTACAAAACTTGCTTATCATTATTTAAAGAAAAATTGGAAGGCTTGTTTAGTTTGTGCTGATACTTTTCGTGCTGGTGCATATGATCAAATAAAACAAAATGCAACAAAAGCAAGAATTCCATTTTATGGAAGGTGAGCAATAATTTAAAAATTATTTTTTATTCAGCTCTGATTTTAATGAATTTGAAATATGTCAAGATTATTATCCTAAATAACTTTTTCCTACAAATATTACCGCTGTTCGGTCTTAATTTCTGAGATATTTATAAAAAATATATTTTATATATAAATATATTTTATATTTTAAAGCTTGAAATTCAGTGATTTTAATTAATTTAAATTTTTTTAATTTGTAATATTCGAGAGTAATATAAATCTAGTGTTTGTAGTATTTTACCGCAGCGCGGTTCCGTGTGAATATAATTAGGAAATAAATAATAAAACTGAACAAATTTATCATTTAGCTACACAGAAGTTGACCCCGTTACAATAGCACAGGATGGCGTGGAAATGTTTAAAAAAGAAGGTTACGAAATTATTATCGTTGACACTAGTGGTAGGCACAAACAGGAAGAGTCTTTGTTTGAGGAAATGCTTCAAGTTGCAAATGCAGTTGTAAGTAATTTAATAGCTTCTATCTATTCCAAGTACTGTCTAATAAACAGAAATCAATAATATCTGAATATTATTAATAATATTATTAATAATTAAAAAATTTTATTTTCTATCAATAAATTAAAAAATATAACTTATTAAATTATAATTATATTAACTTTATTAAAATTTAACATTAATAAATAAAATTTATTATTTCTAGCAACCAGATAATATAATTTTTGTAATGGATGCAACGATAGGTCAGGCTTGTGAAGCTCAAGCAAAAGCTTTCAAGGAACGTGTTAATGTCGGTTCTATCATTATTACAAAACTGGATGGACATGCAAAAGGTGGAGGTGCTCTTTCAGCGTAAGTATATATTTCATATTTTGAAAATAGATTCTTCAAACTTTTATAAAATATTTTCACATGCTTATAATTTTTAAAATATGGTATTTAAATTATATTCATATTTAAATAATATTATAAGTAAAAATAATGTTTAATGAAACATTAGTACAAGAAATAATTCGACTAAAAATAATATTAAAAGATAGTAACAATGACTATGGTAATATTAGTAATAAATCTCAATAATTCACTAAAATGCAATTATCAAAGTGATATTTATATTCCTTATAAATTTTTCATAAAACAATACTTATATAAGAATATATTTTTAATTGACACCTGATTGTAATATAACGAAATTTAATTTACATTACATTGTAACCAAATCGGAGAAATTTAATTTTGTAAAAATTAGAGATTCTTGATACTATATATGTAAGTATATTTCTATAGAGTTGCCGCAACACAAAGTCCAGTAATCTTTGTGGGTACAGGAGAGCATATAGATGATTTAGAACCATTCAAAACAAAACCTTTTATTAGTAAATTATTGGGTATGGGCGATATTGAAGGACTTATAGACAAAGTAAATGAATTAAATCTTGATGATAACGAAGAGCTACTTGAAAAAATCAAACATGGACATTTTACTCTGAGGGACATGTATGAACAGTTTCAAAATGTTATGAAAATGGGGCCATTTTCTCAACTAATGGTAAGTTTTATATTTTTAATATTTTTTAAAGGATTCATTTAAGAGATTTAAATTTTTATTTGTAATTTACATTTTTATTTTCTCTTTATAATTCTTAAAATATCTTATAAATATATATTATATATTATATATACATTTATATAAAATATATATCCAAATATTTTTTGGTTAAAATAAAAGAGATTTTTTGTTAAATAGGGAATGATACCTGGTTTTAGTCAAGACTTTATGTCGAAAGGTACAGAACAAGAGTCTATGGCAAGACTAAAACGTATAATGACTATTATGGACAGTATGAATGATACAGGTTACTTTTTTATTTTAATTATATTTAATTATAACAAACAATATGAAATCTGTGAGAAATGTCAAGAAAAATTTATATTTTTTTAACATCTATAAATTCTAGGGAGAAATTCATTGAAGTAATCACCGAAAAAACAGTTTGTAGCATATAATTAGGCTTGTATATTAATAAATATATATTTAATTTATAGTTTCATAATTTCTAAATAAAAAATAAAAAATATTAAGTAAACGAATATTTATAGAATTGGACAACAGAGATGGTGCGAAATTATTTAGTAAACAACCAGGCAGAATTGTAAGAGTAGCACAAGGTTCTGGAGTAACAGAAAAAGAAGTCAAAGATGTAATTACACAATATACAAAATTCGCAGCAGTTGTCAAGAAAATGGGTGGTATTAAAGGATTATTCAAAGCAGGAGATATGTCTAAAAATGTAAATTCAATACAAATGGCAAAGTTAAATCATCAAATGGCAAAAATGATGGATCCCAGAGTTTTACATCAAATGGGTATGTAATGATTTTATTGAATAATACTGACTATAATTCGATATAAAATTAAAGAATTTTAAGAAACATATAATTAATTGATTTAATTTTTGTTTGTTTCCATTCATTGTTTTTAAAAATGTGAATATTTCTAATTTGTGTATTATGAGTATTTATATAAGTTTGAATCAGCTTTATGTTCCTTCTATTTAAATATTACCATTTTTCTTTTCGCAGGTGGCATGCCAGGATTACAAAATATCATGAAACAACTTCAACAGGGTGCGGCAGGAGGACTTGGAAATTTAATGGGTGGTTTTGGTGGAAAATCGTGAAAAATGATTTGTTAGGCAATATAATGACTGATATAATTCTTTGTTAACCTATTAATCGGGGAAGACGAGTCAATTCGTCATTAGAATAATAAATTTTTTATCTAAAAATTCCTTTTTACACATAATTCCATTTTTATTATAAATAAATTATATTATATTTTATATTTGCAAGGACTAAATTTGACTAATTAAAATTGATTTGTCTTCACTATTAACTTTGAATTTCATAATTAAGATTTCTAATTAAGGGACGATCCGTTTAACAGGTTAAACATTATTTACGTAGTCATCAGAGAAAGAAAGTGGAGGAAATGGAAAAGAGAATAAAAAATTTGAAACTTATTATTCTACGAAGATGATCTTTTGAAAGTTTTCAAGAATCTTTAGAAAGAATTTTATGTTTACAGATCTTTTTCAACGCGAAAGAAATAAAAAAGATGATGTTCGTTATCATGTGTATACTTTTTTTATGTGTAAAACTTTCTTTCATACAATTATCTATTGTATGAATATCCTATACAATTTATATTTTAAATATCTTGCTTGTTTTTGATGATAAGAAAAAAACATTTATATTTATTTCAGACATTATGCTAAATAAATCTTTTTTTTTTTTTAGGAAAAAGATAAATCGAGAATATAGAATAAAAATTTTTTAATTAAAACCCTGTTTAAAAAAAAATAAATTGCAATATTGCTTATTCAAGAAAATATTTTGTATCGTATTTTATATTTTATTATATTAATTCGATATGTACATCATGTGCTATTCCTCTTGAGAGGGATACCTGTTTTGAAAATACTATTCATTGGTAAACTATTAAAGATTTTTTTCATTTTTTCATGAAGTAACAAAAGTGATAAAAATATACGTTTAGTTCTGTTGAAAACTGTTGTGATTTTTGTTACCATATCTTTACATATACGAATTCTCCAGTAAAAGATGAGCAAAAGTAAAAAAAGAATCATTTAAATTCTAAATCATTCAATGTAAGTTGAAGGCCTTTCTTCTAAGTGTTATGCAAAGAGCGCGCATATATGTAACTGACCCGTCGATTAGGTATTAAAAACCTGTATCCACCTGTTGGACGCGTATCATATTACCGTTGTGTATCAGTGTTACAATATGATGTCCGTGTTGCGCGTCAAAATTCGATACAAAGATACGCAATGAAAATAATTGGTCATTTGTTAATTAGTTATTTTACTGTATATCAAAGAAATGATGTGATATTTAGTTTAAATGAAAAATTTGTTTTATTATACAGTTGTTCGTTTATTTCTACTATTGAAAGACAAGAAAAACATAAGACGCAAACTACATTATGCTTATCCTTACAGTATCTTTATTCCTATCTTTTATAAGAATATGGATAAAATATTTTTCATGCATTTAAGCATTTTTTCGATTATTAATAAAGCTTTAATTTTCTTTTATAGAGAGTAAAAAGATACATTGATTGGCGATCTACGTATAAAAATTAACAGAGTGATACGTTGTACCGTGTCATTGGATAGTACATAATGGTGATATGATACGCGTATAGGTAACAGGTCGATACTCGCCTATAGGTTGACTTCACACAGGGATATATGTATCACGATACGCGTATCTCTGTGTGAAATCGGCCTTAGATTGGAAATGTTTCATGTTTCACTATACCGTTGCTCGTTCATTTCTCCCGTGGACGCCCGATTGTTCGGATCTCCTCTGCAAGTACAAAAGCTCGCACACAGTGTGCGTGTAGGAACTTTTACTAATTGAAGATTATCTTCCACGATAAAATGGAGTTTAGTAAGAAAGAGACACTCGAGTTTATAGAACTGTATCGTAAAAAGAGTTTGCTTTGGGATCTGAAAAATCCAAATCACTATAATAAAATGCGGAAAGAAGATGCATGGCATGAGATTGCACAGGAGATGAAAAAATCGGTGCATCAATGCAAAAAGAAAATGGAATATCTTTTAGCAGCCCTCAGAAGGGAGAAAATGAAAATGAGGAAAAGCATCCGTGCTGGGAAAGGTGAATAAAATTCGACTCGGTTCGGATGATTTTGATTTCTTTTATTTATTTTCTTCTTTTTTTTCTGTCTAGGAACGCAGGAAGTTTATAAAAGTTCTTGGTTTGCCTTCGAAAGTATGAGATTCATATGGGACAGAAAGCCTAGACGTACAATGAGCACGGTATGTGTACTTTGTTCAAATAATTAATTTCTATTCGTCTATCAGTAATATTTTAATTTGATAATTCACGATAAAAAAAAAGAGGTAACTTTTTCTTTGAAATACAGGCTACAAACGAACAAGCGGATGAATCAACCGAAATTTTAGTAAAGGGTGAAAAAATAAATTCTTCTGTCGCAAAATTACAGAATAAAAGCCCTGATCCCGGCACGGATAATTTACAATACCCTCAGTCACAATGCTCTCAGCTATGCAAAAAAAGACTGAATCCATCGGTAGACCAACGTCTCAATAAAGCCTTTAGAATTTTAACGACCTCGGCTCATCAACTAAACGACGAAAGTTATCATTTTGGAAATTTGGTAGCTTCAAAATTGCGCAGCTACGACAAAAATATACGTCATATCATTCAAAGCGATATCATGGAGATATTTACGAAAGCTAATCGAGGCTATTACAGTAATTTCAATAATCACTCGAATTACGTTTTTCAAAGATCATCCACCGCTCATCCAGATAATCCAACCACATCTGAAACTGCCACATTCTGCAGTTCTCAAACTTCAAATATTCATACTCCAGAAATTCAAACGTCACTGTCTTCCCCAAATGAATCGTCGTCGACGTCTGACGATTTTCCCATTTAAGATTTCATTTATAAGGTATATATTATACATGTAAATGATCCTTTTAATAATTATATGTATATATTAATTTTACAGATATAATAAATATATTAATTTATTATAAGATTGGTGTATATGCATTCGGTATTCATCATATATGTAACACGATACTTCGTTTTTGTATCACACAAGAATCGTTGTGTGAACGCGTTCATCAGTCTACGTATACACTATCTACCATCTACCATTTGCGATACACGTATCTCCGTGTGAAAGCGGTTTGTGCATCAACTACTGTTTTCCTGTAATCCGAACACGTCAATTATTGGCGATACATATTTTTCATAGGAGGTCGGCAGACAAAACGTTGAAACAAAGTGGAGACAAAAACAATTCTCATTCATCCCTCGTTTTTCCAACTTAATTTATTCCTTGGTGTCAAATTAATACAATGATAAAAGATAAATATCAAGCTTACAATGGTAAATATTGTAAGCTTGATAAAATGAAAGAGTGATAGAGATAGATTCTCTTAGTTTAAGCACAGACGAGGTATATGAATTGCAAACCAAGTTCTGAGATACCGACATATATTTTTACTTGATGTAATTCCCCAATTCACCGTTATTTAACATAGAGTGCGCTAAAAAACCACTAAAAAAATCAGTGGTTTTTATTGTCGCCTACAATGTTTTTATGTATTTAGATATCTTATTAGAATACATTAATAATCACAGAAAATAAAACTTGATTTAGTGCCCGTATCCGTGTTTCCGAACATAGATTCAATCATTCAATTATTCACTACATGCATATTTTTAATACACGCTCGAAAACATGACCTTTACTTTCAAGGCGAACATCGGTTCAATGATAGAAATTCGATATTATATTACTCATATATCAGAATCGATTAGTTAAAATCAATGAAATGAAAATTCCTTAAAGTATTCCTACTTTCTAGCATTAGATTGTCAACTAGGAATAGAAATTAAAAGTTATATACCTCTGTCAAAAAGTTTTCGATCAAACATAAATAATTCGAAGGTATTTAAAAGCATGAAAGCCTTCGAACTGTAAAACGCAATTGCATATGTTTACAATATATGAGAAAATAAAATTAGTAATTCCAATTCAATTTATGGACGAGAAAGATTTCAGTATTTTGTAATACCTTCGAATGTTTATGTTTGATCGAAAACTTTTCGCCAGGAGTGAGAATTAAAAGAAAATTTGCTTAAAACTAATTTTCTTCTTTATTAGCTTCTAAGTCTTTCTGGAGATTTTGATTTTCAGAGTCTGCTGTCTGCTTCGCATATTTTTTTAACAGAAACTTCTTAGCTTCAGAATTTCTATCTGTACCATCATTTCCTAAATTGATTTAAGTTAACTAATTAGTTCATCCAAATTTGCTTCTACCAATAGCAAATCTTTAATATTCATATCACTAAAATGATTCTCTTTCAAGAACTTAAAGGAGTTTTACTACAATATAACTCGCGTTGTTTGTAGGTTTGAACAGATTTCGATTAAGAGCATAGAAATTCCATATTCCTATAGGAACTACGTAGGAGTTATAAATAAAGTTATATAATATAATATGTTATATTAAATATGTAAATCTTGTCATCATGATGGATTACAAACTATATTATAAATGTAATAAATAACACGACACTTTTTTTAGAGGAGGAAATTTTTATGACTTTCACACAAAAATTTCTATCGATGCATTTTTGTTCATACTTCATAAAAAAATAAGCAAAATATTCCTAGTAATATTTTTTGCATAAATAAAAAAATATAGATATTGCTGGTATATTAATGTTTAATCGTGTTAAGTGTTATACTAGTGTTACATAGATTATCATATTCATAAATAAATTATTATATTCGCAATTTAAGGAAGAGAAAAAAAATTAAAATAAACTTTTTATTAGAAATTAATCTCTAGATAAAATAAAAGCTAATAATAAAAAAATAAATAAAATTCCGATGCAATATTATAGGATGGTTTGTCAAATCATTTGATAGTTTTGTTTAGTTGCGTGGGTCACCTTATATTCTAAAATTCAGAAGTTTCAACATAGATATCTAATATTGAAAAAGTTGCGACACAATTTTCATTGATGTGATCGGCTGATAAAATTTGTAATTTTAATAATATATTAATGTGTCAATAATATATCAATGTATCAATAATATATTACTGTATAATTTCGCACGATACATTCGTTTAAATGTAGACTTTTATATAGTATAGTAAAATGGAATGCTCAGATAAAAAAATTTCATTTTACACTTTTTGTTTGTGTAATGTAATGTCATATAAGATTATTTACATTCAAATACTTTCACTTAGATTCAGATAGCTTTACTTTTTTACTTAAAAATTAATTTAATAAATGAGTATTCAAATTAAGAGTAACAAAAGCTTTCTGCAAGAATTTTATAGAATACAGAAGATATGTGCAATATCCTTAAAACAAGATAAAAAGGTAAACTGATAAATAAAAAAAGCGTAGAGTGAGTAATAACAAAGACGTAAAATAAGAATAGTCAAGCAAGATTGTGGAGGATGATCTTCATAAAAATTCACATATTTTAAAACTCAATGCCAAGAAACGTTCGATTCTCCATATAACACACACACACACACATATGTATAACAAAAAATGTACATCAAAATGAGTCAACATTTAAAATTCTCAATAATAATAAAAGAATTATTTATTTGGAAATGGATTCTTAAAATGCATAAAACTGGTGATGTTAAAATTTTAAATCATAGTAAATAATTTAGCATAATTTTAGTATGCTATATGTTTATAAAAAAATTTGATATATATATATAACAGTTATTTTTAATCAACGAAAATACCTGTATATAATTTTTATATTTATATTTATTTATAATATATAAATTATATTTATTATATATTTTATTATTTATTTTACATAATTGTATGAATTATATTTTATAATTATTTTATTCATATATATTTATATTTATTTATATTTATAACATTCTTTAAAATATAAGTACATTATATATTTGATTAGTAAACGAATTAGAAAAATTATGTTGCCAGATTTAAGAAAATTTTCGAAGAAGATCTCGGTCCAAGAATGTGGCTACAAGGTTGCAATTGCGATTGGGATGGTAGGGAGATATCGAAGATTGGCGAATCGATATAAAAGAAGAACGAATACTAAAGCAGCGCCAGTTTTATTAACTTTCTTTTGGGTATCACGTGGAAAAGTAAATTCCATTTAGTGAATCGTACTCATCACCTTCGGATCTATCAAACAGGTAACCATTATTTCTAATCTTGACCTTCGAATCTTCAGTTTTGTTCATGCGCATGAATAAACATAAAATTACAAAAATTAAACTAATATTCAAACTTTTACCAAAGTTGTTTGTACAATACGTTTCATTCACCTTCATCAAAGAAATTTATAAAAATTATAATGCAATTATTTACTATAAAATAATAATGCTTGTCAATTTTTCACAGTAACAAGTAACAAAAATTCTGAATCCTGAAATTTCTGAATTATTAAATTTAAAATTAAAAGTTTAAAATAAAGTTTATCTTCTTTAATTTTAAGTTAATTATTCATTTTTATTTTTATTGTGTAATTTTCTTATTTGTTATTATCATTTTTCCTTGTAATATTTATTTTATATATGCAGTATCTTCACAAGATTTTTATTATTTTATACAATCTCTTATTTTTCTCTTCATAAAATATCATTCTATTTTTATAAATTAATAGATAATATTCTAACTCAATGTATTTGTTATATCTAATTATTTCAACCATTTTTTAATAAAATAAAATTTTTTTATTTACTCCTTTAAACGAAAAGATCTTATAGAGATTGAATAAATGTTTTTATTACATTATCGTAATGCATAATATTTTTTCAGAAAACTGGTATACATTTTTTTAAATCAAAATTATTTAAATGAATTGTTTATTTTTACTATATATCAAAAATTGTAAGCTGAAAAAAAAATCGCGTGAAGTATATCTTTTAATTTTACTTTCATAACTGATTGTGGAATATAAAATAAAACTGAAAAATATAAATTTATAATTAGCAATGAATATGCATAAAATGAAAGTTTTAAGTTGACATATTTTTTAAAAAGTGATAAATATGAGAATTTTAGATCAAATCTTAAAATTTTTAATTTTAACAATTTTAAAAATTTTAAGAATTTTAAGAATTTTAAATTTTAAATTTTAAAAGTTGAGTGTGATTACAGGAATAAAATTCCCAATTTTATGAAAATTATTAAATAATTAGATTTATAAAAATAAATATGTGACATGTTAAAGATTACAAACTACTAAGAGAGTTCATTTTATAAAATAACTTTAAACGAAGAAAAGTTTTAGAAAATTAATTAATTTCTCAGAAAAAATCATTCGTCTTTACATAAGTTATGTCACACTATGCTTGTGAATCTCAGAAAACATTAGCAAAACTTCCCAATATTCATAAAAAGTAAAATGCTGACCTCATCAAATTAAACAGCTAGAATCAGCGCGTTAAATTTAAATTTATTTAAATTTTATTGTTAGTAATAAATTATCGGATAACAAGAATAAATTTTCGGCTGAAAAAACAGGAAAGATTTTTATGCATTTATAAAAAAAAATTGCATATAATGCGAAAAGAACATATACAAAACCAGAGTTATTAATATTTTTTAGAATATTTTCTGTCGAGACTCTATTTTTTTATTTATATTTATATTATATTTATAAAAAGATGAATTTTAATAAAAATACATAGTTATAATAGCTTTAAAGGTATGTCCATAATATATATATATATATACAGATGTATATATTGCTATTAAAATAAACGAAGAAATAACAGCGTGGAAGGGAGAAAGGGAGATAGAGAGGCAAAGTGAAACACTCTCGAGGTCGACGAAAGAATGACGTGAGCTCCAAAATATCATTCTTGGAATGTAGGACATTAGAAAAGTAAAAATCGAGAATCTCTGTATGTGTGTATTCCTTTCTCTTTCGATCGAGGCGATGTGGCCTGGATCAGCTATTTCCGGGTGATGGGTCTTCCTTTTTCCATAAATTAAAATTAATGCTTTTCACCACTTTGCTCAAACGTCAGCAGCATTATATGCAACACTTTCTTCGTCTTTAGTCACGAAACATATCAGTCGTTTATATTTACTTTCAATTTTCCTTTTACCTCTTTTATCTTGTTTTATTTTTTATTCTTTCATGTATAATACATTTGTTACACTTACATATGTACAGTACATTCATTCAGTATAATTTACGTTTTTGTTATATGTATGTAAAATTGAGATAACATGCTGATTTTTGTTTGATAAATTTTGTTAATAATTAATAATATGTTCTTGTATATTAGGTACATTATGTGCAACAGATTATTTTTTACATTCATCAACACAAAATAATTCACAGATATAATGTTTTTCATTACTATTTATTTCATTTTTTTATAATTAGACTATCGATTTTTATACATTTATGAGAAACTGAAAGTTGCAAAAATGCACACAATATATAATGTGCAAAAATACTATACAAAACACCCAAAGTAGAATTATTATAATATTTAATAAAACAAGTTGCTATTTAATTATGTTCATAAAAGGTCGTAGTGCTCAGTCGTAGTCTACTTCAAATTTATGACTTTGAAATTTTCATGAAAGGCTATAATTTTTTATATCAGTCGTTTTATCATCTTTGCAGACGTACCAAGACAGAAGAAGCAAAAAAGAAATGCTTGTCAGCTCATTAATATTAATTGCTATCTTTTCAACAAATGGATTATCTTATTCGCCACAAACCGACACAGGTTTGTATATTTGATATTAATATTTATAAATAATATTTATAAATAATCTATTAAATTCTATTGTAATCTATTTTAAAATGAAAGATAGATTTTTTATTCCTAGATATTTTATTCCTATTCAAAATTCATTTTTTATATAGAAAAATGTTTCAAACAAAGGTTGTATGATATCAAAAGAATCGTACAATGTAATAATTAATTTTTCACGTTTTTTCACCACCATGAAATTTCATCATTTTTCATATAAAAAAATGCTTACAAGTAATTTTATATTATTTTATACATTCAATATCACTTCAAAAATTATCGTAACGATTAATAATTTATTAAAATTTTCTATAGTATCTAATATCTAATATATATCTTATCTATAATAATAAATCCATTACTAATAAATTTTCAACGTATAGTGAATTTTTGTATTCTCTCGTGTTAAATCTTTTCTATACATTAAGTAGAAGATTTCATATGAAATGAAGTTCAAGCTGTTCGTATCACTGATGTTATAAATTATCTTTTTCTTCATGTAGCATATCAAAATTCTGAACAACAGGGAGCCACATTTCAAATTCCGGAACAGCAAATAATATTTCAACTTCCAGAGCAACAACGTGTGCTTCAACCTCCTGAACAAGAGGTAATATTTCAACCAGAACAACACGGTGTTTTATTTCAAAATTCTCAGCAAGGGGTGATATTTGAAAGTCCTAAACAAAACACCGATGATTTTGCTCCCGATGGTTCGCAAATCGCGGAACAGGATAATGACTTTACAGTTAGCTGTACTGGATTGAATAGAATTTGTACTAGCAAAAAGGATTGTGTAAACGGTTACGTTCATCTTGGTAAAAGTGCCATTTATCCTTCGTCCATCAAGGTAAATACTATTCGTGTGTTTTTAAAATATTATGATTATCTCTGGCAGACAAAATTATAAAACACTTTATATGTATATCGCACCTTGCGAAAAAAGTGACATAAATCAAAGAACATGATGTCTTATAACTTTGTTCGTTAGAGTAGCATGATGCACTCTGTGTATAAGAATTTCGTTAACGCAGTAGAATAAGTTGAAACAGCCTGTGCATGCTTTTTCAAAATGTTATTCCGTGATCTTAATCGTAATAACGATGTGATAGATCTTTCTTTCGTCTTTCATTTCAAAAGTATGAGAAATTTAATTTTTATTGAATATAAAATTACCATTGTCTTATATATTTCTCTTAATAGGCACAGCAATGCAGAATTCATGATCAAGTTTGTTGCACGATTGCAAAGGAACTTGAAGGGGAATTGAAAACATTTGAGAAAAATGTAAAAAATAATTTCAATAATATAAATTATCAAACTGGACAAACAAACACAAATTATAACCAGGTTGCTAAACTAAATAAAGGGGAAGATGAGCCAAATATTTTTGGATTTTCTATACAAAGTACATTAATTTAATTTCTCACTTTTATAATATATGCATAGTTAACAACATGTAATTATTACGTATAAAGATTAATTCAATGCCTTCTTTAGATAAATTTGTCTATACTCTTGGATCATTCCGATAGGAAATTAATTTTTTAGTTATTCAAAGTTGTAAAACAACCCGAGAGAAATTTTCATTTAACATAATTATTCAAGTTCTTTGAATTTTCAATTTTCAAATTCAAGTGGTAAAAGCATCAAATTAATTTCTGTACGTAATAATAAAAATAGCAATAACAGCTTATAGCACAATACAAAAGTGATTGCTACAAAACGCGCCAAGATAATTAATTTTCAATTGCAGTTTCTGGATTGCAACGTAACGAAAAATTTATATAAAATATTAGACAATTTTTATGATTTCAAGGCATACATATATTCTTTTCTTATTGTGTTATGAACAACGTGTTTATATTTTTTCTAAACAGGATGTCAGATATTTTAAAAGAGGTTTCTAACTGAAGAGATTTCTAACCGATGTGTTTCGTTTCTATTTCGAAATCGTTTTGACTTAGGATTCTCATTATTAATTTCTCGGGGAAGCAACCTGTAACACGTTTATTCCATACATATTCAAGATCTTCTAAGTGTTATGTAACCGAAGAATATGCTTTAGCAAATCGTATGAATTATTCAATTTTTTAATTTGCCGATTGCTAAACGAAATAATTGTTGCCATTAATATCGGCTTTTAACGCAATGCATGGGACAGCATAGTAGTACTAAGGAATATCTTATATCAACAACAATTTTATAACATTTTTTCATTGAAATTTCAAAATCAGGCGGTCTTGCAATCCCAACCCATATACAGATTGGATGTGCAGCAGCACTGCTATGTGTTGAAGAGAAATTTTGCACCATAGACGGAATGATTAGTCCAGAGCCTGTTGTATTGACAGAAAAGCAACTTCTTCGACGTGTGCCAATGAGCGTAAGTAAAAATAATAAATTCAACAACAAACTCAAAAAATTAGTTTGTTATTAACATATTAGAGATAAATTCTCATGTCTTGGAGAAATAAATTTTTCCATTTTTTCGTTTCTAGTATCGATATTTTATATTTTTAGCATCAATATGTCATTATAAATGTCAGAACGCGTTTCATAATAAAAAGATATTTTTAAATCATAATTATTATAGTTTTATTAATAATAGAATATTCGAATATTCAGATAATACGGATAATGGAAGCTTCACATTATTTTAACTTCAGTTGTATAAAGTATTTGTCCCCTGACAAATTTATGTAAACAGAGTTTTATTGTATTCAGACAATAATAGAAAATCATATAAATGGAGTTCTATTACAATAATATATTCGTGTGTTCGGATAAAGGAGGTTCTATTGTATGTAACACGTTAATAAATCTTTAAATTATTAACTTAGGCATGAGATACTTGAAAATATATATCTATCGGATTTTTATTGACTTTTATGAAACATTGTTGTATTTTCTATAGAGTTGTAAAAATCCTGATAATGGAATAATTGGCAAGTGTTGCCGGGATCCAAACTACGTAGATCCTTGGCCAACAGGGAATCTCCCAGCAAATTATTCCGGTGGATTTGACGAACAAGGATTTCCAACGTTTATGAATATTGTTAAAGTGAAATTACCTGTAAAAACTACCAAAGTACCTGTAAAAACTCCTGTAAATGAAGAGATCACCAAGGAAATTGAACCGGTGTTGATAGGAGGAAATTCTGATATTTCTTCGAAAAAAATATATTTGGTGCCTCCAACAACAGGCGGAGATGAAAAAGGTGCTTCTAATGCTCCAGAACTGAAATTAAAATGTGGTATTAGAAACAAAGTAAGTGTCTTCAAATGCATGTAAATAAACATGAATTTTAAAAGCTTGCTAATATTGTACTACTAATAATGCTATATATTGTTTTACAATATACTAACTATATGTCATGTAACATTTGCATGCAAAGTGATAAAACTGTAACATGTAAAAACCATATAAACTATATTATCTTTTTTTATTACATAAACTGCGTTTGTACTATAATAGTTTATTATATAATGATAATCAGCATAGTCTGTGAAATGAATGATATATGATGTTAATTAGCTCACAATTAGATCGCTAGGTCTTTATGATAATTGTAAAAAATGATGTCACTGTCTTTTTTTCGCTGTATTATCAACTACAGTAAAACATCGATTGTCGTTGAGAACATTCGGATAACAGAAAAGCAGTTTTTTTTATACTAAATTTCATATATTTTAGACATAAAATATTAAAGATCCCATAATTTTTTAGCCGCTGTCGCGTAAGTAATTGCATGCTTCACATTTAACTTCCTTTTTTGAAAACCATAAATGAGGACATGATGCGTGTGATATGACTCTATAAGATGAACAATAATGAGTACAATAGAAAGTACAAAAAAAATTAAAATAGTCTAATATGTCACGACTGTGATATCTATTAACATAAGTATCAGAATTATTAATATTCTGAATATGAATAAATGAATATATTTTTAAGAAACTAGTGTTTGTTAATTAGGTATTGCAACAATCTGAAGTAGAAGACACTAAAACAATTTTTGCCGAAATTCCGTGGCAAGCGATGGTCTTGCATTTAAAGGAAAGAAAAATTCTCTGTTCTGGTGTTCTACTTGGACCTGAAAATGTATTAACAGCGGCTAATTGCGTCGATAAGTAAGCATGTTAAGTATGAATAGTAAGGCAGTTAATTGCAGAAATTGAATTTACTGATCTGAAAAAATCAAATATCAGAAATTTGAGAATAATCTCAATTTACTGTTCAATTTCAAATAAACTCTTAATTTATTGCTAAATTTCTACAATTTAGTAAGAGATCTGTATTACAGAATAAAATGTCAATTAAATATAAGTAAATTTCTTCATAAATTAACTATCTCTCTAAAATTTGAATAATCAAATAATTTAAAAAATTGATTGAAATCTATTATCTAATTCTAACTTCAGTATATGATTAATATAATTTTTTATTTTATTTTTTTAATTATTTTATTAATGAAGCCTGTCACCGATGGACATTTCGGTAAAATTAGGGGAATGGAAATTAGGATACGAATTGAGACACGAAGAACCATTAACTTTCCAAATCATCAATGTATCATCCATCAGTTTACATCCTAATTACAAGGGAAAATCTGGAGACTATGATCTTGCAATGTTACATCTTGAGAATCCTATTACTTTCGATCTTCATATAAATCCTTTATGTTTGCCTAAGTCAAAGCATTTACTTCAAAAGAATAAACTGTGCATTACCACTGGTTGGGGGAAATCCATTCTTCAAGGTAATTAAAAAATAATTATAAAAAAGAGAAAGAAAAAATTTCTTCAACCATCTGTATCTAATTAATTATTAAATTGTGAATATATACAATAATATTTATAAAAGTCATAATTAGGAAAAAACTAAACATTTACCAAATATACTAGTATTTTTATATTTCATAATATTAAAATAATAAAAATACTAGATACATAATATTGTTTCAATGACAGAAAAATCTTTTTTTTTAGAATTTTTTAGATATATTTAATCAATTTTTATAGATAAAAATTTCTTTTCGTTAAATTTATATAGATTTATTTCTAATCCATAGAAAATCAACATTTTATTAACGCTATATTTTATTTGTAATTTATTATCGGAATATAGTACCAAATTCTATCAAATTTGACTTGAATTTGACTTGTAATAAATTATGAATATATATAGTATTATAAAAGGCAGAGAATATCATTTTAAATTATTTATCATCATGTTATAAACATAAATTCTAATATTTCTCTTAATATCAAAAGTAAAGTTTACCTTTTAAGAGGAATACATTTTGTGTAAGGATAACTCCTTTCACAATGACGAAATATTTCGTCATACCCAGTCAAGAGGTTAAAGATATATAAATAAAATAAAATTTAAAAAAATAATACAAATATATAGAAAACGTATATTAAAATTTAAATATTGTTTATTACAATAATGTTATTTTCTAAATACTGATTCTGTCTCTCTAGATAAAAATTTTATTATCTTTATATATATGTATATAATAATTATATATTATATCCACATTACTATGATTATATATTATATGGTAATCAAAGTAAGTCAGAAGTTGAAGATTAAAATAAAGATATCAGCAACATTAAGAACAAAAAAATCAAATTAAATGATTAATTAATTACATAAATATTTCTGTTTCAGCGCATTACGCTGGTGCAATCATGCACGCTATTAGCATGGACATACTATCAACGGAACGTTGCAAGGAATTACTACTAAACACGAATTTTGGAGTTGACATTGCAGATAGAATTCTATGTGCTACACCTAAAGAAGAGAAAAATAATATTTGCGACACGGATATTGGTGGACCTCTTGCTTGTCAAAATGAAGACGGTTCTTATGAATTAGCTGGAATTTATAGTCAGGATACAGGATGCTATCCATCAAATCAAGTAAGAGATACGTAATAATCAGATTACTATCGAATCAATACTATACGAAATCAGAATTATACTGTACAAATTATGACACAGTATCAAATATTATACAGATACTATTAAGATAGGCATCAAAAATATTAATACCCATTTGATATTTCTATGAAAGTATCGATTTAGGTTTAATACTTTATGATAATATAGTATATTATAGAGGGTATTAACCATTAATGTCATTGTGTTTAATTAACAAAATATTCCTTTCCTTAATATTTATATTAAATACTTATTAAATACACATAATTTAATGTCTACCTATATCGTAATTATCAATGTCACTGTTCAATTGATAAAATATAATTCCCTTTGTTTATGTTTATATTTATTCACTGAGTTGAAATAAGTTTGCTGAAATATCAATACGTGTATCGAGATACATTAGCAGAGCAAATATCGATATCATACAGGTATCGATATTTTCATAACGTATCACGTGGGTATTAATTTGCTATAATTTTTTTCCATTTGGTATCGATTCAACTTCAAAACTTCGATATATATCGATATTTCTAATTGAATATTTTGATACTGAATTAATTGAACATCGTTAGTAATATCGATATCGATCCTATTACTAAATCATACATTGCTATTTATACTTGCCATATTAATACTATAATTATATACTAGAACTATCGATGGTAAATATTGCGTTTAGGGGGACCAATTTCTGATGACCTTGACTTTCATCCTCCTGAATAAAGGTCACGTTTCTGAATGAAGGTTATTTTTCGAATAAGAATTATTCAAGTCTCTAAAAACGATTATTAAATTTTTTACAAATTGGTTTTGATCACTCTGGTAGTTCTAGTATTGTTGAAATTATTCATATGTTACTCATAGAAATTAACTATAATATTATATTATATGCTACTCTATATTTTATGTTTCAGGTTGCTATGTTCGCTCCATTAGATTTAGGATGGCTGAAGAATATTATGTCCAACATTACACTTGAGGAAAGTCACAACGTAAATAATAAACCATATATATCTTCAAATGATTATAGAAAGAGTACTTTGGACACAGATAATCAATATCTACCTCCAAATTAAAAATTTATTGAATATCTTTGTCTTTAATATTTAATATATGTTTTTGTATTATATAATAATTATTAAAAAAACTATAATGAAATATCTTAACATAAGAATTTACAATTATATCTTATTTCATTTTATGTATAATTGTATTTGTTATTCATTTAGATTCAAAAAGAAAATAAAAACCTTGTTGTTTCAATCTCTTCAGACTTTTAGCTCTTAAAGTCTATGTCAGATTCCTAGTCAATTCATTAGAATGTATCCCTAATTTATTATTGTGTTATTGCAAATTTGTGAATCTGTTCTTTTAAATACATACATTATTTCTAAATCTTTGTTATGGAATGGCTGTTATTGTTCTTAAGATTCTATTTTGGAATCTTTGTATTCAAACTCTTTTCATTAGCACAGATTCAAAGTTGGATATTATATGTCCATATTGGAATAATTGCAACTTTGTATGATACTAACTTGTTTTATAAAGATAAAGAGGATTTATATTTTAGAATCCAATATAATTTTCTCATCTTCATATTTGTTTCTCTTTTGCTTGCATATGATTTTTTTATACAACCTTTTATCTAGATGTATGCCAAGATACTTTATGCTGTTTTTTTCAATTTTATTGATTGCAAGTTTCTTATAGATAATAATTGTTATAAGACTATCATGTACATTTTAAAACAATGAAATAAAACTAATGTGAAACTAATATTTTTATTAGATTTGCATTTAATAAAGTACACATAAGCAATTTTAATTCAATAGTTTTTATAAAGGACTTTTTTATTTTTTTTTTTAATATTTTAAACAACTACAAATATTTTAAGCTTCAATGTTACTTCAACTTTTAATTTATAATATGTATATTTACATACACATTTATATTATGAATTTAGAGATTTATATATATCACTCAATATAATTATATGATTGTATGACATAATAAATGAAAAATCAATTTTAACATAACTATAAGTACGTTTTAAGTACGTTTAAGATTTAGATTGCTCCTACAATAAAGGTTAACATAAGGTAGCGATTCGTCATTCTTTCTTATCAATATATCATATAAATCAATGTATAATGTATATACATGATTTAAATAATATCTATACATCTATATACTACATAAGCAACGGTAATTTATTATTGTACATATATTGATTTTATAATTTATTAATTCAAAATTCTTTTATTAGAAAATCTTGATTTTCTTACCCTAGTAATATTTTATTCCTTTATAATTTTTTACAGATTCAGAAATTTGTATCACACGTATAAAAATAAAATTTTCCAACAATTATGTTTATAAATAAATAAGCAATTTTTATAAAATGTGCAATTTACCGTGTATTTACTTGAAATAATATACACCAATAGTTTCAAACTTCACTTATACTTCTCAGATTTATATTTTCAGTGGCGCCAGTTTGGTGCAACTGTGTCCACTTTTGGTACTAAAATATTGAATCCTTTCCCCTGCTATCATCCGACACAACATCTATTCAAAAAGATACGTTCATTTAATGACGAAAATCATGTACCTGTAGTACAAGGCGATAAAAGTTCGAAGTATCTTAGTACGGAATTAATTCTACTTTTCGTATCGTCAAGTAACGCTACATCTATTAAACATGGATAAAAGAAAAATGTCGTGAGTACTTTACCACCCTTGCTTAAACATTTGCACTTTAAACTATTTCCTTACTTTGAAAATCACGTTATTTTATTTCAACAGTATTCAATATAAAATTTTTTAATTGAAATCTGTGAGTATACCTCAGATATTTAAAAAAACTGTACAAAATTTAGAAAAATTCTAGGTTATTCTCTTATTCACTTTTATACGTTTTAATCTTTCTTTCTTATTTAATTTATATTTTAGTTTATTTTAGGAGGAAAAATCAAGGAATCATTATTCTGTTACCTGACAGTTTGTTTTTTTAAAATAAAAATATACTTTCTACTAGGTTAATTTGTTGATTTGTACATACTGTCTTAATGTACGTATGTATATACATGAGTTTAAAAATGATTGTCATTAAGATTAATTTATTGTTTATTTCTTCAAAAACATATTTAATTCATTCATATTTAATGAATTAAATTGATTTATTTAAATTTTAATACGAAAGTTGAATGTCAACTGTAATTGTTAAATTTGCAAAATATTTCTTGCGTAGTTGTAAAAATCAATGTAATAAAAATTTTAACTCATTGAAAAAAGTCTTATACTATTGAAAACAGTTACTTATATTTTAAAATAAACTATAATGACTTATGTCTAGCTTAATTAATATTAATGAATCTTTGTAAACAATTAGATTAATTAATCCAATTTATATTTCTTTGTTTAACATTACTTTTATTAAAATTAAATTTTTATTATATAATTGGAAATATTTTATAAGTACAAAAATTTATCTATCTAACTTAAATACTTTTCAATGTAGGTACATAACAAGAATTAATAATTAATTGATTTATTAACATTTTCTTTGTTTTAGGACAGCAGGGGATTCCCTGTATCAAATATTAGAAATTTCAAAAACCGCCACTCCTGAAGAAATTAAAAGGACTTATAGAAAGTTAGCATTAAAGTATCATCCTGATAAAAATCCAAATAATCCAGAAGCAGCAGAAAAGGTAACATATTAGCAAAGGTCAATATTAATTATATTCTGTTTATTTTAACAATAAGTATCTATTTGATATTTATTTTAATTTAGTTTGCTAGTGAATTAATCTTTTTATACATGCATGAAAGTAATTTTGTTAATTATAAAGATGACGGTGAAAAATCGTTGATTTCAATGATTTTTGGATATGTTGTAGGAACCAATATTTTGAACTTTTTTTTCTATATATATAACCGCTCGGTTTTAATTTTCAAAATATTGATATGGAATACTTACGTGTGGGTTAGGTTTGTCTAAGAGCATGATTATATTATAAGTTCGTGACGTAATAAATTTGCCTCGCATTTCCATTCTTATAGAAGGATAAGATCTTTCGTTGGATTTATTGTTGCTGATAAAATCTGATCAAGCTAATCAAATAAGTTTCAAAATTTTAATTCAGTGTTAGGAATTCCTCATGTAATCGTTTTAAGATTCGGTCAAGGACAAATCGGAAAAAAAATATATAAGCGCAATGAAAAAAGCCCACAAGCAGAATTACATCATTTTTACATCAAAAAGTTACCAAATGCAAAGTTTTGTCTTGCTCTAATAAATATTCTGCGAAATTGTAAAGTATAAGTTCTTAATTATACCTTAACATAACATCCGCTGTCGTAAGACGACCGACTAGCTTCATGTTCAAGATCAAGTTGACTTATCGGTTCAGAAAGTTTGTCATTTATTGAATATTGTCGAATAGCTGAGCTGAGTTGTATTTCTTTTCTATTCTTTGTATTTATGGATTGAAACGTGAAATATATAATCTCATCGTGATTCAGACGTATGTAAAACGTGTATACATTTATTTTTCAAATTTGGAAAGAACTACAAATAATTAAATTTTTAGTTATAGTAATATAAATTTCACTGTTAATAAGGATGTAGAAAATTAAATAGTTTTCATTCAAATAATATATTTCTATAATTTTGTGCAAATTGTTCTAATAACCTAATTATATCTTTTTTAATTTTAATTAGATGTTCATTTAGATACTGTATCTATTATTGTATATGTATAACTATATTTACTTTAAATTTTATTTTTATTAATTTCTTAATATGCCAATTATTAATATTAAAATAAGTCCTTAATGATAATGAATATTTAGTTTCACTTTTGAATGATTTTAAAATGGAAAATGCACAATGAAATCCTTATTGATGATTAATGATTTGGTTATTAATAATTTGAATTTATTACTTTAAATATTATGTTTGTTTTAAGAAGAAATACCTTTATGTGCAATGTTTAATGTTTTATTTTTAACATTTTAACTTTATTACTTACTTCAGTTTAACTATGTTTTTGTCATAGTTTAACCATGTCATGATTCTAACCATGTATGCATATTCAGATAAATCTTATAAATCAGAAAGAAAGAATTTAAATTATTAATTTGATGCAACTTAATGTAATTTTATAAAATTTTATAAAATTTTATAAAATTTTATAAAATTTTATAAAATTTTATAAAATTTTATAAAATTCATCTATTTGAACATAATTGTTTCAGTTTAAAGAAATAAATAGAGCACATGCCATATTAACAGATCTGACTAAGAGAAATATATATGACAATTATGGATCACTTGGATTGTATGTAGCTGAGCAATTTGGCGAAGAAAATGTTAATGCATACTTTGTAGTCACTTCTGGTTGGTGCAAGGTAAGTTTTTGTTGTAATTTCCAAATTTTTTTTTATAAATTAAATATTATTTTAATATTGGTTTTAGTACATTTAATACAACAAATTTTTGTTTGCAGGCACTCTTCATATTTTGTAGTTTGATAACTGCATGTTATTGCTGTTGTTGCTGCTGTTGTTGTTGCAACTTTTGCTGTGGCAAATTTAAGCCAACACCGCCAGAAGATAGTGGGGCATATCACAATTTACAGGTAACATTTTTTTTCCATTATCTATTAAAATATAAAATATTTTATGGTAAGAACGATTATATATATTGTTTATTTAAAACGAAATTCAGTTAAATCCAACTAATTATTAACTATTATTTATAATTTATATTATTATACATTTACTAGGAATATATGATAAAATTCAAGAAAAGAAAAGAAATTTTTTAAATATTTCTAATATAATCAAAGTTTTTAATAAATCGAGGAAAATATTTTAATATATTTTATAATATGCTTATATACTTTGTGTTATACCGATTTTTTATTATTTAAAATTGAAGTTCATAAATTACTTGAAATTTTAATACGTAACGTAATAAATTACGTGAAGAACTAAATTAATCGATAATTTTTTAATTAAAACATTTTTAACATGCTTTAATTTAAAAAAAGTTATATAAAAACATATATTCTATTATACACATAAAAATATTAAATATTTTCAATATTTTAATAATAATAATAATAATTACATTACACATTATTTTCAATTTTTTATGTTTTAATGATTTGCAATAAAATTACACAATTTATTTTGTAAATATTTATATAAAAATTTATTTAAAATATTTAAATTATTAAATTATATAAAATATAAGAATATAAATTGTATATGTCAATTAAAAAAATAATGACAACATATAAATAGAATTATCTTGTTACTATGATCAAATATTCTAAAAAAAATTAATTTTTATTGATCGCATTTCTTCTTTAATCTGACATTCTAAATATAAATCTTAAATATAAGTTCTTGTTTAGAAAATGACAAATTTAGATAAAACTGTAACTCAGTGATAAATTACATGATGATGGAATGTTGATAAAATATATCAGAATGAATCATATTCAAAGCAAATAATTAAAATATATTTGTAACTAAAGTCAAAATGCTCATAGTTTGAAATATTTAATTGAACATGTTTAATTGAATCTAATGTTTTGTCAACATTCTTCAACTATAATGAAAAGAACTTCAGATAAATGTTATTAAATATAATGAGAAAATTTTTTTACATATCTATTATATAGCAAATGCTAATTTTTCCATTTAATTTACAAAAAAAGTGAATTGATAGTATTTTGAAATATTAGTTTATAATACATCTACAGTATGTCCTATTTATCCGCATATGTGCTACTATATCCTTAATCATTAGAAATATTAAAAAATGTTTCATATGAAAGTTGTTTGACTTTATAGGAGGAATTCTTTAACAGTTAAATTTCTCCAGTTAGAAATGAACGAATACTTTTTTTCTTTACATAAATTCATTTCCTGAAGTTATTTTAACATGTGTTCAGTGGTTTAAGAAGTATTTTTGCTGAGATAGAAATAAAAAAGTAGAAGATTATTCTGTTTCTTATTCTTAAAAAGGTAATTAAAAATGCATTGTATATGATATATTTTAAAATAAGGCACAATACACAGTCCTATGTTGCAATTGCACATATATCTCGTTCCCTTTTTTTGACTTCGCATCTCGTTTAGAAGAGAAATCCAGTAATATATATATATATATATATATATATATATTTTGGTGGCACAAAATTTAGAACATGTTTTTCTATTAATCTTAAAGATTCAGGTTCACTACTAGGATGTCCTATATTTTTATTTGGTGTTTGGTATTTTCCAATTTTTTTGTAGAAACTCTTTTCTGCTCATTATTTTTTTAAATATAAAATAAATGAATTCTAAACTAACATATATCTAATATATGATAGAACATGTTTTTACATTTTCCTTTCCTTTTCCTTATTGTCGGTTGGTCGATTAGATTACCATAGTTTACCATAATTGTCAACTTTGTTATTTATGATAGTATTGTAAGAATTAATAATATGTCAATTATTATCTTTTTCTTTCAAAATGCTTTTCATAATTTTAAATTCCATAATTCTTCTGGAGTGTCTTTTCTATTAAATTATAATGTTCTATATCGATCAATATTCTATTCCAAAAGAAATTCTATAAACTATCTACTAAGTATAAAAATTGTCTACTGTAAAACAATATTTTTTCCTAATTATAGAAATTTCAGTGCCAGCATAAAAATCTTTACAAATTGATATCTATTTCTATTATTGCCAATTTGTTAAATTTTACAAAAGGAATTCAATAATGTACCAACTATATATGTTTGAACGATAATTTATCTATTAATACCTAACTGACTATTTTATGGATCAAATAATTGAATATTAAACGTATATGAATTCGATGGAAATATTTTTAAAACTAAAATTATTTTTCATAGAATTTGGTATACAGAGAAAGAAGAAGAAATCATATTATTTTATGATAAAAAATAGTATAAATAAATGATACTAGAAGAGAAGTCATAAATAATTTAATGTAATTAATTAATTATTTAGTTTAATTAACATAATATATTTTTAAAAATAATATAATCTTATATTTTTAAATATTAAAATTATTAAAATTATAATTATGTTTAAAACTGTTAAATCTATTGACACTAAATAAAAAATTAAAACAGTGAGTTTTACATTGTATTGGTACAACATTATAATTGTGCAATAACATATTTTGCAATCAATTAAAAAGTAATAAAATATGTAAGTATGGATTTTAATAATACAGTGCAATGTGAATCCAGACAAGCTTTGATCAGCTTATTGGTATTATAAGATATTATAAATATATATGTGACATATATTTACATGTCAATATATGTAATATATATGTGACATATATTCAAATGTCAATATATGTAATATATATTGACATATATTGACATTGAATGATTTTGCCTTATAAATTAAAAAATTGATTAAATATTTCTATTTCTTTTCTAATAATATAAGGATAGTAATATAACTTAAAGAGATAAGATTATTCTATTTAACTTAATATCAAAAAATATTTTTAATTTTGTTCGAATAGTTTATTTAAAATTTACTTTAAACGTTAAATAACTTTTATAAATTTTAAACAATTTATTTAATTTACATAATTTATGTGAAATTCATTTTAAATGTTTTCGTGGACATATTTATAAAAATGTAATATATGAAACATTTTTAAAAATTATGAAGGCAGATTTATTATATTCAATATTATTGTATTACACGTATTGTAAATAATATTACACGTATTATAAGTAATGTCGTTTTTTAAAATGGTTCCTTTCTTATGAAACAGTCGTCATCCTTGTATAATTTATTATGTTTTCGGAAAGGATGATTGTATATTGTTTTTGCTAGTAAAGTTTTTGTCAAATAAGAAAATTTGTAATATGAAAACTGATATCAGGTGGGAAGAATAGATATTCTAGAAAGGACTTTTTGATAATTGATTTTGGCAATGATTCCAGCAAAATTGCATGTAATTTACCTAATTATTAGCATTAATTACAATTCAATTTCATTTTATATTCTCTGTTGAAATATATTTATTGTTTCGGTAGCAGATTTTAGAGGAAATTTTTGCATGAATTTTCTGCACGAGATCAAATGCTTTCAATCAATTTTTTGTGTTAAGTAAAAATATTTTTAGTATTATTTTTGTCATATTTTAGTAAACTATGTATCATTTTGAACAAAAAAAAACGACATTACTTATAAAACGATTTAACATTTAGAAATTGTCATTGATTGTTCATTAATAGTAGAACAATTTTTGACGTACATAATTATCATAATTAATATCTATAGATTAATAAATATAATATCTTCAGATTAATTATATATATGTTGTTGAACATGTTCTAATATCATTAAATCACTAAATTTAATCATTTAACTTTTGTAACATGTTGCAAAAGTTAAACTGTAAATATCAAACTGCATTTTATAAGAATAGTCAATTACTTATATAATTTAAGTATGTATATTAGCCGTATTCAAAAAACACTCGTCACAACCCAAGGTGGTGATTTATTCTTGTGAGTGTTTCTCGATGACAGTGATAAATTTTCCCGATATCCCGATATATTTTTGAATAAATCTCCGTATCGCTTCTTCTGAGATAAAAAGAAGATCAAAGCTATTTTGTAAATATGTACACAATTGTTACATTAATTAATTACACACTTTGTATTTTATGAAGAGTATAGGAACTGCATAATAAGACAGAAAGTTCTATTATGTCCGAGGCAGAATATTGTTTTATTCTTCTCTTGTAAATTAAGAAACTGTGCTGCAGAACTCCTGCGCTCGAACAATAAATTGCACCTTTTTGTTAACGTTGATTTTACAGATTTACGAGGACAAGGAACGTAATGTTTCCTTTTTTTTCTTTATTTCTCGACAATTCAGTGCACATTCAACGCAATTGATTGTTTCCTTGATCAGTCATATCTCATATTTGCCATACATCATCGATCTGTAATTTGTGAAATCTTTTCTGATTTAGCCTAGCATGCATTTTTTGCGTCTGCCTTTTTTTTCTTTTTTTTTTAGAATACGATAGATTAGCGGTTTTGTTTACGTTGTTGTTGTATTGTAGCGGGACCAGAACCCAGAGGCAAATGTCGTGACGAATCAGCCCAGAGGCCTGGCTAAGGTAAGTTTTTCTCCAGTATCAGTGGTTCTTAGTCCTCTAATTTCTTTTGTTAAAACTGAATGCGACTGAAGTTTTGTTTTCATTGTGGTAAATGTTTCTGAAAAATTATTTTTAAAAATTGTTTTTACTAGGTTTTTAAGATTTTGCCAATGATATAATCTGTGCTTGTTAAATGTTTTTTTTCTTTTTTCATTAGTTTCAGTCGTGCAAATTGTACTTGGAATTGTATGTTTTTCATTTTATATATATTATTTTTTTAGATTTTTAATCCGTGAAATTTTAAAATCGTGAATTTTTTGTAAAATACTCATACGTAATACTCGCAATTTCGTTTATATTGATGTGATTTCATAAGAATTTTTCATTTCTAGTGATTTACACTAGGAATTACAAAATCGTGATAAAACTATGTCGTGAAAAGAGAATATATTTTATATATGTTATTTATATAAAACAGAAGAGGAAATGAGAACCATTGAGACAGACATACATATAGAGTATATATACATATTGTTCGTTTCTCGATCATTTTCATACCAGCTTCTTGAACATTTTCGTTTCCTCTTTCATCATTCTTTTTTTATTTCTTTTCTGGTCTTCATGACGGAATATACAGAACGAGAATTACAGGTTTGTATACGTTGACTAAGGAGAAACACGATGTTCCGAGTTTGACAAACGAAATTCACGACTGATATGAGTGCTTTTTGATTTGGATCTATTTCAAAATATAAATTAATATATGAACAGAGAAATCCTAAAATATCAGACATTTCCTTTTAAAAACTGGTTTTGAATAATACACTTCAATAATTCACCATAATATCATAATAGATGAAATTTAATACTCTTGCAATTATGTTTTCTTATAATTATATAATTATATCTTGGTAATTAAGATATTAACATTTAAGAATACCGCTTTATATAAACGTTTATACCTAGACTGCAGATTTTTTTTTAATAAAATTCGTTTCTGTGAAAATAATTTAAGAAATAGAATCTAGGTAGATTATATATTACAACAGATATTATATTTTCAATGTTTTATATGTTTTTACATATACTGCATTATATACGTTTATCTTCAAATTTTCTATAAATGCATAAGAATCCGCAGTCTTCTTCAATATAACAAAAATTTCTCATGGTAATTTCAAAAAAACATGGAAAATGAACGTTTGGAAGATGGCATGAAAATGTTTTTCCTTTTTTGTTTTGTGTAATACTGCTACACAAGAGAAGCTCTACCATACGTTAAATTATTCGAAAATTTCTTTTCTTCCTTCCTCTGCATAAAATATATTAGAAGTCATTTAGTAACACAAGAATTTAATAAAAATATCATAGGTAACTTAATTTCAGATGTAAAGGGTCAATTATATCAATGTTTTCTAGCAATGTTAACCCTGCTATGAATTTAATTTAATAAACCTTCAATTTTTTATACTTCAAACTTACACTCTGTTTAGTAAGTAAAAAATTTATAATGTCTTATGAAGATATTTTACGTAAGAGTTAATTGAAAAATCATGCATACTAATAAATTTTTTTTTATTTTTTTTTTAATTTGAAATATTTTTTAATTTTAGAGAAATATAAATGGATTGGAAATAACCGAAAAAATGCAGCAGGATTAAATATAAATAAATCATTGTTACATTCAACTATTTTTGTTTAGAAAGAACTACGACACAATCGTATCCTTTGAAACTACGTCTTCGTTTTTATTAACTGTTTCTTTTATTTGAAATAATCATAAATATTTTATTTATTAATCATTGAGTGACTTGTACACGATGTACTAAATTTGTATTAAATATTTGATGATCAGAAGAAAGATTTCATTGATTATCTCTTACTTTCTCTGTAACTTAAAAATGGGCAGCTATAAGTTAAAAATTTCGTTCTTTTTCTATGGTCAGGAAAATAATATTATTAATATATATATATATATATCTGTAGCTTACAAAATTAGTGAGATAATTTTGATGAAAAAATAATTCAAGCTATGGTTTATTTATGATTTCGTGTATTCGCGACAAAGAATCTAATTTTACGAGAATCTTATAGATATTCTACATCAATATTTACTTTAGACAGCAGCACGTAGTTTATAGATTAATTAGATTATCTTGTAAGTTCTTATTAATTTTGATATATTATATTAAAGGAATACAAGTCTGACTGGTTACTTTCGATGAATGTGATATATAATAGAATCTCGATTATCGGAATTAATTGAAAGACAAATGTGTTTGGATAATAGAATAGCTTTAGACATAAATTTTAGATAAAGGATTCCATAATTTTTTAGCCGCTATGTCACATAAATTTTTCAGCGTAAGTAATTGCTTGACGTTGCATGCTTTTTGTATTTCTCACCTCTTTTTCGAAAGCTGCAAATGCTTTACAATCAGGAGACACATCGTCGTTGTCGTTATGTAGATAATTTTCAACTATTTTTCAATTATTTTTTATTTTTTATACCATCGATTATTTTCTAATAGACTATTTTCGAGCTACGTTTATTGCACATTCTCCCATTCTTCAACTTCTTAATAATTTCACATTTTATTGTGATAGAACGTTCGTATAATAGGTGTTCTTATAATCGAGATTCTAGTGTAATTGTAAAAATATGTTGGTCGAGAATTTCAAATTTACTTATGAAGTCTTATAACATTAAGTTATAAGACGATGAACAAAAGAAAGTACTTCTCTCATCTTTGTGCCATCAAGTGTGCCAATTCATCAGTTCTACATAATACTATTCGTTGTTCAGAAAACGGTAGAGCAGTAAAAGGAGGATTCGCTTTCTTACAATTATATAACATTATATCATAAGTGGAGAGCTCAGAACTTCAATCTTCGAGCTCAGAATCAATGTAAATCTTTTTTCATAAAAATTAAACGTTGTCCTAACTTTGCAAACTTTAAATTTAAATAATACAATCTTGATTGTATGAAATGTACTTAATAAAAGGAACAATCTCTATTGTGATAAAAAATGTTCCAAAAAACATTTTACAGTAGCGAATGTGCCATTTTGAAGAATGTGCCGAGAATGCTAAACTTTATGTGGAATTATAACGGTAAATAAATAAATTACAACCATCTCAAAATAAAAAGTGATATCAAGTTACTTTGTAGATTCTCAACCATTACGTTTTTGTTGCAATATTGATGATATAACTGTTGTATTAATTATAATTACAAATTTTCATCGTGATTTACGCACTTGGAAATAATGAATAATTCAATATTTATATAAATAGTATAGAAGCTATTGGTAATTGGTGTTAGTTGTTTAAATCTTTTAGATCTCAGTGTATTATTTGATATAATTTTCGATCATTTCCTCTAGGAAATGATTCGTAGAACTATAGCTTTACAAAAATGCTTAGAAGGTTACACTTTCACGTTACTTTTATATACATCAATATGTAAAAAAAAAATATATATATATATAAAATTATTGATATTTTTATAAAATAAAATTTTATTAATTTTTAAAAAAATAGTATTATATAATTCTTCGGATATATAGTCGGATATACATAATTTTAAATATTTCTTATAAAATATATTTAAAAGTTGTCGCATGCCAAACATTTCTGAATTCGAATCTTAATACTATTTAAAATTGTCAACTCTTGGCTGTTTCTGACATGATGTCATTCATTAATTCCTTCTCTTCTCTCCTTGAGATTAAAAGCATATCACGACGATCATCAATGTCTATAAATTTTCTTTTTTAGAATATTTCAAAGAATAAAATAGTCGCAAATAAATTACAATGTACGAAAGTTAAAGAATTCCTTACGGCAAATCAAGTGGATTATCGTTTTAAAAAATATTAAGATGGGCTCTTAAACTCTTTTTACAGCTCAAAAATCAGACGTATAAACAGCGTTTCAGATAAGAGATAAGTGCGCATTTAATGATATGTTTTACCAAGAAAGTTGAATTATCTTATCAAGTATTTAATTTATGATCATCTTACTATTATCGGAAGAAATATGAAGCATGTAAAGAAGAAAGCAGAGAATAAAAAATATGAAAAATTATGGTAGGACTATTATATAGATGATGACTTCAGTACTAAAATATTAGATTAGATAGAGAAGAGTGGAATATTAGGAGAAGCAAAAAGAGCTAATAAAAATAATTAATATTAAAAACATAATTAACATAGTAATTAATATTATTATTTGTTAAACTGATTACATTGATTGTTAAATTACTTACTTGTAATGTCTTTAAATCTCAATTTTTTCCCGTTAAATATTGTCAGTACATTCTATAGATCAAAATAGAATAGAATATATTATATTATATATTATATACCTATTGACAACATTTGGTTGAGATATCTTGGAGATATCCTGTGTACATATACACTGAAGAACATAACTGTACCAATGACAATGAAAAATCGTCCATGATTTAAAGCAATATAACTTTGTAAAATAAAATAATTTAACAGTTCGCTTGATCTCATTGTAACACGTGAATTTTCTACTTTGAGAGTTTTGATTACTTTTTTTACGAAGTTATATTAGTTTAAATTATCGACAATTTCTCATTGTCATCGGTACGGTTATGCTCTTCACTGTACATGTCTGTTCGTGGGAATTATAATTGCTACAAGGTAGGAAATAAATAGGACTGATTGTTGTGTATTTTACAGGAGGAGGAGAGCGACGAAGATGCGATTACGGCACAACCACAGGGTGGTCCGCAAAACAATTCCTCGAGCCAACAGCCTATTTTCGCCATGCCTCCACCAGCCATGAGTCAATCGGCCACCGTCGATGAGAACACAAATTTGAACAGTGGTGCTGAAAGAGTTATTTACACAACTGGTATTACGAGTACTTAAATATTAATGCACGTTATACCCTTCAGGTCGCAATGTTTTCTCATTCAGTTTTAGCCTTTTTTTCTTTTTTTGCCTTTTGTTTTCTTATTTTCACGCTTTCAGCGAAGCGTGTTGTTACATATAATCTGATATTTTATGAAATATCGCTTTTGATTCACGGTTAAATCGCCGTGCAATTTCGCACGAACCTTTTATATTGCTGCGAATCTTTTAGCCGCTTGTGAATTATGAATTTATGTTTTGGATATTCTTTTGATATGCAAAAATTGTAGGCTATTATTCACGCAATTTAAAATTGAAACGGGAATATTTAATATAATAATAAAGTTAGATATTTTTAACCATGAAACGATCCTTATATACGATTTTAAACGAACGTGGAATTGTACCTCGTGTTAATTGTTAATAAAATCTCAAAATTCATAAAACTTCGTAGATTGATGATATAATTACCGAAGTACTATAAAAAAAAGAACTTTGACTAAACCACGAAACTGATATCGAAAATTAAAATCTTAAAATTCGATTGAATGAAGATATTTTACTTGTTACGAATTTTCATATATACAATTATATTGTCTGTGAAGTGAATTTTCCATTCCAACTTTTACTGTGGATGTTGACTTTTGGTCTGATAATTAATTGTGATAGTATCCTCCACAAGAGTTAAAAAATATCAAACAAGTGGATTTTTGATGTCAATTTTATTCTATTTATGTAATTTTTGGAACTTGAGTCAAACGAATAGTGAAAGTTATTTTTTAGATATAAAAAATTTAGCGTGACTGAAATGGATGACCGATCTTGAAAAATATATTAATTATAATAAATTAAAGAAGATTATGTAAAAATGTGACAATCCATTACTGTGTATATTTTAATTAAGAAACAAGAATTTTCGCATTTATATTTATATAGATCTTTTAGTAACGCAGATTTTAATTTATTATACATATAACACAAGTAGAAAAAATACATTTCTCAAGATTGATCACTTATTTCAATATGCATGTTACATATTACTCAGTTATAACGAAAGTGAACAGAACTAGAAAAGATGTTTTTTAGAAGGAGCGACAAACAATTTTTAAACTATTTTAAATTATTTTTGTTAATTGTTTTGTTATTTAAGATAATTTTATTAATTAAATAAACGAAGCAATTATTAACGCGCATTCACAGCGAAGAGCATAACTGAACCAATAACTATAAATTTCGTATAAATCATTTTTGATCATCATTAATCTATAATCCGAATTTTCTTTTGTGGATGTAAAAAAATATTAATACAACTTGAAACCAAATATAAGTAACAATGAATTTAATGAATTTTTATTATTATAATATTATATTATATTATAATAATAATTAATATATAATAACATTAATTAATATATATTATGTAAAAACTTACGTTATATTAATTTATTATACATATTAACAAAATTTTATTCTACATCTTTTATTTATTTATTTAAATACGATGTTTAAAAATAAATTCTTTAAATTCTTGTTGCTGTATTAATTGCAAAAATTTATAGTTTTGTACTGTGGATTTCTGTGAAACTATCGGCCGTGAATCTGTTAGATACATTTTCATGGAAAACATGCATTTTTTAAATATGTCCTTCATTATAATATACATTCTGTTTTATATTATCCTGTTATCGCCTACAAATCAGCATTTATTTTCTATTAGAACGCATTTTTTATATGGAAGAGATTCTTTACCAATATATTCAAAGAGAAAGATTTTCTTTATTAAAATATTGAAATATGAAATAATTTCTCTAACAAATTCTACAATTTCGTTTCATACTGAGAAGTAAAAGTTTACTAATATCTGTAGACGGACCTTAATTTTAATATTTCAACTTAATCTACGGAGAACTCATTATTTTTAGAATATACTATATTTGAATAATTCCCAATAATACTGACATGTAATGTCCAAGTGATAGATATTTTGTTATCAGTTAAATTAATTGGGTTACTGACCCACAAATGAGAACGAATGATATCCTACATTAATGGCTGACATTGACAAAGATGCTTCTATGAAGATTAAACGTGTACACGAGTTCGTACAATGTACGAATATTGAGGTGGGTTTGAATAAATATTCAAGTGATTCTTGTTTCATGACTAGACTATGGATTATTATGTACTACAGAAAATTTAAAAATGCAAAATTGCACAAAACGTGCATAATATGTATAAAAAAAATGTATAAAATATACAAAGTAATATTCAGTACACAAACAGTTTTTAATTAATTTTTATATTTTTAATTAATGTTATATTAATTATATTAATTATAATGCATTAATTATATTAATCACAATTATATTATACAATTGTAGAATTATATTAATATGAATTTATTTTTGAAATTATTTGCACAGGAATAATATGAATATGCATAATTATGAGAATTAGCTTGCAATTAGTATTGGACTGACGTCAGAAGAACTATGTGACGTTGCTAATTGATACTCTAATATTTTCAGATGCAAATTGCTCGCTTTCAAAGAAATTGTATTCCGAGTTGGTGTAATAAAACTTGTATCAGAAAAAATTTCGTTGTTGTCAAACTGCTAAAATTTTCAAAAATCATGAATACAGATCAAAATCTTTGGTGTCTGATATTTCTAGTCTATTCTCTTTATTCAATTGATCTGTACATGATGTTAATATTCAATTGATATCCTTGAGCTTATAAGTGACCAATGACAATTTGAGCTAGAAGTTATTTAACATAATCACTGTCTCGTGCATTGCATATACACGGTGTCCAGTTTTAATCTTTAAATGGAATTATTTTTATTCTTCATTATTTATTTCATAATTTCTTGATGAAAAATATATATGTATTTATAAAAAAGTAGATTAAATTACTCTCTGATTAAATTTTGTATGAAAGTGATAATATTTAGATAATTAATAAGAATAACTATGTCAATGAACTTATTTACTCAATGAAATAATTTTCAAAAATATGAAGTTGTTTTGAACGAAATTATGAGACCAAAAGTCATTACTACATATTTATTTTACTTCTCTGTTAAATAAAGGGAAATAATTGTTTAACTCTCCGAATATCGACAAGATAGTTTAGCGATCCTGTACAACTCCCTGACAGGTCATAATTGACTCATACATATCTTTCTTTTATTATTTTTCTTTGTAATAATTAATATTTTCTATCTCAAACAATTTCTTCAATGAATATAAATAAATAAAAAAATATTCAATACACCTAGCACGGTTTTCTGGGAGTTAAATAAAATAAGCCTCGAGTATATTGGCATCCTCAAGGTCTGTAATATTAGATTTAAACGTCGTTATTTGGATGCAATATTTAATATACAGAGTATTCCCAAAATCGTGATACAACGGATTGTATGATTCTACGTGTAAAAATATATTGAAAAGAAAAACTTTTTTTTATTTAAAATTTTATTTTCGAGTCAGTCGATTTATCAAATATAATTGCATTTTGTTAGCTGAACAAGTGTAAGTAATTGACTGAAAATTATTATTCTACGTGCAAATTTAAAAGCACTTTATCTCAAATCATGTCTCTTGTTCTATAATATAAATTTTATTTTTCATATCCATCAGATTAATGCAATGAGTTTTCTTATTTTCACAATCCTTCGTGTCAGTATTACCAATGTCAGTTTCGCGGTATTTTAAAAATATAAAAAAATTTATGTGCTTGCACGAAATATAATGCATTTTTATTTGGCAATAATAATTTTATTTGTCCTATAAATTATTTCTTTAATATCAAGATATTTCATTTTATTTAATGTAGGTAGTTATTAAGTGTAGAAAAGAATTTTGTGCTTTCATGAGAAAAATATGATCTTCCAAGTATTTTCAAACTTACTTAATTACAATATTAAATTCGTTTCTTTTTTTGAAATTTTTAACAGTCATCATATGTATTCATTAAATATACGTATAAAAATTTATATTTATATTTTATATTATTTATTATAATATTTATATTTATATTAATATTTCTATATTTATTATTATTGAGGAAATTCTCAGTAATTTTGATATGATATAATATGCAACCAATAGCATAAAATTTTCTTCTACACTTAATATTAATATAGTTTGATGCAAGCATGTGCACTTTAAATAAGTATTAGCACTATAATGCCATGTAAAAGTGTATATTATCACTGTATTCATATGTATGCGCCTGTGTGCATTGAAAAGTGGCCTATGCGTAAATTTAAGGACAATTTGATGTAAATAATCGCTGTAGTACTTTTCTCTTTATTAGATAGATATATACTAGCTTAATATACGTAAGTAGTTACATGGTAGTTACTGTTAAATATTTTTCTTTTGTTATCTATATATCCATATATCCAGGTGAAAAATTTTATTCGTTAGAGAACGAAAAGAAATTACGAAACTTCTTAATCTTTTGCTTTTTGCTGTTGACGTTTTATGTAAATATATTGTTTTTTATTTGTTCTAGTGCATTTTTATTTCTCTCCTGTTAAATATTATGTACTCCACGACACAAACTCAAAAATTGGTACACCTCGGTTGAAGTTTATTTAATATTTTTATAAATATTAAATAATAATATTTATCTGTTGGATATAGCCGCCTCTACGAACCCCTTCATTGGAGCAAACGTTGGTACAACTAGCACGACTGCAACAAAGTGGTAGTCACCGAACGATAAAAACACGGTAAACGTATAAACATTAAAAGATTTGTTACATAACTTCACACGGGGTGGATTTCGACGTGTAGACAGAATAGCGCTAGATACGAAGAAGTAATCGGAAATGCTTCTTGCAAAGCGTATTCTTGGAGGAAACTTGATTGTAATTAAGTTATAAAAGAATTTTTTTTACCACATAATTCAAATATTTGGATTTATCATAAATCCTATATGATGGATGCTTTAATATTAATTGATAACATGATAATAAAATGATGTACAATTCAATTATCCTTGACATTTTTAGATAATTAAATCAACGATATATATATATAACTTAGAAAATAAATCCTATACCATATAAGTAATGTATTCTACTATTTAAAAGAAGAAGAAAAATGGTACAATTAAAAGGGAATGAAATAAAATAAATATTAGAAGCAAATGATAATCATTTCTCCTGAATTTTTCAACTAACACGTACAATTAAAATAAGCGAGATTTTCTTTAGCAAATTATTCAGCAAGAAATACGGGAAATGAAAAGTGATATTAGCATTCATATGTAAATCCACCCCGAGTTGGCGAATAGACGAGACGAAGAATGACGAATAAAGGACCTCGATATATAAATGAATATCTCGTACACGGATTCTCAATTATTCTCAAAAAGAAAAAAAAATAATGATAATTGAAATGAATATTTAACGATAAAAGTCACGTTTTGTTAATGCATGGAAATATGTAAGAAATTATACACGTGCGCGTAAATAAAAATGGCTTAAAGTTACTAGAAAACTTCTTTTCTCTGTTAATTAATCGTATTATTATATATTGTAATTAGTATGACAATAAGTTGTTCATCCAGCTGCTTCTTATTCCAGTATATTTATTTCTAATAAATAACAATTATATCCTGCGGAACACAATGCGTATGTATATACCGAGAGTGGATTCTTTTTGGAGGTGGAACTTTCAATCCTTATTAGGATGATGTGAAATTAATGCACAATACAAAAAAATCCCGTGTCAGTTTCAGTTAATCGATCGAAGAAAGTCTCCCTATATTTTTATTAAGTAAATGCACTTGACCAGAATGATTTACGACAAAATAACGTTCAAACAAATTATAATGTTAAACACTTGTAATAAAATGCAACGAATTCGATTTTGCAATCAATTCAAAAGATATATATCATAATTTGTATTTCTTAATTAATAGTAAGGTTTGTTTTTTCTTTCTTTTGAATATGAAAATGAATATATAAAATTAAATGAAAATAAATAACACTCAATGATATCAGCATTAATATTTCAGTGTATATTAATATATTAAGATGTATTAAACATACGCATTTTATGTGTTGTTATTTTTACAACATGTATACCTGCATAAAAATATAAACAGATATTTTAGTAATTTTTACTATCTTGTTGTCATGTATAAACTATTCCATACGAGGTAAAGATAACAATATTATTACATGAAGAAGCTCATTTTAGCTTTTATAGAATAAATTCATTTTTGCATTTAGTGTATTTATCCTCTCGATTCTTGTTTCATAAGTGTAAAATAGAGACCTATGTATGTTAGTTGTAATTTTTAACGATTTTTCTATGTAAGAAATTGTTAATATTTACTATTAAGCGTGGAAAAAAAGAATGATGTACTTATTCTTATGAAAGATATTGATGTATTCCTGAAAAAAATGTACTAACTAAAAAGTTATTTTCTATTGATATATATAATATATATATACATATACATATATAATTGTACAATTAACAATATACAGGTTGCATTAATTTTACAACACCCTAATGCTACATGCTAACTAACAGGAAAATGCAACACAATCGTTGAGGTTTAGTTTTGTTTTGAAAATTAAAAGTATTCTGCTCTGCTATTCCGAGAATCATATTGTATCTGTAAATATTTATGCAACATATTACGAAATAGATTATAAAAAACTTATGTCATACAGTTAAGGCAATTAAAACAGATCATCGAAATGTATAGATTTCGAACACGTAGGCAGATAATCATTAAAGTTGTTTGATATGGAGATTAGAACTAGTTGACATTATTATCATTAGGTGTAAATTAATTCAATTTTTTTTTTTTTTTTGATAAATTAAAATAAATAAATAAATTTATTGGGATTATTCCAATAAGAATCATCATTTTGTTATTATAAAACGAGTTTTTCTTGTATTAGAGGGGAATTTTCATTTAATAATTATTCAAATTCTACAAAGTTTCAGTTTTCAAATTTTTCTGTCGAAATATTCTTGGTTATTGAAACACATAAATTACAACTGAAAAATCTTCAGTTAAAAAAAATGAAAAAGAATATTATTATTTTTTTCAATAATTTATATTCTAGTTTATAAATGTGAATTAATATTTAAATTTCATTCAGTATAGAAGTACCAAACTGATTTCTCTATGCTTAATAAATTATCAATTCGAAAGCGAATCTATCATAAACTTGTAATAAAATAGCATATTTTCATATTTATACTGTATGTAGCTATAGACTACAATATCGTTTCAAAACGTGAAATTGTGTGTATAATAATGTAATATTTCATACATATAATGTTTCAGTTCAGTCGATTACAGGGTCTAAGTAAAAAGTAATTTGTTGTACTTTCAATTGATATCCTATGGCTAGTAACTATGTACTTGTCTCGACGTACATCTCACTATGTAAAAGTGATTGTAAAAGTGATTACAATCTCCTAGCATTTATAAAAAAAAATTTATTTCTGAACCTCATATTCCATATCAAACAAATTTCATTAGAAACTCTTTTTCTTCAAATTATTTTGATGACTTGTTTTAAATGTCTACATCTGTATGTATTATGTATGTGTAGTACAATACTTCATCTGTAATATGTTTGTACGTATGCACATATATATGTGTATGTATACAGAGTGAACTGTTTATTTCAGGATTGAACTAGATTCTGAAATGTAACTGCATTATATACATTTTCCTAAAGTATTTTATTGTATCAATAATAGCAGTGATGCTATATACACACACACGCGCGCGCGCGCGCGCGCACGCACACACACACACACAATATATACATTAAATTATATATATATAATATATATACATTATATATATATAATATATATACATTAAATTATATGATGAAATTCCGCACTCTGTGCATAGGTATATGCATGCATACATATATACATATAATTCGTTGTTGAACAAGTTGTAGAATAAATTTTGTGCGAATATAATCTGTTAATTACGCATATGTATTAATATACATTTATTCATAACTTGGATAGTGCATCCTTGACCATTTGCATTTAAGTCTATCATAATCGGAGAACAAAGAATTGGTTTATAGAAAATTTCAGAAAAAAAAAAATTAAATTATTCTTTTATGTTATTTCGTTCAATTGTTCCTTATTATTTGTATTTATCCTGTGAAATAAATGAAATAAATTCTGATACAAGTTGAAATGTTTTAAAGTTCGCGAGTATGGTTATTTCACAAAACCACAACTATTGTATATTTTTATCTGAGAACTTTTGTATGTTTCTTTTAGATAACTTGTTCTTCTTTACAGATGAAGCGAGCTTCCTTTCGTAATCCTTCCCACTTAAAAATCGATCCTGAGAAATATCGATTATGTTCGAGAATCGTAAGAAGTATATTGTGTATATTGTGTATTTTACCGTTGGCGCTGTAATCGCGCGCTTCCCGTAATGATAATTTGGAATAAAAAATAAGAAATTCTGATCTAAATCAAATATACAAAATTCCTGAGAAATTCTTAAAAAAAAACGAAAATATTCACACATTTAATGAAAAATGTGAGGAAGACAAGTGTTAGATTTTCTCTACGTTAGTGAGCGGAAAAATTAAGTGCCCTAGAAGCCATTTCCAAAAAGAAATATTCTGATGAAGTTTATGAACCTCAATCAAAAGAAAAGTAGTTCTCTCTACGTAAAAAGAAGGGAGGAAAATTAATATTTTATTTCTCATTATTTTTTAATAAATATTTTATTTTAAGTTCGTCTTTATTATTAATTTCTCCGAATAAATGAACGAAATCTTAAAATCATTTTGTATTTGTGGAAAAGACATTCCCGATATTACGATGTTTTATTAATGCGAAAATTATAATATTAAATAAGACCTTCTGTGGCACTACACTGGCACTGGTAAAGTAGACATAAATGGCTTACATAAGTTAGGGTGCAGGCACGGAACAGGTCGTGGTCATGGTGTAGCTAATTAGTTAGTTGACTGAGAAAACAAACCAATTAAAACAAATATGATAGCACATAGAGCGGCAGGCGACTAATCAGTTCACGGTCCACTTCGCTGTAATATTACTTTTTTATTTTCACTTTCAATCAGCCGAATAATTAACGACCTGCTCGCTATGTATCAATTTCTTGTAATATTTAATACGGTAAAAACAGTAAATTACAGTAGTTTTACAGTCTTTGTTAGTTCGCTATATTCTATCTAGCTCTATTCTCCATACTATCAGATTTTTCGAAATTATTTTCTCCAGTATTTGTAATCGCAAATTCTAAAAGAACACAATGATTTTGATCCACGTACATACACGACAATCTTTAACTGATACTCGTATAGTAACACTTATATCTGGAATATTAACAAAAGAATTATTAAATGAATGGTTAACAAGCGTGTGACTACCAATTGCGAAATCTCGAAGCGTTTTATTATTGGACTCGTGGACTGGTCACTGTCCATCTACATTACAAAACAGTTTACCATCAAATTAACATGTTAAAATATTCATATAGTCAAAGAACACAATTGTTTGTAGTAAGATATAAGTATATTTAGTACATATATGACAAACTTTATATAAAGTTGTGCATTATTTAATTTTTTAAAATTATGTGTATCATTTATTAACTTTAAAAATTATATATGATATTAAGAATTTAATGACAGCACAACCATGTTATCATTTTTCCTCAAATTACAGGGATAAAATAAATAAATAAAAATATATGTAGTAAATTTATAAAATGGTTTATTATTTTTTCATACACATACTTGTCATATAAAATTATAAATTTCCAAGAGATTCGTTTTACGCTAATAAAGCCGATGTACCGGGTGAGTAAATTTGTACTTGACGATCTGATAACTTATATATATATTTCATTACCTCAGGCCAATTATATTTTATTCTAACATCATCTATTTTCCAATTAATTGTTATATTTCCAGATGCATTACTGGAATATCCTGTTTCAAGTGGCTCGGTCTTAATAAATAAGTGTGCTATGTATTTCAGTCCATGTGTAAGTATATTGGAAAAAGAATTTTCATCTTTATAGGTATGCATTACAACGCAAAGTTGAGACACATTATAATATTCAATAAGTGATCTTAAATATCTTATATAATACATAGATTCTTTCAAATTGCATCCAAAATTATAAATATGACTTAAGTCGTCAATTATAATAACAACATGTTCATTGCTTTGTATTATTTTATCAAGTTCACTTTTAATAATTACAAATATATCATGGACTATATTGTTTGCTGTTTGTTCGTATATATATTCCATGTTAAATGCAATAATCTTCATTGGTTCTATAATTGTGACTTTACCTTTTTCTTTCAGTAATGTAAGATTATAACCAAATTTCGTGCCCATGTTATGATAATGATTCATTGTATTATGAAATAATACAAAACATATTTCATAATTCCTTTTTAATGCATTAGATATAATAGAACTCAATACAAAATTTGCATTAGTATCATGTTGCTCTTCTATACAAATTAATTTTCCATCCATATTCACTTTATCAATACCAAGTACATTCGATACTGAATCCATTATATTAGCAATTCACATTAAAAATAATAGGAGAATTTTATTTTTAATGGATTTATGAATTACTTATAAATTGATGTTATTATATTTTCAATTTAAATTATTTTTTATACAATTATATTTCATCTTTTAGATTTCAGACACACAGCAATTATTGGTTATGTATGTTGCATTTAAACACTATCAAACAGGATAAATTTTTCATCTTAATTTATCCAGCAATTAATAATTAATTATATATAACAGAACATAATTTTCATATCTTGTTAGAGTGATATACGTACTCTATGATAACATGGAATACATACTTTTATTAGTCTTAAATAAGTTAATTAAATCTAAGGTTAGATTCAGATGCAAATTACTGAACTGTTACGACCAACGGCGCGAATTTTTAAGAAAATTTTAATAGATCACACTTTGAATTATAATTTCAATATAAAAAAAATGTAAATTTTAATATTTAACATACCTTATTAGAGATCTTAAGGATTTCATTTTATATTTTATAATCAATGTACATAAATTAAAAATTAACTAATGATATTCCAATATGTTTGCTAGAATTGTAGAAAAAGAAAATATCGTAACAATACATCTATTTGCATAGTCTTCTTTCAATAATAAATGAATTTTGTTCAAATATATCTCTACGCATCATGTACTGAATCTATAGTTTACATACACTAATTTGCTGTAAAAATTCATAAAAATTGTTAAAGATTGATATAAATAAAGAAATATATTTAAAAATTTCAATCGCACAAATATATTCAAACGTTAATGACTAAACAATATTAGAATAGAAAAAAAGGATTAAGAACTAATAAATTATATATAATAATTTATTAAGAACTACTAAATTAAGTTTATATAACATATAAGATGCAGCTGCTTGGAATACATTTTCTTCAAAAAATAATTATAATGTATAAATATTTGATTTATATTAATCTCTTCTTTTTACATTTTGCATAATCATACGTAATACGCAGTCATATGTAAAAAAATTTATATATCTTCCAATGCTCAAATATTTATTTAAGAATAATCAGTTTTATTGAAAAAAAAAAAAAAAAAAATAAAACTACTTGTAAAAGTAACCATATCGATAAAAGGGAGTTCCAGTTTTGAAAGGAGGTGGTACAACACGTGGCTATCAGCTGATGCGTGCGCGTTCACCAACTTTCCAGTTCTAACTGATTTTGGACATTACATCAGTCACAGTTTAGATATTGCGGGGATAGTTATTAACCAAGGCTTAAAAGTTCTATTAATGATACCATTTATAGTAAGTTAATTTTTTTATATTGCACTTCATTACGTCTTTTTATTTATCTCCTGTGTTCAACTCATCTGTTTTTTTTTATTTTATTATTTTGATTTATTAATCAATGAAAGTTCACTTCATTATTGTTTAGTTTTTGTCATTTAAATTGATAAAAAATAATAATCTATATAATTAAAATCTTTTTTATTTTCAATTTGCGAAAAACACCATATATTTGTGACAAAATTGAACGTATAAAAATAATATTAATTTTACTTACACATCGTTAATAGAGTTAATTATCACATTATGTTTAAACTGTACTTGACGTGCATGTATGTGCGGTAAAATTATAATTCATATCGTGATTCGTGATAACGTTTAAAGTAAACTATTGTTTGAAATTTTTACAATATACTTCAAAGAATATCAATTAAATAAATTCATCGATTTCTTTATGACGATTTTTTTATGTTATATTATGTACTAGTATATAATTTATTTAATTATAAAATTTGTTGTTTGTATAATTTTTTTCATAATTATATGTGAATTTCGTAACAAAAAGTTATCCTACACAAAGGTTGCTATTTTTTAAATAAATTTTTAAAATAATTTATCAATTAGTAATTATGTATTTAATTGAACTTATTGTTTAAAGCATATTAAAATTTAAATCAGTTTCTTTTTTATAAGTATACGTATGCATTCATATATACATATGAATACATAAGTGACTAAAGAATACAGACATATCACGCGCGCATCACACACACACACACACACACACATTACTATATATATATTATATTTTAACATCTATAATAATTAATTTATTATGTACTGTTATATTGTATATATATTAATAATTAATATTTTAAAATAATTATTGATAATTTATTTTAATAAATAATATTTTTTAAATAATTATTAATTTATTTTATTATTTTATTTATTAGCTTTTTTAATTTATGTACCTACATATATGTGTGTACATTTTTATTTATATATGTATATGTAATTCTGAATCATTATGTAATACAAAAAAATAAGTAAAAATATTAATCAAATTTTATTTTAAATTTAATTTATTAATTATTTACCAAATATGTCTTTTTTACTTGTTTTATGAAAACACGAAACGTAGAAAACATGACAGATAAAACAAAAAAATTGTCGCGGTGGTATTTTGGTGGGCTTTCCTCTGCAGGTGCTGCTTGTGTTACCCATCCCTTAGATTTATTAAAGGTATTTTTATTCTTAAATTTTTAAATGAACATAACATAAAAGTTGTAACTCCTTTTTTTTCCAAGATTATAGTTAAGATAAATAACAGTTAAATATATTAATCATACTTTGAGTTTTAAATACTGAGTGTTAAGCGAATAGTGAGCTTTATAAAAAAAATTTTGTGATGTACTGAATGCAATAGCATTTCATTTACACATACCACATTTATAGGTTCATTTACAAACACAACAAGAAGGCAATATATCTATAACAAGATTAACCACATCTATAATACGGAATCAGGGAATTCTAGCTTTGTATAATGGATTAAGTGCTTCTTTGCTTCGTCAACTGACATATTCAACAATTAGATTTGGAGCATATGAAGTAAATTTATTTATATTATATGTAGTATAATTACTTTATTAATTAATATATACTTTATTAATTTGTTTGTAATTATACTGTATGTTTAACTTTTCTATTTGTTGTTATTATTTAAAATATTAGACTACATTTTCCATTTGGATATATATGTAGGTAGGTAAACAAACATTTGAAACATCTGGACAATCACTATTATTTTACCAAAAGTTATTATTGGCTGGATTATCTGGTGCAGCTGGTGGTATTTTTGGAACACCAGGAGATGTAATTAATGTACGCATGCAAAATGATATAAAACTTCCACCAGAACTAAGACGAAAGTGAGAATATAAGTTACTATTTTAATTGATTTTTGCTTTTGTTATTTGATACTAAATTTCATTATAGTTATAAGCATGCTTTAGATGGAATAATACGTGTAATTCAACAAGAAGGGGTACGTCATTTGTTTAATGGATGCTCTACAGCAACATTAAGAGCTGCATTAATGACTATTGGACAATTAAGTTTTTATGATCAAGTTAAAATTATGTTGTTACAAACTGGTTACTTTAAAGATAATCCTGTAACTCATACAGTATCAAGTGTATTTGCAGTAAGTACATCTAAATAATATATTTCTAATATATGTACAAAAAATATTTTTTAAAGTATTTTATGTCATATTTGTTATAATATACCATAATGTTATATACTTACTTTATTCATTAAAATAATATGAATATTATGTTATATATGGTTGTAAATAACTGTTATATATTGAAAAAAAGGAAACTATATTTAATCAAATATTTAAAAAATATATGATTTTAAGAAATGAATTTAAAAAAGAATAATATTATGTATATCGTATAAATTAAACAATAATTCTTTTTTTCTTATATAAATTTTCACAATATAAAATTTACAAACATGATTATTACTATCATTTCACATTCACAGTTGTTTACAATGTTTTATTTTTTACAAGGGCGCTGTGGCTACAACTCTTACACAACCATTGGATGTTTTAAAAACACGTGCAATGAATGCTAAACCGGGAGAATTCAAGGTAATTGTAATAATAAACTTGAATGCACTAATATTTATGTACTAAAGATTCATTTATGTAATATTTTGTAGAATTTAATGGATCTATTTTTGTATACTGCTAAGCTTGGGCCATTCGCATTTTTCAAAGTAAGTTTTTTTTTATTGTACTGCACTAATTTTTTCTAATTATTATTATATTATTATATTCTAATAATGGGAAGGCTATAATCTGGGTAAACACATTTGAAATAGATTAAAATTAGCAATTTTATGGAATTTTGTAATTAGTTTAGATAATTTAGTTGAAGTTTAATTAAACTTAATTCTTTAATCACCAAATATTCGGAGTTAAATATTTTAGAGAAGATAGTTAATGTGTAGCTATATTGTGTTTAGTATAATATATACCACATAATTACAACATATTCAATTTTATTTTTTGTTAGAAATAAAATTCTTTTTTTTATTTATATATTTTTTGTTATTTATATATATTTTGCACGTACGTTGATCAAATATATAGATAGAAGAAATTAATTGTAAATGTTTTAGATAGTGTAATGATAGTATTATATTATTGAAAATATAGTCATGATTCAATTATATATATTAAAAATGGTAGAATATCTTGTATCTGATTATATTTAATTTTTATTTCTGCATGTACTGAATAATGGTATATATAAAAAGTAATTATTTATTTATAAGAGATTTATTTTTATAGAAATATAAACAGAAACAATTTGTAAGTATATTTAATTTTATAAAGAAATAAATTATCTACATATCTACTTAAGAAAGAAAATTGTATATTTTAAGCTCTAAATTTTTTAATCTACTTTATATTGTAAGATATTTATATTTAATTATAATTTTAATTATAATTTTTCTAATTAAATCTTTTATTTCAATTAATTTATATTGATTTTATTTCAATCGATCGTATCAAAATGTGTTTATTCAAATAATACTCTTCCTAATAATGTATTCTTATAAAATAAAATTTTAAGAATATGATTTTAAAAGTATTTTGATTATTTTATTTTAGGGTTACGTACCTGCATTTATCAGATTAGCTCCACAGACTATCCTTACTTTTGTCTTTTTAGAACAATTAAGAACTAATTTTGGATTCTATCCTTCTAATATTCAAGTATCATAAAATTTAATTAACTATCTTGCACATAACATTCATCTGAAATGTTCCATAGAGGAAAAAAATTAGCATGTGACACTAAAAAAAAATTTATGCAAATATTTGTCCTGTTTGAAGTTGTCCAATTGCAACTATTTTATAGCATATATAAAATTTTACCTGATTACATAAGTTTTTCATCTTCTTTTTTCATTTTTTATGTTGTATCAACAGCAAATTTTTATAAAATTTTATAATAAAGAAAAGGAAATTCAAATAGGACAAATATTATTTTTGTATGTTAAATTTACTGTTAAATTTATGCCCAAGTTTTATGAAATATCTTTGGTAAGTATTTCATACTTCTTTTTCAATATTGTATGAACTATATTTTTACAAATATTGGGTGGTATTGTTATTGATATTTTCAATTAGCATTTTATTAATGCAAATACAATATTTCCTGATTAAATGATACTAAATATGAATTTTATAACTATACACTTTTATGATAAAATCTTTTATTTCAAAAATAAATTTAAATTATTTTATAAATACTTATAAAATTTTAAATCCTTGATTATGCATTGATTTTATGTTATAATTTTAAGAAATCATTAATTTTTTAAAATGTTTATAGTGTTTTAATGTTTGATCAATTATGTATTATTTTGTTTATATATTACTTATTTTCAATGAAAATATTACTAATGGGATTATTTTAATATAAAATAAATATATTTTAATTGACAATAATTTTTTGCTAATGAATTCTTATCGATTTTAATTTTCATATTTTTAATTTCATAATTTTTGTTTCCAGAAACAAGTAAACTTGTTCTATAAATGTATGTGTATTTGTAACACATATTTAAAACAATTAAATGTTCATATAATCAGTAATATTGTAATTGTATTATTCTTTTAAATAACTATAACTATCAAAATGACTACAATCTTATTTCAAATTGAGTACAAAACCTTCTAACATTCTAAAATATACATTCCACAAAAATACTATTATAATTATGTATACACAGATTTTTATATAAATATATTTCATTACATAATATTTATATTTACAGTAATGTATTTTGCTTACAAAGATATTGTTTTATAATTATTAATGTACAAACTATGAAAAACAAATATTTTTTCAATTTGTATGATAATATGAGAATGTATGTACATATGCCAATTTATCATGTAAATTATTTTAAATTATTTAAAAATAAAAATAATATATATGAAAATCTCTAAAATAAATTTAAGTAACTGTATGATCATATTTATCATTTTATAAATTTCAAATAATTAATATTTATTAATAATAATGTATGTGATTCATTGGAAAGAACAAATATATCTTCATTAAAACTTATCTTTTATTTTCGGATTGTCTAGTTTTTACAACTATTTATACAAACTTCGTAAAAATACTGAATGAACCTTTTAGCTTTCCGCCTTCTATCGTTAGCTATAATATTATATACTAACTATACTACTTATGATTAATAGTATCTGAGAATTTCTTCATTGTTTGTATTTATTATTTTTCGCTTCTGCCTCATCAGATGAATGTGCTACGGACTTGTTAATTAAAAGATTTTATATCGAAATGAAGAGCATTTAAATTACTATAATTTATTTATTTATAATTTATTTTCTACATTTAGGAACAATTTATATATAAAATAAATAAACAATCACTACAATAACATATATGCTATGGAAAAACATATTTTCCATTTAAAATTTTATACAGCTAAATTGTATAAATGCAACTGATACTGCTAGAGATTTTAATTTAGTAAGAAAAAGTTATTTTTATGTATTTAATTTATATATTTATGACAATTTTATATCCAAATAAAAGACCAATAAAAGATATTAAATATAATAAAAGCTACAGGAAATACAATCCTGCTACGTCTATCAATCCACTGAGCAATTTCTTGTGGAGTCATTGTTGTAAAATTATGCAATTGTGCAAGAGTTGCTCTTCGTTGCAAAGGTTTCGGTGATGTGCTATTAACAGTCATAATGCTTTCAATAGAACATTTTTGATCTTTATCTTCTTCAATTTTAACAGAAGGAATGTTAAGTGTACTTGGAAAACTCTGTAATAAAAGTACAGTTGACTACAAATTGTATCCTTTGAATATTTAATTTTTTTTACTTACGTGTACAGTAAGATAATTTTGACTTGAAAAATCTTGTTCACTGGAGTTTGCGTTATCAAGTGAAGACCAAGATCGTGACCGCTCCAACCCCGTAGTATTTTTTTGAAATTGTTTTCGTGCCAGTTTTGGCGTTAACGTTGATTTTAATATGTATTTACTATTTACCTTTTTTAAGGGAACATTTTTTCTAAACATGTTTATAAAATTAATATGTAATATAAATATAAGATTTCATGTCCATACATAATATATACATACTTCCGTCTATAAATTGTATTAACAAAAGCAAATTCAACCATTGCTGCAAATAAAAATATTGTACAACCTAAAAACCATATTTCACTGGCTTTTATATAAGAAACTTTTGGCAGGGAATTTTCTACTTTGGATGCAAGAGTCATAAATGTCAAGATAGTGTTTGTTCCTAAATATAGAAATTTTAATTAATTCTTTGTTTATTAGCATCAATATCTACAGACTAAGTTATACATTTCTTAAATATATCACCTAAAACTATTCGTGGGGGACTTGCATCCATATGCAACCAAAAAGACACCCAAGAAATAACTACTATTAGTATAGATGGAATATAGTAATCCATCATAAAAAATCCCATCTCACGTGCTAATTTAAATGTTATACTAAGTGAACTGAAATTACCAGCTGTAAATACGAGAAATTGTTAAATTAAAATAAAGTTTTAAAACACTATTTATTACATGTAACAAAAATACATGCCAAAATGACCATAATGTTGCTGTGATGTAGTATAATATACTTCTGATGTGTTAACCCATTTCTCAATCAGCTTATATTCAGTTAAATGTAATTCATCTGCAAGTATGATTGGATCTTGGTCCCAATACAACACCATATCGACCACATTGTATGTCCCTGTAGGTAAAAATTCCATTCATTCCAAGGAGCACAGTTGAATAAAATAGCTGACTTTGTAGTAGTACAAAAACTATAACATCCTACAGCTTTCAAAAATAAGTGGACATTCTTGTACATCAAATGGAAACTTCTCCAAACGGAGCCCGCAATTAAGAGTTGCTTGCAACCTGTAATAGTTTATATGCTACTTTTATTATATGAGTTATTTCAAATTATGTTAATATGTTAATATGTTATGTTAATAGTTATGCGTCTAGGTACTCCAATCATCCGTTCTGACCCAAACTTAATTTACGATCGCGCACATTCGCAACATTCATTTTTTCGATGAATGCTGCATATATTATGTAAAATATAGATCATTATTTGATACATAATAATTTAATTATTTAAAAAGACCACGTCAAGAAGATAACTTTCATTTATGTGTTTACTCATAATCTAAAACAGCCGTTGGCTTTTTCTTAATCTTGAAGTTTCTTTTCCCATATCAGCAAACTGAAGAGCAAGGACATAGATGTACATACTTATGCATTTCAATGTTAACAACCAGGAAAATTGAATGCATGTCTGCGTTCCGAATGCAAATGACTTAATTTGAGAGTTAAACATGTATGTATGTACCTATGTAAGAAAAATAACGTCCCACGAAATCTAATAATTTAATTTTAACTTCTGAATAATTGAACAATAGATGATATTTAGTCACAATAGTTAGTCATAATAATCAACAATTCGTTAAAATGCTTATTTAATTTCTTCTAATTTTTCTGCAATATAATTATCTAGTTACAGAAATAAATTATTTTATATGTATTCCAACTTTGATTAAACTTTTATTCAATAATATCTCACCAATTAGAATAATTTGAAAATATTATATATAATTATAAAATATATTAAAAAATTAAAATAACATAAGTAACATATCAAAAAATTATTTTAAAAAAACAAATTTATATTATTTGTTCTTTTTTCAGTTTTTTTATTACTTTACATCTACGCTATTTTTTATATTATATTTAAATTATTATAAATTATTCTGAATGAATAAAAATGTTCATCAATATTGCATTTGATAATGTGATATATTTTTAATATATTAAAAAATCTAATGTTTTATTTACAAACCTAGTGTTCAGTATGACCATGCCTGATGGATCTATTGAAACAAGTATATCTTTCACACCACTTCCCATTATAGCTGAACTGGGCTCGTTAGAAACATATACGGTAGGTGTCCAAATTAAATCATGTGCAAATTTTCCACCATGTATTTGAGTCAAGTATGGAGCAATATTTGAAAATTTTAGCCTATTATCCAAATATCTAAATTGCAACATTATATGTACATCAAATTGCTGCAAAAATATTTTGATATTTATATATTTATAAAACATATAAAATAATATCATTATTTTGTAAAATGTACAAAGAATGAATATGAATATGTGCAAAGAATGTATATTAAAATTTATATAAATTATAAGATATAAGTATAATACAAGCTACCAGTGTTTTTGCCATATTTGATTTAATTGTGTAAATGTAAGCCCTGGTATATACGTGAATTGGATCTGTAGAATTAGTTTCTCCTGGTGGTCTAATCATCTTGTCATAGCGACAATTATTTGTTAATTCTTGTAAAAGTTCAGTTTGTGTCATAGAGTTGTTAATGTTTAACATTGGACAACTTTCTAATCTGTAAGAAATGTTTGTAATTTTATATATATAAATAAGTAATTTCCAAAATCTTGGTAATTTTCTAATGTTTAATAATAAAATGTATTAATATAAGAAAATGTTGTAGAAAATTTATAAGAAAATACATGATATTGAAGGAAAATCCATTTTGGTTAATATTATCAATAATATATTTTTATTAGTGATATTTAGTTTCAATATATAAAAAGATAAAGCTGCTCTAAAAGAAAGTCCTTGAATTAAAATTCCAGACGTTTCTAAGTAGTAAGAATAGTTCATTGTTGCTTTGTACCACCAATGCTGATGACATAATGCAATGCATGTGACTCTACATTAGAAAAAGAATTTCTTTGTTATTAGAAGTTGGAATATTTCTGAAAAGCATTTGCTATAGATATATAATGCATTTACTATTGATATGTAATTGCTTTATGTAATTATTTTATGAAATAAGCATTAGAACTATCAGCTAGAGTATAAAACATAGAGAAATTAAAGGACAGATAAACATTAGAGAAATTAAAGGATAGATAAAAACTTATAATATAATTAGGGACGCAAGCTTTTATCTATATATAATTTACAAAAAATTAATCCAATTTCTGAAATTGTATTATTGTATATTTATAAAATTTTTATGAAAAATTATAAATTTTGTATTCGCATTATACATTTTGATCTCTCTGGTAGTTCCACTGTTAGTATGAATAAATCTAAGATACTTTATGAATGTATATAACAAAAAAATTCTAATTTATTAGATAAAATAAATAGAAACCTCACAAAATTAGAAAATTTTTTAAAATTTAGTACTTAATATATTTTATTTACATTACATTTTATTTATAATGTTATTATGTTTATTAGTGCAAAAATAAAAAAAATTATTTATTAATTGAAACAAAATTTTGATACTCTAATTAGAACTTTAATACCAATTTCAACAATAAAGTCTTATCTACCACATGAGCATGTTAATTTATGGTATCAAACATTCAACTGTTTATGTAAGTTATCAGTATTTTTCTTCATAAAATTGCATATCATGATTCAGAATAGAGTCCTTTTCTTTTTTATTTGATGTATAAATGAGTGCATACATATGCAAACAATTTGAAGTATGAAATATATCAAATATAATATTAATATATAAAATTTTCTCTTTCAATTTCAATTTTTCAAAAATTGATATTGTTATTTTATATATTTTATAAATCTTACTTACATAAAAGTGATAAAAGTTAGAAAATTATTTAATGATTGGTGTCATAATAAATATAGATAAATCATAAAAATAAAGAAATATTTTTCTTAATTTATTTTTATATGAAAATTATCTCAGTTATGCTGTTTAATAATGTAATAATTAAAATACAATAGAATAGCATAAAGTTGTTCAATATATAATTGCAATAATTAGATTAGTATAATCGACTTTGTTATAATCATTAAGTTTAATTATATAATCATATGTATACTCATTAATGTTTTATATAAGTGCCTGAAAATGTACTTATTTAGATATGAAATATGTAGAAATAGATAGCAATTATAGATATTTTTTATAAAATGTATTTTTGATTATAATTTTTATTGAAACTTTCATTCAACCAAAATTTCTTTTTTCTATTATTTATTTAATACTCTAAAGATTTTTGTAAAAAAAATTGTATTATACATGTATCCTTTATATGCAAAATTTATATTATGCACGTATTACAGTCTTATAGTGTTTTGAACATTTTTTGATTAGAATGATGTTTATTTGATGAATGTATCTATATTAGACTGGAAGTGATATTTTTTTGTAATTGTATTTGTTCAAAATTATAGAAAATGAGATTAATATATAGGTTCAAATTTTAGTTAAATAAGCTTCTTTATATAAACATAAAAGTGACACAAATTTTTTATAATTGCATTTGTACTAATACTTGATAATACATATGACACATGACACATTTTTAATTACGAAAGAAGAATATTAGTTATCATTAAATTTAATAAAAATTTAAAATGGATAGTAGTAACTTACATAGTAGATGTATTTAAATGAAAAGTTTGTAGTAGATGAATAAAAAACACGAAAGAATAAATTCTCCTTAAAGCCATCTTTAGTTTCCTGATGACTTATCTGCTTCACTAATAAACTTGGACTGATTCTTTCTTGAACATACATGTATGGTCTTTGAGTAAATTTGCTGGAAACCAAACATTACTCAACCATTCCTCCCACTAAGAGTATTCTTTTATAAAGTGAACTTAGGTGCTTGTATATAACACTATAAGTTGATATTATGTAGTGTGTCAAAACCGTGAAATAAGCTGAAATACTTAAATATATATAAATTTTAATAAAAAAAATAAAAACTTTGAAATTTATATATTTTTTGATTACTACGTACTGCTTACATATTAAATAATTTACAGTGATTTATACTCCTATCTATAAAAATAAGCATTCACATGTATTATATAATTTTCAGTCTTTATAATTATACTTATTCTTTAAATAATTATAAGATTTTCAAATTAAATATGTTTAACTTATTTACATGTCTTATATATAAAATACGTTTATATATGAATTGATGTCATTATTTACTATGTAATAAGTATTACAGATTTTACAATATTAAATGTTACTTTTTTGTACAATTTATTCTTGTAAAACAGTTTATATAAACTATTCAAAGCTTATATATGATTTATATAAGATTTTTATATAGAAAATATAAAGATCCAGTTTAAAAAATATAAAAATTTTCGGAACTTATTCGTTAGATATATGCTTAGTTCATTTCTACGGATGTCATATGTGGTTTCATACGATTGAGAGTATAAGTAAATAAATGGAGATTTTGTAACAATTTTGTCATTCTTATATAATGACGTTCAGTATATGGTATCACAGATTCCAATGTGGAAGTTAATTTTGTTTGAAATTCCAAAGTTTCCATTTCCATCATTAATGCGTTTATGACTACCTGTTAATCGTAAATATTACAAAAATATATAGAATTAAACTAAAAATATATAGAATTAACTTTCTCACTTGAAGAAATAACATACTCAATTATATATGAGAACTTACCTGAGCAACTTGACAATTTTTACTATTGACGTTCCACGTAATAGCACACTTCAGTAGCTCTTCTTTATACATTGGTTTTAATTTATTAATTGTTTCTTCAATGGAGACATTTTTCTTTAATATGGCTGATAAAATTGAAAAATAAAAATTGTAAGAAAAATGGGAAAATAGTTATATTTTTTTCAATTATTAGTTTGTATAGAATCATTCATTTTATCTTACACTTACAAGATGATATATATAAAACATATCTTTTACAACAGTAAAATAATTGACAACGTTTACCTTAACTCAGAGTTTTCAAAAATAAGATAACAGTATGTAAAATTTTTATTTATCTTATTTTCAGAACTTAATTATAAATTTCTATTTTTCTTTTTAAATATGTATATTAACATACAAAATTTATTTGTATAATTTTCAAAATTTTTTTGAAAAGAGCTTGATTACTTTATTATTCTGAGTCTTTAAATTAAGAGCAATTATTGATTTAAATACAATAAAACGTGTACATATCAGAAATTTAAAAATATGATGTTCTAGAAAATTATCTTTGCTTTTTAAAATATTTTTGTTTATAAAATATTGATATTGGCTCACGTAAAACAAGAGTTCGTATATTTAAGAATTTTTTTAAGTTTAAATAAATCAACTTATACATAATTATTTCAGAAATTATATCAAATGATACAAGTTAGTAATTTGTAATTGCAACTTACTTTCTATAATTTTAAGAACTTGGAAAGGACGTTCCAACTTTAAAGCTATTTTTAATGCAGAAGTTAATTTATCTGCTTTTAGTAAATTTGCCAATTTTTGTTCTTCCAGTGCAAGTTGTTCTAACTCCATTGCAGCTTTTATTTTCTTTTCCTCAGTTACATCTTTCCAAATAACTAGCAATGAGTCACTTCCACCACTGATAATATTCTTCTCATTTCTACTAACTATAATTAAAATATATAATAAATAAAAAATATAAAATAAATGTAAAAAAATATTAATTAAATGTAAAATAAATATAACATATTAATTAAAAAACATTAAAATAATGTTTACCTGCAAGTGCCCATACGCGACTTTCATGCTGTTCTAAAGTACATATACATTCCGATGTTTTAATATTCCAAAGTTTCAAAAGACCATCTCCACTTGCACTAATTATTTGCATCCCCCGTGACAAAAATTCTGCTTTTAATACTGATGATTCATGGCCTTCAAATGTCTATCATATAAATACAATTATTAATAATAATAAATGTACATCTTAATAATGATATTATATTATAGATATATCTATAGGTCTTTAATGTTAAAATTACTTTTAAACATTGAAGTTCTGTGAGTGACCAAATTTTTAATGTACAATCTGCCGATGTCGTCAGAAGTACTTGATCTACAGGTGAAAATCGAACGCACCAAACTCCTCTACGATGACCACGAAATACACCAAGTAATTGTAGATCATCCGACCATAACTATAACATTCAGAATAAATATTTCTAAAAAAAATCCTTTAAGTAGATCCATATTAAATTTGTGTGGGAATATGTTGAAGATAATGATATATAATTTGAAATGCTAATAGTTAATATTAAAAAAAAATTTAATACTGAAATTAAATAATTATCAGAATGAATATATTTTACAAATATAAAATGTTTATGAAGATATTTAAAATATTTGTTCAATTTTTGTCTTAAAAATAAATAATAAATAATATGAAAGTATGTAACAAATTTTACCTACCATATAATATTATTCTTTATACTATAATGTTCATTTTATACTATCAATACTCTAATTTTTGTAAAAATATGTTTAACTTACTAAATATTTTACCGTTCTCGTTTAAAAGAAATATCGTATATATAATGTTTGAAAAATTTAATGCATTATACCTTAGCTGTTTTATCTTGGGATCCAGTAGCAATTAATTTATCATTTGGTGAAATAGTAACACTATTAATGTCTTTCTGATGAGCTAATGTTGTATGAATAACATTTAAAGAGCATGTGTCTGCAATTATTAAACATACAAAATGATATTAACAATAAGTATTAGGAATAATGATATAAACAAAATTTTGTTTACCTTTAAAATTGATATTATCGGGCAAACTCCATAATTTAAGACATGAATCTTGACTAACAGTAGCAAAAAATTTTACAGATTTTTGAGAAATTTCTACAGAACCAATAGGAGCAGTATGTCTAATAGCAGATGCAATGCAAGATACTTTACATGTTTCTTTATCCATAAGCCATACCCGAATATTATTGTCCTATAAATTATGAAACATTATTAAAAATTTCATAGATACTTCATAAATTTTTTTATATTAAAGCATTCGTAAATTGATATTTATTATTATCGGTATTTATTAATATTTATTCATTTTACCAAATTTAAAGATAGTTACAAAATTCTTTTTAAAATTAATATTTATCTGAAAATTTTATATTATGTTGGTAACAGGATATATTATCTTATTCTGTTATGAGAAAAATATGGTTGAAATATAATCTTTTCAAGTAAATTAAATGATTTTTATGGTGTAAAAATTAATTGAATATATAATGAAACTAATTCTATGAAATTTTTACCAACTATAAATGTTGGTAATGATTGCTTTTTTCTACAAAATTATTTTCTTGTAGAGAATTAACATAATTTATGAAATGTATATACCTTTCCTGAAGATATAAGTAAGTAGACATTGACTGGTGTAGTAGAAAGAGATAATACAATATCTGTATGGCCACGTAGTAATTCGCAATCCATAGTTAAAATATTGTACAACTTTATATCATTACTATTAGTAGCAATTGCCATATGACTTCCATTATCTCCAAGATATACAATATCTAAAATCTCATCAGTGTAACCTATGAACTATGACATTAAAAAATTATATTTATTACATAAAATTATTTATTAAAATATAAATTTCATTATTCTAAAAAACAAATTTACCTGTTTCACATAATCAAATGTTTTTAATGAATGAATAATTATATTATGATCAACTGTAACTACAGCAAAGTTGTTACTAGCAGCATTATAAAGTAAATGTATAATTGACAAAATTCCAGGTTCTTTTGCAGTTGATACAATGGAATTTTCTTGTACATACACTTCTTTCCCAGTTTTCATCTCCCAAATTTTTACAACTCCTAAAAAAAGTTGAATTACAGAATAAATATAATTATTATTTATAAATTTATATAATTCTATAAAATGTGAAAATTTAATAAAAAATAGAATTTTGAAATAGCCAGATGAGAAATTAATCAACATTAATTAATTTTATGTAAATATTTTTTATAATATAATCAATAATTTATGATTGAACCTTTTTCTCCTGCAGCAGCGACGTGTACAGCATTTTTATCTTTATCATAAAAAGGTACAGGGAGTAACGCATTTTTAGGAATAATAAATGTATCTTCTATTTCTTCGTAAACTGGCAAAATTCGCATTGACGACGCAGAAGAAAGATTCCATAAAATGAGAACTCTATCTCTTCCTGAACTATAAGATCAATATGCATTATATATATCATAAATTTTACATTCATATAAAAAATAAAGCATATAGTTTCAATATATTACCTGACTAAATAATTCTCATCTTTGAGAAAGGATAAAGAAGTAACTTTACTGAAATGTCCAGAAAGAGTAATTTCTTTTTTTCCAGTTTCAATATTCCACCCATGAATTTTGATATCATCACCAGCAGCAAAGATGAGCCCTTTTTCAATATTTGGATGAAAGGCTAAAACACTAAAATTATAATTTACAAATTTTATAAAAATGATTATACTGTAAATAATATATTTTGTGATATAATTAAAAATAAATAGCAAAAGAAATAAATAAGTATAAAATTCCCATAAAATATTACTTTTGTATTTTCGTTTTAGAAGCTTCACTATAAATAAAGAATTTCATCTATAAAAGAAGTTTCTTTTTATATATATATACGATGTTTTCTTTATTTTTGGTGACATTTATTGTGATGTACATATATATAAAGAACCCAAATTAATGATTATCTGATCACTTTCCTCAATATTATAGAATTTTAAATTATTTATAACAGTATATATTCAGTGCATATACAATTATATACAATTTATTAAAAACAAACAATAATTTCTCAATTGATTTTTTAAAAATTATCATAAAATAGATAATTTCATATTCTATTATAAAATATGTCTCTAATAATTTTTACAAATGAAAATATTTTATTTAAAATGTAAAATAAATACCTTATAACTCCCTGAATTTCTTTTAGATTATGAGTACAAGAATGATGTTGTAAATCCCATAATCTGACACTACCATCAGTACCTCCAGAAGCCATTAAATTTCTTTCAACAGAATGAACAATATGAACGACAGGACCCTTATGAATTGATTTCCATAATTTAATTAATTTATTAACTGTAATAACAATACATACATTATTATATTTTAATTAATTTGTCATAATTAAATTAAATAACATTATATATTACCTTTCCAGTTCCATAATTTAAAAAGACCACTTTTGTGATATGTGATAATGTTTAAGTCATTGTCACTTGCAATAAATGTGTTGATTGGATCTTCCTCTTCACTGTTATTCCTTTCTCCCAAATAAGATATTATTAAGCCATTCTCGACTGATAATATGGACACTGTACCATACTTTTGGCAGAAGATATATTTCCCATCTGTACTCCACTATAATAAAAGAATAAAATAACAATTATACAATAAAATAAAGGAAAATAAACATATGTAATTCTTAGTTATATATAATACTTAGTTAATAATATATAATTCTTAGTTAACATACTTGTACATTTCCTCCTGTATAAAATGCACCATATTTGGATTCAACTTCGAATCTGGAATTTATAAAAAAGAAATAGCTACAATTTATTTAAAGGCATAAAAATTATTTAATGCTTATTACCTATAAAATAAATTCAACAGTGTCATTTTAAAGAAATTACTTGAAATTACTTACGCTTCTTTTAGGACGTTATTCATTTTTATAAATTATTACAAAAACTTAATTATATTTTATGAATAGTGTACTTTTATTTTCATAACTTAGGTTATGTTCGCATTCGTCAGTAACACGTGTATAATTCCCTTAAACATAAATACATTTTAGAATAGCACAATACCATCGTGAAAACGATTATGAATTAATAGTCATGGTTTATTCACAGGTTACTCAATTTCATAATTTAAGTTATAAAACTGCACTTTTATCAAAATTTTTAATATTACAGTTAATTTTCTATATATCAAAATAAATTTTATCAAATAATATAATTGACTTTTTTTATATCATAAAAAGGGTAAACTGCAATTTTTTAAATAAAAAAGACAAACTATTTATATATATTTCATGTATGTGTATTATATGGATGTTTGTCACACTCTATTACCCTCTTTATCAGCCGCACAAATGTGTCTAACCTTGTCGCACGCACGTATAAATCTGTTCTCGTCTGCCACTGTTGCTCTCTTTGTCTACCGCACGTATATGTCCTTGTCGCACGCTGTTGCTCTCCTTGTTTAATGACGCTAGACAAGGAAAGCAATAGGGTGCGACAAGGACACCCGTCGATCTATTGAAAAAAAAATTCAACTTTTTACACACGCATTTTTCTAGGACAAAACACACATAGAAAGAAAGTGGGAAGTCTAATTTTAAGGAGACATATAAAAAAGTTCGCAAATTATTCCTCTTAATTAATTTCTTCTCGTAACTTGTGGAAAAACTGTCACCTGTCAATGTTCAGAGGCACCAGTGGCGCCATCTATTGACAACTCGGTGGCACTAAAAGTAGAAAATTCTGTTTTTAGTACCACCGAGTTATCAATAGATGGCGCCACCATTGCTTTTAAACATTGACAGTTGACAGTATTTCCACAAATTACGAGAAGATATTAATTAAGAGGAATCATTTGTGAACTTTTATGGTTGCATCATCGATTTTAGAGACCCTAAGCTTGGTTTTTGTTTTAAGTATAGTTTATGTATATAGAGAGTGTTTCAATTACGTTAGTAGTGCCTGTAGTGAGTGCATAATTTCGCGCAAACTATAGTGAATATTAGATTCAGATTTATTTGCCAACGTAACTGATGGCATTATCTTTGAAATATGTGCTCGTGGAGTGCAAATTAGTAGCGTGAAAAGTTAAAATTAATTATTACGCTTATATGGTTATGGAGCATTTAGTTCCACCGGTCTGCCACAACGCGGCGCTAGTGTTTTTCTTACCCCGTAAAACAGAGAAATTTTCATTTGCGAAAAAAACTAATTTAGCGAGATGAATTGTGAACTTTGACGCTGGTATTACCCTAATTAGACCTTAGCTTTCTTTTCATACTCTATTTGACCCGTAAAATGAAGAAATAAGTATTTTTGTAAATAGTTAGTACCACTGAGTTACCGCTAGATGGCGCCACCATGTCCATTTTGTGACAGTTCGCACTAATTATGAAAAAACTTAATTAAGAGGAATAATTTGCGAACTTTTTTATATGCTTCCGTAAAATTAGGCTCCCCGCTTTCTTTCTATGTGTGTTTTGTTCTAGAAAAATATGTGTGTAAAAAGTTGAATTTTTTTTTCAATAGATCGGAGGATGTCCTTGTCGCACCCTATATGCGACAAGGACAGGCATATACGCGCGGTAGACAAGGAGGCCAACAGTGACAAAGGACATGCGATTTTAGTTCCATTGTTCTGCCATAAGGCGGCGCTAGTGTTTCATACCCGCTAAAACAGACAAATTTTGATTTGCGAAAAGAACTAATTTAGTGAAATGAATTGTGAACTTTTGTGATTGTATTACCCTAATTAGACCCTTAGCTTCCTTTTCATACCCCATTTGAATCGTAAAATGCAGAAATAAGTATTTTTATAAATAATTAGTATCACAAAACCAGAGAAAAACAATATAATATTTTTTACAAATTATAGATTATGAAAAAAAAGAAAGTAAAACATGAACTATGATGCAAAACAAACAATTTGTTCGTTTAAAAGGAAATAAAAATTTCTGTCAAGATTTTATAATCAACTGTGTCATTGATAACGTAAAACAAGTAGTTTGATTAAGTAGTATAGTTTAATTCACTTTTAAAAAGTTTTAATGATATTGGCGGCAGTTGGAGGAGTTTGATATTTTTTTTTACACTCTTTTATGCTTTTAAAAAAACGCACGGAAAGTTAGAAATTTAGAGAATTTAAAGTTACAAGAAAATTGTTTTTAAAATGAAAAGACAAGTTGAAAAAGATGTTTGTAAAATAACGAAGATAGATGATACTGTTGTAAATCAAAATGTACAACCCAAGGCCGGAAAATTTACATTTTGGAACGGTGATGTTTATGTTGGAGAGTATGAAATAAATTATGATACTTATCTTTTAGTGAAGCAAGGTAACATTTTACCTAAAATAACATTACCTACTATTGAAATTCTGTTAATTACATTGTTTATTTAGGGAAAGGAACATACGTTACTGATAATTTTGATGTTTATCACGGAGAATGGAACGATGACACATTTCCTAGCAGCGATATTCATATTAAGTAATAAAAACAATTTCACAATCTATGATGATGTCAATTCATGTACAATTTATTTAAGGTATAATAACGACGCTCAGTATCGAGGTCGAATAGATTCAAACGGAGTGATGAACGGTTTAGGAACATACATATTTCCCGATGGATCTTCGATTGAAGCCATATGGCGCGATAATCAGCCATTCACAAATATTATTTATAGAGAACCTCTTGGATTTGCATGGATGGTCGAAGATGTATCAACAGATGTAGGAAGTTTCTCTTTAAATCAAGTGTATAAATTGAAGTGTCATCGAGCAGAAATACGACGAGCGTTTTGAAAGTTTTATTAAAAATATAAGTTAACATTAGATATAACTTTGATTGTTTACAAGACTATATAGATTTATTTGTTTTGAGAACGTTTACACTTCTAAAAAATCATAAAATTATTTTAGTCGCTAATTCTGATAATCAATTGAAATTCTTACTTTCACTGTTTTCTTATGTGCTCTTCAATTTTTAATTGGGAAAGATTAAAAAGATATATACTTCGGGAATTAAAAGATTTAAATTTAAATTAACAAATTTCATATGTTACAGTTCATCACGTTTTCCGCTGGGAATCATTTTTGGAACGATATGATGTTCGATGATAGTACCATGCCTTCTTCCAAATCTTATCGGTCGAATTGAAATGAATTAATTTAGTTTCTTAAGAGTTTAATTTTTCAGTCCTCTTTGTACATCGGAGGAACCGTGTACCGACTTATCGGTGATTTAAACAGAGGATTTTGGTTTAAGCTGAACACAGTTTTCTGCTGTTCTCTCATGAACTTCTCATATTCTCTCTTATCTTTTATGGATGTCCAACACCTGCATCCGCATATAATCCGCATAAATCATATTAATATCTGTTCCCAATAAATTCTAATTCAATTAATTTCTATTTTATTGTACTTACTTCCAAATTAGTAAACAAACAACTCCGAGACATACTATTCCGAGGATAATTGCAGTTGGAACGACCGCTGCGTGTATGGAAGTATAGCACTTCTAAATACATTACATTGAAACAGATTTAAAAAAGAGTTATAATAACTTATTTAGACTATAGACATTTATATACATTTATATTAATATTTAAAGACGCAAAAATGCACAGAATATGTACACAGGATATATAAAGATATCGAGTCATAAATAATGTGATTTTTCTCGGAATTGAGTTAAAAACTATCATATAGTAACTGATTGTTACTGTCAGAATTTTATAAAATTGAAAAAGAAAAGAGTAGAAAATGAATGAAGAAAAACTTATTAAAAAATACAAGAAGAATTATCACTGATTGTCTCAAAAGATAATTTTTTATTTTCATGTAATATACGAAAATCTACGATTACTTTACTTGTAGGACGACTTGATATATGAAATATCCAAAATGTAGTATTCTTCGTAGCATTTAATAAGCAAATTTAAAAAAATTTAATGAATATCCACAGTGTAGTAGCAACACTTTCGAATATGGATGTTGTGATTACCTTGTTACCAATTTTCAAAGTGACTACATTATTTTTCTGAAACTCGTATACGTAATGTATGAAACAGGTCGTTCTTTCCTTCACCGTCTTCACGAAACAGTAGTGCTTGTTTTCTAAAATAAATATATACCTCGTTGGCATAATCGTATCATTTAACTTGCGCTCTCTCAGTTTACCTATATCAACAGATTCCACTTTTTCAATATCATAAGTGGTAACGTTTGTTTGACAAAATTCGTCTGCCTCGTTCGGATTCTCAACAGTGGCGTTGACACAACGATCGTAAAGAACGCAGAGGCCACTGCCACCACCGCTTATCGACGATTCGCAATAAGTACCTCGATAATAGAATCCATCTGGTGCGGTAACATTGCATCTGTGAATAATATTCGATATACGTTCACGTAGAATGGAATATTTTAATATTCATGCTATCGATTAATTTAAATATTTTGAAAAATACCATCATATTTAATATTCTGTAGGTATATAAAGTATTGAACGTTTGAGTTATTTAAATTATTTAAACATATAGAATATTTTGAAACGATATTCAATATTTAGAATATAAGAAACAATATTCTTTGCAAATAATACATACGAACCGACATTCTCCACAGTCGCAATACCCATGACCAGCGCAAATTTCTTGACTTCCTGGTGCGATGCACAGCTCATTGGTTGATGGACATTGACAAGCGTTTCCTTCCCAACCTTCTATACATTGGCAAACACCACATTGACAAGTACCCTTATTTGAACATTCAATTCCATCTATCTATAAGAAGAAGATTAATTCAAGGTCTTTCTGGTTTTTTTCTATTCTAATTCAAATAGATTACACTGCTGTTTTATCAAGCTAATGGAAAGAAACAAGAAAGATGAATATGCTTCTCAAGAGTAAAAAGTGTATATACAATATACATATACATATATATATATATATATAAAGGTATATAATAATAAGAAAATACTTACACTCAAAAATTTGGAGTATGTTAAGATTACATTAATATTTTGTTTTTTTTTTATAATAATATTTAAACTCAAAGTTAGAATATTTCTATCTTTCAGAAAAATGTACGAAGAAATTTATTTCGTCCAAAGTACAAAAAGTAGTACCTTGTCGCAGGCAGAGCATTCACAAAATGCTCCGTTGTATCCATCGTCGCAGAAACACTCCCCGCAAACACAGTCACCTCTATCGGAGCAAATTTTCGTCGAGCTATCTTGGATACACTGTTGTACGTTATTTATCCGTGAACTTTCGTCGCAGTCGCATGTTTCGCCTGCGAATGCGTTGTCAATATTAAATAGTTGCATTGCGGAGGAAAAACGAAGGCTTACCGGACCAACCGAAGTCGCATTTGCATAAACCGCACTCGTTCGTCCCGTGCTTACAATGAAAATTTTCGGTATCTTTGCAGTTGCAACCACATAGCAACTCAACGTCGATTATTACATTTGATAGTTGAGAAGCCAGTGCATCCTCGATCACAACTGTTTGTTTCTGACAAAAGTATAAAGTTAGAGACTAAATTTGTGATGGTCGACAAGCGAAGTCAGAAAGATTCTGTGACTTAACGTCGAGTGAAAACTGAGACTAACAAATTTGCATTAGAACATTCTTTTAGAAAATACATAGTTTGAAAACTTAGTTGGTACAATCAGACTCGCGAAAGTGTTTAAATATTCATATAAAAAGAGCTTTGGTATTATATGAGCCATTTAAGTGATACAAGTCAATATTTTGCCTATTTGGTTCAACATCATGTTTTAAAAGTTTCATCCTCATTTTGTTCTGTGATACAAAGTTATGCAACTTCACAATGACTTGCAAAGAGACATTCTTTGGTGTTATTACATTTTACAGAACTTTTTTATTTTTTTAAACTTTTTTATTTCATCGCTCATTATCCAGAAATTTTTGACTTACATCACTTTTACATTAAACAGTTTATATATATTCTAATATGTCAGACATATTAGAATTTCGTAGTAATGAGTAGACTGCGGATTTTTATGCACTTAAAAATCCAATAATACATGTATGCAGAGTTTTAACAATACACAGAATACTCAAAATACATTACCCATTATAAAATTTAGCGGGTAAAGCAAATCTCTGTATTCAATTTTTGTAATTTCGTTTACAAGTATTATACATAAATTTGCATAAAAATTCACAATTTAATAATGAGAAATGACTATCATGATTATATTAGGCCTACACTGAACCACAGAATGTTTCTAACTTCATTTGCGTTAGGAATTTAGTTTCACGTATTACGAGTTTTATTTACGTTAATATTTATGGTTTAGATGTATGTACCCGTAACTCCTTATCCTTCGGACATTTATTGAAAGATAGAACGGCCTTGAAATCATATTCCTTTCCTTGCTTTATATCATCGCATTCCGAGGTATTCCATTCTGAAATGTTTTTCTCATTGCAGTTGGAAAAATACTTTATTTCTAACGGGCTGGATGAATTGTCGCGCAAGATCACTTTCGAGGTAATTCGATGATAAGCACTCTCAATGATCTCTAAAATATTCGAGCTGTCGTTGCTCAAGGTTGCGACCATTGCCTTTTCTTTGAGCAATTTCGTTGTCTCTTCGTATTCGTTACGACGATCTTCCGTGACGGCGAATATTAAATTAATTTTATGCTCCTGCAGTAACCTTGACAATTCTGCCAACGAGGAATAATCAAATTCCGTAGCTAAAGAGTATTGTCCACGTTCATTAAGATGACACTTGAAGTCTTGACGCTTTACAGCACCGCCTAGCTAATTGCAACACGAAGGCACTCGTATAAGGCATCTTAAAATTTAGGTAATTATACAAAAAAGGGCACGATTCGTCGATTTCATAAACGTTAAATATGAATATATCTATAAATTATGTAAATTGCTTCTTTTTAATATTGTGGTTAATACATGTAATTCCAATTAATGTTGGTGTTATAGAATTTCATATAAATTGTAATTATTTTTTTTTAACATTTAATCAAATAATTCAATATAAATCTAAAAAGTTTATTTAAGTTAAGATTAAATCTAATTGTTGAGTTTGACAAAACACATCGACATCAATCAAAATGTCGAGACGTGGTCTTTTCTGTATAATTCCCAGAATTTCTGTTCGCTAAATGATCACTTTGTACTACCTTCCCATCGCCGGCAAAATGTAAATGTCCATCGGTGGCCACTAGAATAATTTTTCGTGCCTGATGCTGCCAGTCGATATCTTTGGTGCAAACGATCGTTTGCACCAGCCCGTCCAACGCTCCTTCCAAATTGTCGACGTTCCCGGTCACTTGGCTATTATTCACCTGAAAATCAATCCATTTAATCCGTTCTGCTTCAAATTTTCTTCCAGATAAATCTCGTACTTGTACGATGAATCGTCGAACGTCGTTAGTTAGCTTCAAGCGATGCCAGTATGCATAAATAGGAGAGCATTCGGCGTGCTCACTCTTGCAAGGATTCTCCTCGTGTCCTGGGAAGACGTACGGCATCACAGGTTTGTCAGCGTAGCTACCGAAACCCAGGCGAAAGTGACTGGTGATGCTGCCGAACGTTTGACTCATGTTCCATCCTAAACTGACCAAAGTCTCCTTGTCGTCCTTCATCGACCAGGTCAAGTCCATCAGATAATACAAATCTAACGGGTAATTTCTAAATCATTTTGAATCTCGTTAGATTTAATCTCGAACGTGTCGCTTGTAAATTCTGCTCGGTAAATCAAGTCCTGTCCAGTGAATGAATGTTGCTCATATCGTACGAAATATCACGCTGTCCTCTCACGTTGGAAATTTATGTGGTAGTTCTAAAACTTTTATTACAAAAACGTTCTCCTTCTCGCACGTGGAACCTGTACGGTATTACATTATATTTATTCAACAGTTGTCCTCGTTATGTTCCGTAAATTCAAGGTAAATCTTAAGTAATTTTAGTACAACAAAGAAGCAATTAAAAATCTGATATTGCGTCAAACAATAACGTGGAAACTTAAATAGTCACCCAACATTCACATTAATGAACCTTTGCTTGAAGTTTTTCTAACTTTTTACGCAAAGTGGAAGATTACATTTTTTTTTTTCAATGAAACAGGATGTGTGACAAAGAATGTAAAAATTGGTGCTGCAAACACTTCAGTTGTTAAATATATGTTCCGGAATGTATGACATTATAAATAGCTCATTTCACATACATAATAGAACAAAATGGATTAATGGAATAATTTAATTAGTAATAATTCAGAAAATTAAATAACTAATTCTAACGTACTGTGCGACTTAAAAATTCATTCAATAGACAGGTCTTCCTACCTATATACCTAATTACAATGAGATTAATGCTTGTTAATTATTTTAAGTCACTTTGTTCGGGTTATCGGTGAAACGAACGTACTTGGCCAGTCGATAACGAATCGGAATTGTTATCTCGAAATTTGGCGGAATCTTCACTGCTACTCTTTGCGGCCGCAGTTGTATCGGTACTCGTTCCGGTTCCATGTCTTGAAAATTCGAATCCTCCAGGAACTTCATCGACCACGGTGAAGCAGTGCGAATTTCTCTCGGTGGACAACCGAACTGTTTCAGTCTCTCCGGCGAGTTGCACCGCGGTCTCCCGACCGTCAAATTCGAATAAGACTGAAAGCGTTAATAGGAAACTCAAATTTGGTATCTGAATAAACAAAACTTCACTGCGACTCGATCGAAGATGAATGGCATCTTGAGACAATTACCCAGTCACTACACCAGGCACAAGAAGGACCAGCTTGCAGGCAAGTTTCACAAGTGTTCTGAGAGATGCACGATCTCAAAATTTTCGCTTCTAGAGTATCAGCCCTCCTCCATTCGCGGCACAGGAAGATCACGAACAGCAACCCGTGGATTCTCATCATTACCGGCGACGACAGGATACCAAATTAAGGATACCAACATCCAACAAAAATGAACGATCTCTACCTTTTTTTTTCTCGAAGAAACCGTCGGTTCATGCTCACTGAAAGCGTTCCCTTATTTCTTCCTGGGTATGATTTTCGCAATGATAGGAGCGAATGGTAGAGGTAGTTCGCGTAATCGACACGACTAGGGCCTCAATGTGAGTTATTTGCACTATGATAACGAAGTGCGGCATCACTGGATAGAGAAAGAGAGAGAAAAAAAAGAGGAGGTAAAAATTACGTCAATTCGATATCGCTTCGCAGTAGTAATTCGCTTTATCTTGCTGATAAATCCATGCCCATTGCTGGTGATCAACAACAGGTATCGTAAGATCAGCTAATATTGATTCATTGATCTCGTGATTTTTGTTTCACGATGTATCGCTCGTGGTGAACTGTTGTGAGAAACAGAAACGCATATAGATTGGATGTAGGATAAAGTTGACATCGAGGCCGAGAACTATTTCGCTATAAAAACACACAGTCCTTGTTGTAACTTAACTTTGACCATTATATACATATGCTGTTGATATTGACAATCATGCATATGTACAGGAAGCAAGGAATTGAATAGTTGCAATTCACCTTGTTCTACGATCTACTTTCTCAAAAACAGTTAAACGTGTTTCTCGTTCGTACCGAAAAGAAAGCCGATTATTTCATAGCGAATCGGAATTCTGCCACGAGCGGCTTACATAACTTCTATGTTTCTCTATTTTTCTTCTTTTTTAACTTAATGGTATTCGTTGGTTATTTTTCAACGTGATGAAATCATGATAAAAGAATTCAATGAAACCAATCTTGAGAAAAATCGTTCATCTTCTGTTTCACTGTTTACATATTCATGGCAAATGTAGACGTATGTAGAGGCTGTGTCTGTGTAGATATTATTGTCTCTAGGAATTACCGAAATTAGGAAAAATGAGGAATTTCATTATCTTTTATTGTTACAAAATAATGAAAGTTTCTTTTTAATTTTCCATTTTCTTATTCAATATTAGTCTGTAGAAAAATAAAATTGACTATAAAATTATTAAATTAATTATATTGGAATAAAACAAACCATCGTGCATAGAGTTTCACCCATGAAACTGTTGCGTTATCAATTGTTGACACAAGCGTGAAATTGATTTTCCAGATGGTGCATTTGATTGTCTTTAGTTCGCCGATATCTTTGTTAACATGTCTATTTCCATATAAAACAAATTTAGGAATTCTAAGAGCAAAGTGAAATCCTAGTGAAAATCGGTCATTTTGCATTTCTAGGATCGTTAAGTTGCTGAAAACAAACAACTCTCGGAATTCTCCGGTTTGTAATATTACTCGAACATTATTTGATATTTATAAATAATGCTGAAGAGTAGAAAATGTAGTTTTATTACAATTTTCATCTATAAAACAATCATTTGTATAGGATAGATATATGGCACTTTGTTTTTAAACGACACTTTGTTTGTATGATATAGTTATAATCGATTCAACAAGTTTCATCTCGCAAGTCGGTAATTCAAATGGGCTAATGTGTAAGTACTTACAAATGACACAACTTCTACAATTTTATTTCTCCTGCGAATTGTTTCGTAACAATTTGTTACATACGGTTGATAAATACACACATTTTTTCGTTGCATTCGTAGCCGTGAATATTCTTACACAAGTACAATTGTTGATCACACGAAACCAACCATTAAAAATTCCATGTCGTGTCTATCGTTCTTACTTAATAAAAACCCTAAACCTTATCGTAAATCTTATTAGGTTATAACATAAGGTTATAAACTTTATCATCGTACTATAGAATCTCATTACCGTACGAAACATCAATTCTTAACAGCGACGATTCTCAACAAAACTCTGTATTGATATTGTGCAGCAGCATACAACACACTACGACATTTTACAATTATAAATAAAAAAGATTCATAAAAGTTCAGGTGTATATCTTAGAAAATCTCGTTTCCATTCATATTCATTATTTTACGAGATTCTAGGCCGTGCTTTGAGAAATGGTCATTCTAGAACTTTCTACAACATTCTACAATAGTTCTCGTTCTGCGAAACTTATATCTTAATTTTACGCAACAACTCGTCATAGAAACAAGCTGCATTGGTGTACATTAGCGAACGAGTTTCTATCGTTATCGTATGGTCGTTAGAATGTTCCATGACTCCCACATACGCCACATTTATTCTTTCGAAATAAAACTTGTTTATGACGAAACAATTATGGTTTTCTCTCAGAACAGGAGATACGTCTGGTTAATTGTTGCTGAATAACAGTAGTATCTGGATCCTTGGAGAACACAGTAGGAATGATCTCTTCCCCTTTTTCTTTTTCTTTTTCTTCTTCTTCTTCTTTCGAGGGAGCGTCCGAGGGGTGAACCTGATTTAAAAGCATACCTCGTATGAACATGCCTGCACATTCCCATGGAAAAGCCCTAGAACCGAAACAAAAATTAATATACAACACATATTGCATGTTAAATATTTATCTATTAATATTTATATTCGCTTATTAATATTACGTTATCATAATTATAATTATAATATAACTGCAACAAATATAATAATAGTAATACATAAACAATACATTACCATACATATATATGTATATAATAATGTACTGTATATACATTAATTTATATTTTATTTCATATATATATTATATTTGTTGTATTTATATTTTATATATTTCTATATAATATTTATATTCGTTTTGTTTTTTTATCATTTATCTGTTAAGCTTAGCATATTCTTTTAAAGTATATATTAGCTTTGTATATTTACTGAATTATTTACCATTTCAAAATGAGAAAAATGTAAAGGTAACCAGGTACTATGACGACCTTCTCGTTGCACCTTATAGCGGACACAACACGATCAGCTACATCATTTGGAGTGAGCCTTGGCAAATATCTAAAGAATGTGAGGACAAATATATATATATATATGTATATGTATATGTATCAAGACGAATATTTCATTTATATATTTTTACTTTATTAAGTGGAGAGAAACAAACTTTTTCCTACCTTGGTGAAACCTTATTGAACATGCCGGTACTTTGAATAAAGAATGGGCATACCACCGTGCTATTGATCTTATATCCCTCAGCCTAAGAGAAAGAAAAATGATAGTAGAATACTTGAAGACAACGATGTAAAAATTAGTGAACTTACAGCTAACTCCATATGAAGAGCTTCCTCGAATCCAACTGCCGCAAATTTCGATGTGCAATAGTTGATCAGGTGCGGCACTCCTATGTGCCCAGCCAGACTCGCGATGCTTACAATATGGCCATAGTTATGCTCCATCATCGAAGGTAAGAACGCTTTTGTTGTCTTTAGGAGGGAAAAAAAAAAAAAGAAGATTATCATTTTTAATTCCCAAAATTACATTTGTACGAACATTTAAAACAAATATCAACGGTACGAAATATAATCGTAGGATAAATCGTAGATACATTCTACTTCATGAAAGAAGCGATAAATATAAACGTGACCTTCATTATCTTTCATCATCGAAGGCAAGAATGTTTTCGTTGTCGTTGAAGAGAAAAGATCGTTTTGTCGTTAAAGAAAATTAATAAATATAAATTGTACAGGCACTTCATTATTTTCGATAATATTAGCAAGGCAAATTTGTAAGTACATTCTGTTTCGTAAAAGAAGAGAAAAGATGTATTATAGAGCCGGTGTTGAATTACCAACGACGAAACTGGCAATTTGAAAAGCACTAGTTAAATTGTTTTTGCTTTACTGACATCACCATGATCGGATGCAACAAAAATCCACTGGTTTTCTCGAACCTACTTTTCTCGAACAATAGCCGGTCTATTTTCATTCGTCTGTTCTCACTTTCGAAAGCAAAACGGCGCGTAATCCGCGCGCAACAGAGCTCAAAAACGACGAGAAACGACGATTACAATAGCGACAAGAATGACTGGTCACGTTTTTGAAAGTTCACGTATACGCGGAATTCGTGTGGAATTTTCTCTTTGCCTCGTCTAGGGAAATATTTCGTTACGTCAGTGAATCGACGAAACTCCGAGGTGTGTGGCAACTCCAGGCGCAATTGCGCGTCGAAATTTTGCCATCGAGGCGAAAGATATGTAATTACACCCGGGAGAGTCGAAGGAAAAAAAAAAAAAAATGTCCGAAGTGTTTCGAGCGACGAGATCGACACAGACCTTGTCCGTCTTGTTTTCCTTTTCTTCTTTATTATTATTATTATTATTATTATCATCATCATCATATGATACGCTGTTGATGACGAAACACGGGCCGCGAAATCGGTATTCCTCGGCCGGACGCGCTGTAATTTTCATCCTCCGTGCCCCGAATCGGCTAGCTCTCCTCTCTATCGACCTAATGTAAGTCGATGATGTCCCCGCGCAGATGGTATCCTGTACTTTCACTCCGTATCCCGTTACACGCCGGCCAATCTCCCGATTGCGATTCGCGAAAACACCGCGAAGAGCGTAACTGAACTACTATAGTGACTCATTGTCAGTGACCGCAGGTTTTGTACGCGAGTTCTTTCTCATTATCGCAAATGCCAATACATTGTGCACATCTGTCTGTAATTATTTTCACTGGATTTACATTTCTACTTCGTTTCATCTCACTTCATTTTATTTTTTTGTATATTTTTACTTTGTATCATCTCTGTTCTATTTTGTTTTTGTCAATAACGGAGCTTCGAGAGGAAATCCCTACGTCTTGATATTTTTCCATCGTCGTGAAAAATTCGGATTCTATAATTTTTACAATATTTAAAGAAATCGAAGTATTTATGATATAATCCTAAAGCGTCGACATGCTTTATCACAATTTCAAGGTCAATATCTTTGATTTAAATGGAATTATAACATTCGACGCGATAACTAACAAATTGATGTTTGACACTGTCGATCGATTTTTCAACGAATTAATTTCCTTTAAAATGTTTACACGAGGGTCAAAGATTTTATTAATCGTAAACATCAATCGATCGATTAATGCCCAACATTGCTAGAGACAATGTCTGGGTATTATAGTATTATAATATACTATAATATAAAGTCGTCATGGTACGTGTTGAAAGTATTGTCGAGTGTTTATGATTCGGTGGGATCGTGTTCACAGTCGAACGAGACTGTGGTAGGTATAATTGCTTTTTCGACAGAGTGTGTTCGAGTATTGCGTCAATTACGATTGAAGAAGCCAATGCCTATGGTGTTTGGTAAGCGTGCCCCTCGCGTGTCGCAATTGCACGAGCATACTACTGCGACTGCACGACCCACTGGCTGCATCTATCGTATCTGACCGGTTTTCTCACTTGGCCGACGGCAACAGTCCCAAACGGAGAGAATACCGTGCACAGGAATGCCTCTCACTCGAGTTGTTCACGCCGCGAAGGGGAGAGAATTGTTTTTCGTTCGAGTTCGAAACGATCGGATACGAATCTGTATCCGACTTTGCGAAATCCGCCCGTATTTGGCTCGCATGCGGTGAAAAGCGAAAAGACGTTTGTACCACGAAACACGCGCATAACGTGAACTGAAAATACCGGTTCCGTATACATCGTAGCTTGATCACTGTAGCTTCATCAGAGTCTGAGATTCTTTCTCCAAGGATGAAGAAACTTTGTTATAATCGGATGATACGTGAGATAGATAATAAAGATAGAGACTTAAAGATTTGACGTACCCAAAAGTGGCTCAACACGTTCACCTCCATTGTTTGGATAATGAGTTTGTCTGGCGTGTTCAGAAATTTGTAGCTAGATCCTATGCCCGCGTTGTTTATCAAAATGGTTACCTGTAAGAGTCATACGTGTGAGTAATTATTGATCTCTTGATCAGGATTAGGTTGAAAAATTGAGGAAAGGATTTTTCTCCGATACGTTTGAATTTCTAATGTATGCGGAATAGTTGACTTTACACTTAACATTAATTATTAAATGAAACTTTAGGGAAAATTTCATTTCTATTTATTTTCTAAGATTTCTAATTTCAGCTGAAAATTTACCGAGAAAGGTATATTATTATAGATTCACAGACCTGGTTTTGAAAATTTTTATAATTACGAATTTAAAATTAACAAAATTGATATCAAATTATCTAACAAGTTACGTTTAAAGCAATGAAACGTTTGTAATGAGAGTTTTACAAAATTAGGATGGAATAGTCAATGTGAGAAATAAAGAATTACAAAAGAATATTTTATATGCGAAAATCATCGACCACAATTTCTACGCGACGACCTAACATCATCAAATGAACTTTGTTCTCAGATGGGAATCGATTTTAATTTCATAATTGTTATTCAAATTATTATTATATCGAAAAGATTGCAGAATCTTCAAGTTAATTCGTTTTCCATGTTTTAACAGTGTCTGTCCACTCAGCTCAATATACATCTACACAACTTTTTAAAATGTTAGTTATGTAGTGTATAATAGTTAACGCTTATTAATATTCTATGTAGTCAGTGTTCTTAAAGGTCATTCACAAACTCTTCGAATGTGTTTTCAGATTGAATAATATGTTGTTATTGATTTTCAATTATTTAATTGATTGCGCAATCATCTTACATTTCCAACCTCTTTCCTGACTTGCGCCGCTTTCCTGTAAATATCCTCCCGATTGCATAGATCGCAAACGTAACCATAACAGATACCACCTGAGGATTTCACCAGTTTGACAGTTTCCTCGATACCTGAAACAGAAGGAACTTCACGTTCACAAATCACAAAATGGGCAAGGGTAAATTTTTCTGAAAAGGCTGATTTCCTTCGTAATCATTTAATGAGGCTATACTGAGTGAAGTGCAAATCACTTTGTATAAATTCTTTCCTCTTATCATTAATATTAAAATATATAAAAAGTAGAAAAAAATCGTAGCAAGATTTCTGTATAGTATCGTGATCTTTTGCTCTAATCTATTCCCGATTTCCAGTAAGAAACAAACATCGTTATTTTCTCAGAATTTATTTATAAGTGATGCTTATAAAATGCTTTTCTTCTTGAATTCTGCAGAACAAATATACGTGTTTCCCTGATCAATTATACAACAATTCATTGTAATATATCTCGACTCGACCCAATATATCTCAACTCATTGTAACTGTATTACAATGCGATATATCTCGGTTATTAACAATAATGCGAAAAGAATGGTAAAGAGATAAAATATTTGGATCTGTACGTACATACATTATGACCAATGATTGTATGAATCTTTCGAGATTTTCCTACTCTTTCTTACTTTTTTTTAAAATGGTACCTTATACTTTTTGTTTATAATTATAAAATACAAAGAAACAAATTCATCGACGTCATTAACTATGTCGATCATTTAATTTGGAATTACTTCAATTGACATCTTTCGAAACTGAACTGATCACGTGCATTTCGTATGCTTCTGGTATGCATGCTGTTTTTGTTGTTACTAAAAATAGTCGTCAAATGCATGTAGTCGTAAATAAAAATAGTCGTTAAATGCATGTTATGGAAGCATCTCGATAATTTCAGTACTAGTATCTTTCGCAGACGCCTCTCGTTGCACTACTATTCTGACACATGTTGCGCAATTCGATGATTAACACGATACATTTTGTTATGAAAGATTCGTTTATCAATTTGTCAGAATAAGACCATATTACTGTTGTATATCAAAACTACTAATTTACATACGCCACGTTTTCAACATTTTTAATGATAACAAATGTAAACATGTTTGTGTTGGATACAATCTTTGGCAGTGAAAAAGTATTTATAATTCACATCTAGTTTTCTTTCAATATGATTCTCAGTTCTCCATATGATATTCGAATGAAATAGCAGATTTATTACATAAAAAAATAATTAATAGATTGTGGATTTTTATGCAAATATATAATTATATAAATGTATAATATTTATATATATATATATATATATACATTTATTTATTTATGTATAAAAAGAATTATATTTATGTATAACATATTTATATATATGTATATATACATATTATTACTTGTGTGCCAAGTATTGTAGAAACATTTGTAGAAACATTTTGAATATCGTAGATATATACGTTTTCATATTACACGCAATTTTCTTTTTCTTTTTTTTTTGCTTTTTAATTTCCTACAAATCGGTGCATAAAATTTCGCGACCCAATCATAAACTTCGGCAGGTGTTCCAGCATCTTATGATTGCCCCGGCGTAATTTAACTTTCGTTCGACGAGCCTAAAGAATCTGGATATAATAATGGACTGTTTAATCGAAAGAGCAGCTTTTCGCGGGTAGAAAGTCGAAACGCGTGGAGAGGCGGTTTGTTTCGCTTCTTGATTAAGTGGTACGCGTGCTCGGTGCTCACGTAGAATATGAAAAATATAATTGCAATACAAGGAATATCCTGTTTCTAGCGATGTTGCATATCTCGCTGATTCTTCTGTTCTCTCGGTGGAGGTTTACTAAAGGCTATGGACGTTCGATGGGATCACGAATCATTTGTCATCGTCAAACACACTACAAAGATTCAAAGAGATTTTCAAGTGTCTCTGATTCCTGTCACCGAAGTCTACAAGACTTGTGAGGCTTGACCAAGACTCAAGACCAAACAAGACTTTCAAGATTCAAGACCAATCAAGACATTCAACAGTTCGAACAATCGATATAGTATTTATGGAAACAGATTTTGTTTTCACAAAGATATTGCAAGGAAACTAGGTACTTGCTAATGCTTCTTTGTAAATTTTAGGAAGACAACTAGAGCAACAACTTGTTTTATCACGTATTACTGCTAATTTTCACAGACAAATATGCGTCAAAATCTTTGTACATTGTACGTTGTTTTTGAAAAATACAGAAATCCACGAGTGTTCTATCGTTTTATATCAGACTGTACCAGCCCGAGAAACCGGTCAGCACTCAGGTTGTTCGCGGACAGAGATCACGTTCGGTCGAATCAGAGGCTCGCTGGAATTGCCAAATCGCGGGATCTATTGGGGAAAAGTGAGCATGTGGAAATCGTGAACGGGCAAACGAAATCAAAACGACACGGTCAACAGAATCTACATACATATATGGACGTATACCATGTACTGATTACTCGAAGTTCCATATTTTTTTCTTTCCTCCCAATTGATCAACCAGTTCACCGAGACCTTGGACGTTACGTTGCAACGCTTCTTTTTCTTTTTATTTCTGGTGGATTTATTCGACTATTTTTCTTTATTCGCATTACGTCTCAAGGACTTGTATATATATTTTAGAAAACGGTGTTAAAAGGAAACACCTTCTTTTACTTCATTTTTTTACTCTATAAATTTGCATTATTACGTTGCTATTTTATTTTTTTATTAATTTACGTCAATTTATATTTCATATTTGTTCATTCCGTTTATATCGATAATGTTATTATTTTACTATTTATAAATTTGTGTAGAGTGTCATTTTTTTTTTTTTCGAGAAAGGATTTTAGGAAATTATACGTATAAAATCCAACTTTTAATTACGTATTACGAAAATGGACTTTAATCTCTTGCCTAACGATTTTCTTCTCAGTCTTCAACAAACATTACAATACGTTTTTACAATACGTAGTTACAATACGTCGTGTCAGATATAACAAAACATTGAAAGCGTTATGTTACACAGAACTGAAATTTGCTTTTTCTTTTAAAACGAAATCATAATTCTTGCCACAAGTGTAGTTCAATATTACAGCTCAAAGGTTTTAGCAATTTATCAATGCATTCTGTTTCGCTTCTATTAAAGTAGAATACTGTGGAGACGTGTATATGTGGAAAACTCTGGAGAGGATTCAACAAATATACATAGTGGTCGATTCTATTTACAGTTAGTTAGGAATGTTCGTACATGTACATACATATGTCTGTCATATTTCAAATATTTAAAGAAAACCAAGGTTTGATATATTAATATTAGTATCAATATTTATTTATTAATATTAATATACTTATTAATAAATAATGTACTTAATATTAATATATTAATATTTATTAGTATTAGCATTTATTTATTAGTTATTTTGTACTACTGCGGATTTTTGTACAATGTCATAGTTTATGAACAATTGAAGGAATTAATTTAAAAGTAACTAGAGATTTCTTTCTGCTAATAAATACCATACAAAGTATCTACTCTGTTTTTGTTTTTATACATATATTTTTATATATTGTATACATATTTTTTAAATTTCCTACAAATGCATGCTTCCGATTCATTTATATATGTATTCTCAAAAGCAATATTTTAGAAATTTTTAACTGAAAAAATTAATTACAAAATCCGTAATATCGAAACTTTTTTAAATACTCGGAATTTGACAAATACAGACTTTTGTCACTGACTATACGCAATCAGTCATTATAATACGAGTTTTTCTGCTTGAACACCTATCGAACGTTTCACATAATGATAGTACCACATATATAATTATACTTAATTGCGGCAAAGACACTGGCATGATGTACGCATTTATTTTCGAGGAAATAGAGATTGAAAATTTATCAAGTTCGCCTGAATTCATTTAGTATAAATTTAAACTAGGGGGGAGGAATCGTTTCACGCGCAAAAATAAATAAAATACTTGAAAATTGTGTATATAAATGCATAAAAATCCGTAATAATTGAACAACGAATGAATTCTTCATTATCAGAAAAATAGACGAGGGAGACAAAACCGATGGCTTTCCATGATTTTTATATTCCAACCGGGATGAAGCAAGGACGCGACGTGACATTTGATAATTAAATGCACCGTGTTTGGCCCCAACGATTCGCGTTGAAAGTCTAAACACGTTTCGAACGGTCTTGAAATATGTAAGTTCATCAAGGGATAAGCAAAATTCGTACAATGACTCTAATTGTCTCATCGGTATCGACAGAGAATGTCCTTCGTATTCTAGTCAAGAGTCAAGCGCCTTCATGGCTAATTTGATCGTGAATCGAATGTCGTTGATTTTAATTTCCGTGGCTTCCGCTTTATTCCCTAATTTTTGTTACGATAAAAACCAATCGTTTCAATCCCAATGGGACATATATACTGTCATGCATAAGTACTTGAATAATTCTAAGTTATTACAAACACACAAACATTCTAAAATTAATCATCATTTACATAAGTTTTGTTATAACTTTGTAATAATGTATTTACGACTCTATAACATTTTTTCCTAGTTTTCCTTACTTTTAATTAATATAATAGATAATAATTTAATAATTAATAGAAGCAATAATCGAACATGACAGATTAATTTTTCCGAGATAATCTTAATTGATACACTTGAAGTACATCTGTTTAATATGGAAATTAGAAGCAATACGTGTTTTTAATTACAGTAAAAAAAAATTTATGTTGCGGAAGTTTGTGCAGGGAAAATTTCATTTGAAATAATAAGTTGATTGATTGATCGTAGCCGAGAATTAATATTCTGCGCTTATGGGCCTCGAATAATACGTTATCAAGAATCCACGATATGTTAAAATTGCGGCAGACACTGCCGCGTGCAGATCTGACCTCGACGTATAAGGAGCGTTGAGCAGATCGGTGGCTTGTTGTCTTTCAACGTTAATGAAAGTTAGCTGGTTCAAGGGAGAGTTGTTTTGGGGTTGGATTGGTATGACTGAGGAATATAGAGAGAGCTTGAATTCGTAAAATGATAAGATTTGAGTGAGTTTGATAGTCGAATCGTGAATTGTCGTACGTTTATTAAAGAACATTAATTGTCTATTTTCCTTGTGCGTTGGTCTTATATAGCTGTGGATTATATGGTTACGGGATTAGGGAGGTGCTAATTGCTTTCAGATGTGAGCGAGGTTGATCCCAGAAAGTAGTATTTGCACTTTCTAATGGTCCCAGGATGTGTCCCTCGCAATATATTTTGGATTTATGGATGTCTTACAAAAGTTGCAATAAAGACATTTACCGACCCTTAGAATTAAGAGTTGGGCATGATTACAACAATGAAATAAAAGTAAGGGAAAACCATGAAGTACGGTCAAGGGAGATCCCTGCCGTCAAGAAAATTAGAAATTAGAAAATTGCTTTGCCTGGCTCGATGAGTTTGTTCTTGGCGGTACGAATTTCATCCCCATTGTGTTCAGTAAGGCCTAACAGACACTGAAGAACCGGCTGTCGCTTTAAATTATAGTCTTGCACTGGAAGGCGATAGCTAGTTGAGAACTGTGTCTTAAACGCATTAGTGTAGTTAGATAGTTCTCTTATGCCTCTGTCTATTTTTAGGAGTGTTGCACAATTTGTCTCATCACTAGCTGAGAACCATATGTATATATGTATCTCTTCAATTTGAAATTTCAACAGTAAATTCTGTTTTCTTGATAACTATTCTTAATTAAATCAACCTTGAAACTCACTAAAACCTGAATGAGAATGTTTCAACTAGTTTCAACTCGGCAGTTGTTTTTGTATTTTTATATTGTCGCTTTTAGTTTTATTTTTTCTGCGTAATTCTTAGGTGTCAATGAATCGACACACTTTTTTAATGTATTAATCGACATTTTTAATTAATATAAAAAAATTAACGATTTAGGAGGCACTTTAACTTCATAACTTTTTCAACCTTTAACTTTCAACAATAGTATCGTTCTTGTCTATCACACGATAGAATTATTTTTGTTTAGAATGTATATGAACGAAAATAGGGCGAGCTCGGCTAAAGCCATATACGCGACCGCGTTAAAAATGCCTGTGTATACTCAATTGATAACGAATATCATCAGTATGTTAGAAAAATTCACAGACGTCTTTTAAGAAAAAGCGACGTCTTTCAATTCATTATTAAAAGAAGGATTTATCACGTTACTTTTAATGACATCAAATTTATATAAGTCTTTTTTTATTTCGAACAATTATGCTCGAAGAAACATGATCTACCAGAGAATATTTCTTCTTTTTGGTTCTTTGATTATTAAAAACTTTAATTAAGTTTCATTCAATGTTATAAACCCTTAGTGCTATAACTTAAGCTTCATCTGAGGTATTGATCTACTAATTAAATTTATTAATCTCGGGATAGAGACAGGTGCTTACCGGCCTTATTAACGTCCCAGACGACAACGATTACGCCTAGCTTGGCTAGCCTGAGGGCGATGAGCCTTCCCAACACGCCACCACCTCCAGTGACCAAGGCAATGTTCCCAGCGATATTCTTCGCCTTGTACTTTTCCGGGATCAGTGCTCTGATGGTATTCTTGATGATGAATCCAACCGTGAGGATTAGGAAACCGATCACGTTTATGGTATCTTCGAGGAAAGACATAATTAAGTCGCGTCTTTCTTCGTCGAATCTTTAAATCGTTGCTCGACTCCTCTGCGATTCGAAGAGCTCGAAGCGGCACGAAGAGTGTTATTTATTAGGGCTTCCCGGTGAAAGAGCGTTGCTGTGACTACGACGAAAAACTGAACGATGTCGGTGTGAATCGACGTCTGGTGCTTTGGATCTGAAAAAGACAAGTATACATTATTAATGAACATAACATAAAATAAATACATCAATATTATGAAATAGGTAGATTGATAAGACACAACGATTTTATTACATGTTGTATTATATTATATTGATAAGATAGGCTCTGATTAACGGAGAAACGAAAGACAAATATCAGGATGTTTGCAAATTCATCTTGTCTGGCTCATAGTTGACTATGTAAGTACTTCAGTGGTACAAAAACTAGTTTACGCTTTCACCGAAATTTCGTATTACTTTCTTTTTGCTCTCCCGGTAGGGAAGAGAACGTCCAAAGAGGCGAGAAGAACCGCGCGAAGATTTGGAACCGCTATTCGAACCCTGTTCACTTTCCTCTTACAACTTCTATTACAACTTCTACCTACGCAATTCACGATTTTTCCGGTAGTTGATGTTACGACGAATCACGAATATCGCTTTCTAATGAGACGCGAAATTCACTTTCGATTTTTTCAGCCGTGTATTCCACTCACGGAAAGCTCGTAATTTTTTCGGTTACTTTCAGTTACCGAAACCAACGTGAATAAAATGAATTTTCGCGTGCACAACGAGTGAAAACGAAGATCACAAACGGTATTGTATTTTAAATCAATGAGAAACGAGCGGACTAGCGACAGTAAGTTTAAGTCACTTCTTAGAATTGATAAGAGAAAAATAATATAACATACATCTGTACGTGATGAACTGAATACAATGTGCACGATATAATTTTTTTTTTAAACTATGAATCGATACGTTGTATCGTTAATACAACATTTGATTAATTAATATTTATTAATTCTTAGTAGACATCATTTTTATGCAATCTTTGAAATTACAAACTTTATACACTTCGTACGTGATAAAGTGCTAGAAAAATGTAAAATAAGAATTGATCTTTGATAAATATAATTTATCGTGCAGAATAATATTTTTAAATTATAAATTGTAAACGTGTTATTATTAATATATTGTTAATTTATTAATTACTATTTATTATTAACGTTTATCATCAATTAATTAATATTTATTAGTTATTGGTCAATTTATCATATTTTTCTATAATCTTCAAAAATTTACAGGGTGAACCACGTGACTGAATATCTCCGTTGTTTTTGAAGATATGAAGAAACTTTGTTAACAAAAATTGTTCAGTACAGAGAAGATCATAATACGGCAGTAATAATGTTTTTTATAGCTGGAGGAATCTCGGAGATCTCAAGGTCACTCTTACTTTCCTAAATGGAATCCTACATCTTTTTATAGACCAATCGGTACAGTTTTTTTATCCTCTATAAAAGGATACTGAGCTATTTCTGTCAATAATTGATAGGACGAGAGATATTTCAATTTTTGAACTAATAGTTTCTCGAGATGTATAAATTTTCATTGATAAAATTTTCATAAAAGATGTCGAACTGCATCGATTAATGGGGCAAAAATTATATTATTCCATCTAAGAAAGTGAAGGTGATCTTGAAATAACTTTGAATCCCTCCATTTTATGTGAAGTTTATGTGAATTACATGAAATTAGATAATAACCGCTTGACTTATATTAAACGAAGCTGACAATGTTCTAATTAATAAAAAACCGTGATTTAAATTACTAGCGAATTTCTATATCAGAACAGGCTGTTAACGAGATACGTATAATAATAATCGTGAGCATGAAGTTCGTTTCTTTACGTCGATCTTATTTGCTTCAATAATTTATTCGATCTAATTTTCGATGCAATTAACGACTCATTAAAATTCTTTAATTAATTGAACTTTTAATGAATTTATACTAAACAAATATGTTCATTGTGGATGTACGTATGTACGTACGTTCTCTTCAGATAAAAATAATAAAGAGGTAACAACAAAATTTACTTTCACTCGATCGAAAATGAGCGTAAACAAGCAATGCACGATACGACCGTGATGATCGAAACTCGACTCCAAAAAATCGAAGGGACACACTTTCAGAACTGTTCGTTCGCTTCGCGTGAAATTATCGAGCATCGAGCATTTGGTGCATGAATTCGATTTGCGGATGTTGTAGGTCTTCGTTATCGTTTGAATAGTTATATAAAATTCATTCAATACCAAGAAATTCCTTGCAACACATATAGACGAAAGAGTTTAAAAGGCAAATAGCAGCAGATAATCCAGTTGAAAACTATTTATAAAAACAGATTACTGTAGATGTCAAATCAAGCTTTCCAGGAAGTAGAAAAATATTAGTCTAAAAATAAAAGTCATATTTACGTCATATTTAGCACATATCGATAACTACTTACAAAGAAAAATTCCACTTACAATATTCATACACTATTCCTGGCACATAGAACGTTTTTGAAAAAAAAAAAAAGAAAAAGAAAAATGAAATTCCCCAATTTTACAATGTTTTGTACAAATATTCTTTGACTGTATAAAATGAAATTGTTATTATAAATATATTTGAGATATGAGGGTGTCCGGGGGTTTCAATCTATAAATGTGAATTGGCGGTAAACTATCGCGGTTGTGAAAAAAAGTGGTTCAGATAGAAAGTGAATGAGTTTGAGGGGGTCATAATCTGGTGTAATTTATTTTTTCATCGACGGACACGTAAAAATTATATAAAGTAGAATTGTATAATTTTTTGGATTTATATATACATGAAATTGTTAATTTTATTTTTTAGATGTTTAAAATTATTAAAAGTCTCTAAAAGTTTTATATTGATTGAAGAGCATATTAGGAATGCACTGTCGTGAAATTTATAGCTTTTGATAATGTATTCAATATCTTCAATCATATGTTGGCGTCCAATAGGCAAACCAATTATTTCATTTTTGATTATAAGAGTATCTGTACAATATTTTAACACGAACTAAGTGTAATTAATTTGCTTAGTAAGTCAATTTTTGTAAAATTTACTCATAACTATAATCTGATTTAAGATAAGTATTCCATTGTACTTGGGCATTTATTATGCTCTGATACTGAAAACAAAGAAAGACAAGGGGTAATATTCTTGCGTTCATAGTCTTCATTCTTTTTCTTACTGTTTAGCGATTTTTCGACATGAATAAGTTAATGCAAATCGATTAGGAAACGAATCGATCAGCGCGTTAGAGATCACATGATTCTATTTCGAAAATCGTACATAACTCATACAATCTCTACGCGTTCACTTCTTAGAAAAACTAATTTACACCAGACTCCTTTAAAATCGCTTCCTATCTAAACCATTTCTTCATAAAACGGCTGGTTTACCGCCAACTCGCATCTGTAGATTAAAAAATCGACACACCCTGTAGAACAGATGACTGTTGCTAATGGTTTAGTGGTAAGAGTCTAACAATACGATATATAATGCAACGTAACGTGGACAAATGCCAATTTCAAACTTTCTTTTGTCACTGTACAATCTTAACGAAGGACACAGAATGAAAAACGGAGTATCCCAGACGAGAATCCTCTTGTATGTACAATTTACAAAGTAGACACGATCGGTGAGATCGGAATGAAAAAAAAAAAAAAAAAAAAAAAACGATCTTACACTATCTTACACTCGTGCGAGCCTGTTCCGGCGTTCCCGTTGCAGAATGACTCGCGTTCCTAAACGAAAATAGGCGGGATACGGATGGAAGGAGCCAGCGAGGTGCACGAAACTGCGTACTTATGCGAAAGTCACCCACGGAACGAAAGACACTCGTCTCACCGGCACTACGGTCGTCGCTGTACTGAATAAAACGGCGGCTCCGGTACGCCTTTACCCTCTCGACGATCTCCAACAACGGACTACGCGCATCAGCCGAGGCACATAAGCAACAAGCATTAATATGAGCGAGGTAATTGCACGTACATCAATCAATTATCCCTTGTGTATTATTCTTCTTCCCTTTGATCGTAAGTTGGATTAAACATCGCCGATTTTAAAAAGATTTTTTTTTAACACAACTGATGTTTCTTTTCTTCTTTATAGAATTGTGACATAATTTTGGGATGATTAAACTGTCGTTTGTTGTCGTATCGAGTGAACTGATAGAGTGCTCAGTTTATTACATAGACAGTATGTATGGTGTATTGTTAGGAACGCGCATGAATATTCAGGAGAGAGATAAAATATTAAGAAAGGAGCATTCTATTGCTTTATTGAAAGTATTTCATTTAATTAGATATATAGGTTACTAGAATACTTTATTTAAAATATTCTATTTTATATTTTATTGTTGAAAGTAGTCTATTTCTTCGTTCAAAAACTAGTTAAATTATATATACATATGTATATATAAATTACTAGGCACGAACATAAAATGTAGTAGAAGGAAAAATTAAGTAGAGTCGATCTTAGTTGTAAATGAAACTACTTGTATTGGTTACTTTAAAACCTTTTTATATGAATGTACTTTTCATATTGCACGTTGTTATTAATTGATAAATAAGATACATAAAGGTGCATAACTTGTTACTCCACTTTTTGCTGTCCTTCTATCGTGAAAACTCGTTAGCCTTGCTCGAATTACTCTCTTTACCATAGAAACTAAAAGAAACGCTAAAAGCTAAAAGTACGTAAGCTATCACGCAACAGGCATAAAATTTTCGTTTGAGAAACTTATGTTCATAACGGAATATAAATTATTTTATTAAAATATAAAACAATTTATAGATATTACTGCCATTGCCATATATCTAAAAGAAAATAATTCATAAAAGTTACAACCATTGAACTACTACTTACTGTTCAGATACGGATAATATATATAATTATTGATAATAAATAATTTACATAAAATGTAGGCCACATGTGTGACAAATGACATTTGAAAAAAATTAAAAATAACTTTTGCGAAGTCCATAACATTTGTTGTTCGATTTCGTTATTGCTAGTTTGTAAAAATATCAAAGTAACAATTTGTTGTTTCAAGAATATTCAGTTTGTATCCAAGAAACGAAACCAATCGAGAAAAAGTGCCGAGTGTAATTGAACAGTGCGTATGCTAACAATAGTGAAGGATTTTATTTATATGGCTATGTAGTGTTAGTAGTAAAAATATTATTCTCTTACGAGAATTATTTTTTGTTTGCCGGCAATATTTTTATTTCATTCTCCTTGATATCGAATAGAATTTCAACTTATCAGTTGACCATTGATGTTTCATTTCGTGTAAACATATGATATAAAATGTAATACGCGTTTTAACAAAAGAGATTAATCACCGTGGCCGAATAAACAGGTTTGTTTTCAATTTTTATTTCGTACGATAAAACCGACTTGTTTAAAAATTTCGTCAAAAATTGCAAGACATTGCGGGCAACTTGAAGTTGAAAAGCTCAAATAGACAGCTGCCTAGTTATTTTGTATTAAAATATCGACGAAATGGAAAGTTACATTCCATCGTATAACCGTTGAACTTGAAACACGAGAAATCTTTCTCCTGGTGACTTAGCAAAGCTACAGGCTGCTTCAGGAAACTCAGTCGCGGCTTTCCAGAGCAGCAGCAACAAGTGAAAGTGACCGGTTTCTGGTAATTCAACAGTTCCCGACTGAGCATTCCGTATTAAATCTTAATTAGTTGCTAACGATGTTGATCGTATGATGAATTTTCGTGACGTTTAAGTAAAAAAATCGTTAGTGCCGAGTTCTCGTAACAATCATTCCAAGAAAAACGAACACCGTCATGTTAATGATCCTGCCATGTTATTCCCATTTTCATTATCTGACATTATTTTGAACACGTTAATTTGAAAATCAGCCAATTAGCTTCCTGATTGTTATCTCGTCTGTTTGAACTCCTTGAAACATTTGACTGAATGATACGAATCAGTCAAAGCAAACCACAAATCTATTTTTCAATCAAATTGTCTTATAATTGTTTTTTTTAAATTCTATGCATGATAAATTATGCGTATTTTGTTGTTTCTTTAAGCAAAGAAACGTTCGTTATAGAAAACAAAAATAATAAATAAACTGTGGACCTTTATGCATTAGTAGGAAATTTTAAAATGAAAAATTTCAGACGATGCATGTAATGAATAAACATGTATCTTTTACAATACTTGGTACATAAAACAATTTCCTCTATCAAGGGAATATTTCATTTTACAATTCTGATAATGAATTTTACTTTGTAATTTTGTCAAGTAAAGAAACGATTATAGAAAATAAGGATATGATAAAAAATTTATCATTCAATTTATTCTGTACTTTTGTACAAATAAATAAATAGTTGAATTAAAGCGTCACAATTTAATTTTCAATATGTTTTTTTTTGTCCTTATTTTATAAGCTCTATTCTTTAAGTTTTCACACTTTAAGTAAAGAAAAAGGCACTTTGTGCTGTAATTTTCTACAAAAAGAGAATGGTGGGTAGTGAAATCGTCAGTCAGAGTTCAAGGTACATAATATTTAAGTATGCTGATAACCATCGTTTAAGCTGTTTTAGGTAATTATTAAATATGCAAACGCAAGGACATACAAATATTATTTTAGAATCACTTTTATCTATGTACAGTTTTATATACGTTCAATTTTACAGATTATAAAAACAGATTCTTCCATTTACATAAACATCACATGTATTTTCAATTCAAAAATTGAAATGACCCCAAAAGAAGTTAATTTTTTTCCTAGCTCGGCGATTACGAAATTTTTATTGTGTGCGTAAGTTTAAAAAATAAACGGTGTAGAAGACGAAATTAATTATTTGTATATTTTATTACCTAGTCTGTGTCGGTACATTTGAGATAGAGATACCTCACCAATAGATGGCATTTCTGTGTTGAAATAATCGATAGATTTAATTTGCAATGAAGTTTAAATTTTACGAATTACAACTATAATTAATTACCAAAATATCTTTCCAAAAAATATTAAAAATATTATTTCTCTTTCTTTTTTTTTTTTACAAGTTGTCTCAATGTCATATTTCGTGCTGTGAAACGCAGCCGACAAGATCAGGAGGCATTCATGATTTCATCGTACGTGCGTCGATCCCTGAACGGAGTAAACGATAAAAGAAAAGTTAGTATGTCCTGTGCCTGCTTCAAAGGACGCAATAAAAATGTATAATAGCTCATAGTACTGTGTTATTTATTCATTAATCCATGTACGGTTCATAACGAAGATCAACAGGTTGCATGGATAATGAAGCGTCGACTTGTCATTGTTTCACGCTTACTTGTCTGTAATACATGATTCACCCCTTATTACGATCGAACGAGGCGAAGGTCTTCTGATAAAAATTTCTATTCAAAGAACAAAATTTTAACAACCGAACGAAATGACAATAGCGATGAACGTGACGCGCGTTAAAAATGATAACTAGACTGCGGGTTTTATGCAAATTGATAATATAAAATTTGAATATGTCCTACACGAAACCACGATGCAACGTGACCGATCAATTAACAATTCCATTTACAATTGGCCAGGAAAGTATTGGCACACCTTGCTTTTTGGATACTTCTGATATCTTTATGGAAACAAGTGGATCCATAAATGGTTCGCTACATACAATCAATCTAATCTGCATTTGATGGAGGGATTAATATTAGAGAAAGAGATTAATATTAGAGAAAATACAAAATATCCTTTTGTAGTGTTATCACTGGAATGTTATCGCAATGATCTCGCCTTCATTAGGAAAGGACGCTCGTCTTTAAACCATTAAAAATATGTATTTCATATTCTGTTCAAATGCATGATATGGTTGCAAGGAAAATCCCTCATGTGTCAATATCTTTTTAATCTCTTAATATATTCTATAAAATCTTGTTGTCAACTTGCAGTGTTTTTGCATATCATAAGAAAAACACACGTCAAAAGCAATTCAGAAAAAGACATTTATTATGATTGAATGATATTCGAATGATAGAATGCTCAGCTATTAAAATATTCCAGACATCAGAAGATATAAAAATATTCCAGATGTCGGAAGCTCCGCCAAATATAATTTTGTCTCTTTTTTTTTTTGCTCTATAGATACACACTAAACAATAGTTATTGGTGTAATGACAACGTTTCCATTTCTCTCTACTTTTCTCGCCTTTTGTAGGAAAGGAGTACTACTGACCTAAATCTTGAATGTCATCCTTTCACCTGGTATTCGATAAGTTCTACCATCTTCGTACGGTTATGGCTGCGAAATTCATTCGCGCAAATTGAATTCTCCTTGTAATTCGAATTACAATCACGTGTACATATACTCAAATTATCCTCGAGAACACGCATACGTGTGTGGTCGAAGAACGAAATAAATTTCCATTTTCAACAATAGATTGTGCAAGCTGAAATATTATCTGTATTGCAAGCACGTAATTCGAAGATTCGCTTAGATCTTGTAAGTTTCCTATCCGAAGAGAAATAACACAATCCGATGGATTGCAAATAAATGACCATGAACATTATCTTTCTGCTACTTCAGCACGAGAAAAAAGCATGGAAAACATTAAAGAAGAGTTAAAATGATCTGTCTACCATTTTTTTCAATTTCTAGAATATGAGATGTTTGGAATTCTTCACGTTTTTTTACCCATATATAACTATTTTCCTTGGATCTTCTTTTTTCTAATAGAATTACTAAAGTTTCGATTTAGACTTAATCCTTTAATGTCTTTGGATCTTCTTATTTCCAGTAGAATCACTACATTTTAAATCTTAAAATCAATTGCAACACTAGCAAGAAACATAGTATTACAATTGAATTAAAACTATGCGACAGTCAGCAAATTCCTTGCCTTATGTTCATCGATCCTCTTCCCATGCTCTTCGCGCTTCATATACAGCCAATCCACTTATGTCAATCGTGTTTTAGCAGGGCATAAAATGATAGAACAGGCAAAAAGACTTCAAGGAAGGGAGAGAAACTTTCACCATAAAACGAGTGCAGGTTTTTTTCTACGGTATTAGGAATCTATATTCATGCTGTGGGATATCATACTATAGTAAATCCAGTAGTGTATGGGAAGTGGGTTCTTCTGGCGCTATCATCTTCATCTTCAACTTTAATTTCAATGTTTAGTTCAATTATTTATTGTTTCCTTTACTATCATCACATTTCACACATATTTTCCAACTATTATTTTATTATAGTTTATTAACTTTACTATTTTAAAGACCAATATTGTGGTAATTTATTTGCGATTCTTCACGACTAATTTATATTATCAAATTCTATTTTTAACATTGTGGTTAAAAAAATTCCAAGAATTTGGTTAATATATTTTCATCATTGCGTCACTTAGATTCTATAATTCTATGAAATTTAAAGAAATTGAAGTATTTATGATATTGTGATAAATTATTGCTTGATTCGTAATCGATTAAGAAATGCATAAGAAAAAGAAAAAATTCAAAAAGTGTTTTTTTTTTTTTTTTAATATAAAACTATGAATCAGTAATGAAATCAGTAATTTAGATACAATGGTACGATACGAGGACAGTGCAATGTAGGTGGGGAATAAAGAAACACTCTTACAATACCTTCCAAGAGGGTTTCTGACTACGCGACTGTGCACTGAGTTTAAAGTCACGCGAACCATCGCGGGTCTTGCAATTCGGGCGCACTGAGAGGTACGTAGTCACTCAACACTAGCCGATCAATTGACACAAAGAAGGATACATAGAGCAAAATATCATTTTTTAAATCTCGATCGTTCCTCGAACTTGCGACGAGCAGCAACCTCAGGAAGCTTAATCAAAAAGCAAAGAGGTAACATCCGTTTCAAAAGTCAGTTTCGCGCGTTATTTCCAATTAACCCTGTTACGATCCTTCAATTTTCATATTTCAATCTTGTTCAGATCTTAGTAAACAAGAAGCAAGTTTTTGGAAAACTTGAAACATAAGTCGTGCATATCAATAACATTTCTTTCGTATTTTGTTCCAACAAAAGATATTTATTATCGTTGAAACAGTAGCAGTTGGGTCGAAAATAATCGAAGAAACGTAACAGGATTAAACGAATCGCGAATATAACGAATATAAAGTAATGGAAAAGTAAAAAATTAAAAAGTAATAGATTGAAATTTAACAATAACTTTTAATTAGCTTAGCAATTTATAGTAAAATAGATAGAAAAACTGTTTCTGTAATAAAATTTCAGTCAAAAGTATTGGGAAAGAAAAATATAAAATTGAAAACTTTCACGTGACTAAATAATACATGTGTACACAGACTAACAATTTCTAATACATTATTTTTAATGCATGGCAATTTATAATATCTCTAGTATAATTTAAATTTTTTCTTATTTTATGATGTAAAATCAAATTGCTTTAGAATGATTTGTAAGAATTTTACGCTCGCTACAATTTGGACCAAAATCCCGAAACCCCAAAGTTGCATGTTCTCCTTTTTTTTTTAATGTTGCCTAACATTTGTTACACGTAACTTTCCATATTGGTCAAGCTAGCTTTTTCCTAACCAGTCAACCGTAGATTTTATCAAGTAGAAACGCTTTCAAACTCCGCTTCACGAAATGTTCTTACCTTTATCTAAACTAACGATAACAGTCGAAACTGTGCTTTCTTTCATTGAAATTATCCAAACTTATACAGCAGTATAAGTAGAACTCTTCATATCCCATTATTTAAACACTCTAATTCGAACATTTCTATTTGAACAAAATACTCATTACTAATGAATGCTTTTTATATATCTTAATAAATATGATATATAATATATGATATTAAACGATTAAAAAATACTTGGTGTATTTTTCATAATTGTGGAAAGATGTGTTTCTATTTCTGTATGTACATGATATATAATATATAGAATAAAATACTGTAAATCGAAATAAACGGTTGTAAAAGATAAAAATCGGTTGTAAAAGTATTTACTTCGCAAAGAGGTAACTAATAACGATATCTAATAATTTGCAGTATTTACTATTGCTTAATCAAGTTTAAATACGTTCATTACAAACCAAAAAAAAAAAAAAAAAAAACAGAATGACGCGATTCGTATATACAGTTGAGTAAGAATTTGCATCTTACCTAATATGTAATAAATTCAATGAAGATTACAGAGAGAAAAATATTTTGACTTTTTTGACCACGCGTGTAAAAAAATTCGCACAAACAGAGATTATTTACTATATATAAAAAATACCCGCATTTCAATTTCAATTTAAGTTCAGATTAGAATTCATTAGAGGAAGAAAGAAATTAAGAGGAAATGAAGGAATCCCAGTGTCCCTGTTGGATCCTTTTACGTTCGCGACGTTCATGCGATGCCTTCCCTTGCCCGCGAATAATCAATCCGATAAATATTCAACCAGAAGTGTCCGACGATCATAGAATAAATCGTATAAATGATACATCCTTGCTTGGTCCCCATTAAGGAACTGCTTGCGCGCGAACGCTTGGTGCATTGACCGGAGTTAACAACACCAGCAACAACCGCAAATCGGCCTGTAGACCGGTGGCTCCACTACTCACGTACGAATACCGTAATACGCGTAATTTCTGTCCATCGCTAGTTGGATCTCGCTAGGCCACCGATTTCTATTTCTCACATGATTAGTGGAAAAAAAAAAAGGAAAAAAAGAAAGAGAGAGCAAAAGAACCGGTCCAGTGCGTGCAGCAATGATTACAACGGAACGTGTACGAGTGTTTAGGAAATGGGGAATGTGTTTGAATATGTAGCGCAAAGTGCAGTTAGTGTTGAAAGACCCAATTAAATCTGGCGAATGAAGAAACATTGTACACTCTGTCTCGTAACACCGGTGATGAAGATTGTGTGTAGTGTCATCATCGTTTGCAACATTTTGGGCTGATTGGAGGAACAGGTTTTTAAACAATTTTAATTTGTTTTTCAACTCAACGGTGAGTTCAATTCTGGCGTGTGATCTTTCCGATCTAATTGTAGTTTGCAATATGTAACTGTAAAGTGCAGTTGGTATCAAAAGAATCAAATAAATCCGGGAAGTGAAGAAATTATTGCACACTGCCAATTAAATCTGGCGAATGAAGGAATATTGCACACATCGTGTCATAACTCCGTCGATGAATGTCCAGTTTGCATAATGTTATTCACGTTTGCGGGTTAAATATTTGGAAGAACAGATTCTCAAAAAATTTTAACTTGGTGGGAAAGATTCTTAAGTAACTTTTGTCTCTTAGAGTGGATTTTAGCTTTAAATTATAGTCGTGACTTTTCGACATAATTATAGCATAAAGTGCAATTAATGTTGAAAGGATTAAATTCGAGAAATGAAGAAATGTTACATACTTCCTGTCGTAGTTCTTTTGTAATTGTCCAGTTTGTGTCGTATCATTATTTTTTACGTTGTTTGGAAATTATTGACAAGAACAGTTTTTCAAATAATTATCATTTTTTTCTTAGATGGATTTAATTTTAGTATTTTTTTTTTAGTCAGTCATTATGATTTTACAATATTTTTGAATATGTTGCGTAAAGTGCATTTAATGTTAAATGTTAGAAAAACTAATTAAACCAGTAGAATAAAAAAATATTGTATATTCCATGTCATGACTCTTTTGATGAACGTTTAGTTTCTATAATGTTATTATTTTTTACAACAGTGTGGTCTACATATTCGGAAAGACAGGTCCTTCAATAATTTTAATTCGTTTCTTATAATAGACTTTATTCTGTTGTGTTTTTCAAGCCAGCCATAACTTTTCGTAACTTTTTCGTGAATGTTTGTGTGCTATCATTATTTTTTGCAACAGTTTGGACTAAATATTTAGACAAACAGATTCTTAAATGATTTTAATTTGTATCTTAGTCTATATTTTGCTGTCGTTAATAAATGAAAAGCAAAGAGACAATTTAAATTGTGTTAAATTGTATTTATTTATTGGAAGAGAATGTAAGGTTCCAAACTGAAAAGTGCAAAAGTTTTACTATGAATAGTAATTAATTATAAACTTATAGCACGTTTGAAAAAAATCGCTTGATTTTGATTGATTTTTGTAAAATAACTGCAACTACTTTCGTAAAATAACTTCAAAATAATCAATTGTTGTTAATTTTCTTTTAGACATTTTCCGAGATATTACATGTCTTTTCGCTAAAACAAGACTATGATATAAACATGAAAATAAAAATTCAGAAATTGCAGGAGTTTTAAATTAAAAACAATCTTTTGTCTTTCAAGGATATAAATGCATTTACCAGAATGGGTCACCATAATATACGATCTTCTAATTTTTACGGGGATGACGCTTATTTACATAAGCGAAGCTATTATTTTGACATTTATTCCGCGACGTTATCGCTCGAAGTCTATAAAAGGTGAAATTGCCTTAATAACGGGAGGTGCGGGAGGAATTGGACGATTGATTGCGATTAAATTGGCGAATCTTGGAGCACACGTTGTTATCTGGGATATTAATAAGATTGGCAAGTAAAATATTGTAATATACTGTAATGTTAAATATGTGAAATACTGTAATATTAAAACAAAAAAAGAAAAGATTAATTATTCACGTCTTCGTGAACTTTCAGGGTTAAATGACACAGTGCAAGAGATTAGACGCAATGGAGGAAAATGTTGGGGTTACTATTGCGACATCACCAACAGGGAAGAAATTTACAAAATAGCAAAGATAGTTCAGATTGAAGTTGGATCGGTAAGCAAAATTTTTAAATAAATAACACTAGAACTAACCAAGGAGAGAATAACCAATTAGAATCGTAATTTTTGTATAGAAATTTTATAGATTTACAATGATGAATTTTTAAAGAAAGAGAAATCTTTGTGTTCTCAAAGATTTTTTTCTATTCCATGCAGTTTAATTTTTCTAATAAAAGTTTTGTACAATATATCAATTGTCGATAGTTCTACTAATAATAGATAATAAACAATAAACTACAACTGATCTACTATGATTTAGGTAACGCTGTTGGTAAATAATGCTGGTTATGTGTATGGAAAAACGCTTTGGGAATTACCGGATGACGAGATCGTGCGTACTTATAGAGTGAACATTTTATCCCACTATTGGGTAAGTGAATAATGCTGAATGAGAAAATAATATTAATTTAACCAGTATTTTACATTTAATAGATTACCAAAGCATTTATGAGGGATATGATGAAAAATAATCACGGTCATATTGTAACTGTGGCAAGTGTGGCTGGATTGCTAGGCACTTACAATTGTACTGATTATTCGGCGACTAAATTTGCGGCTATCGGTTACCACGAAAGTCTATTCACCGAACTTAAAGTAGGAAAAATTATCTTACAATTTTTTTATTAATTGTGTTTTTACAACGATATAGAAATATATGAAACTTTTGCAATATTCCTAGGCTCACAATTACAATGGAATTCACGCCACTTTAGTTTGCCCCTATTTTATCAATACCGGTATGTTTCATGGAGTAAAACCAAGGTACGTAATAGCCTCTATAAAATCTTAATCTTCAGAGTGATTTAGAAATGTATAACAAATGTATGATTTATAGATTAATGCCAATGTTAGAACCTGAGTATGTTGCACAAGAAATTGTATCTGGTATATTAGTAAATCAAGTAATTGTTGTACTGCCTGGATCAGTTAGATATCTTCTACCATTGAAATGGTAAATTATATGATTTTTTTTTATATACTTAAATTTGTGAAACAAATAATCTATAATGTTTTATTTTTAACAGCTTGTTACCAGCAAAATTATGCTGGGCATTGATGTATCATATCATACAAGGACCTCAATCTATGATGATGTTTAAAGGAAGAGGGGAAGAACAAGCACTAAAGAATAACAATAACGTAACAATAACACCCAAAGGAACTGTACATTAATATGTAGTAATTCGATAATGTTTGATTAAGTAAAGATAGGTGCGATATTAACATTATTCATAAATTCATATTAAGTATGAATGTATTTATTTGTAAATTATTTTTGGTAACTTCTTTTATTCTTTTAACATCACATATATGATAATATATGTGAAAAATTTCACAATAAATCGTAAAAGTAATGTAATCCCTGACCAAGTTCCCAAATAGATATACCTGTACCCAACTCTGCTGCAAGATCTAATCTATGTAAAATAGAATATAACGTGGGATAAAAGACAATTCCACTGCCCCCTGATGACCTGAAATACATCCTCAAATTTCATTCTAGACTAAAACAGTTTCACTTAAACTATAAATTCTCTTATCATCCTGTATCTTACTTTGATTCAAAAAAATGTTCTTTGCTATTATCATCCCACTGAATTTTTCCTTTGAAGGATTCAAGAATTTTCAAATAATCTGAACCTAAGATGGCTCCACCACCTTCAGGTGTGTAATTATACCCATAAAAATTAAGACCTAACAATATTTGAGCCCTTTTAGGACTTTTCTCAGGTACTAATAATTCTACACATTCTTTTGCCCAATCAAGTGGACTATTAGGACCAGGTCTTTGAATGCTCGAATAGTCATAAGTCATTAAAGAAAATGCTTTTATATATGACGATAATTGATCAAATTGATCTCTGTTAAATAATTGAACATTTGGGCTGAAAAGTTGAAGAAGAAATAACATATGTTATTTACTAAATAAATAACTTTCTTCATATTCCTTCTTATGATTCCTTGTGTCTTTGGGACTTAAATATCTTCCAATCTAGTTAAAGATAATAAGACAGGACTTACCCTCTTGAAGGTGGCACTGCTAAAATTATATCCAAGTTGTTGTTCTTCAATTGCTGAGCAATAAGTTGAATCAATGACACAACAATTTGTGTATCCACACCTGTTAATACAAACTGATTCCATATTTCCAATACATATCCATCAAAATGAAAATTCTGAAACATTGTACCACAATTGTTACACAATATTGTTTAATGTATTACATATATTTGAGTACCTATTACATATTTATGAGTACCTTTGCAGTATCTACAAGTGCTGAAATCAGCGCAATTTGTTTATCTGTATCATCATATAATCCAACAATATCATTGATTGACCAATGTTCAAATAACACTCTTGGTAAAACTACAAGTGATAAATACATATTTATATAAATTTACTCACAAGAAACAATCAATATTACATTGGAAAATTAACATACTTTTTACACTATGGTTCTCATTATTTGCTGTTCTCATTTCCTTTAACCATTTTTTCTGAACATCATGAGTTGACAGTTTGTATGTTGATGCATTGCTTTCTGGAAATGCCAACCATACTGGCGATACCATTGTAAATTTTCCATGAAATATTTTAGAAATTTCAAGTCCATTGCTATTCCACTGAAAGAAGTATTTTATCATTATTTCTGTATCACTTTGTCATTCTGTCTTATTCCAAGATTTATGCATATATGTAAAGTATACTGTATTTATTAAAATAAACATACTATATAAAGTGCCATAAAGTATACCATATCATAGTAATAAGTACAAACATAAGTAGTAAACATACATGTATCATAAAAAGTAACAAATTTACCGGTGTGATATATCCTAGCACGTCTCCTGTAAACCGTTTACGAGTTGTATTAAAGAAATAAAATCTTGATTCTCGAATAATATCATGTGTCTTAGGATTTTTTACCACCAACATTCTGCTAAAAACATCTTGTTCTACGGGACCTTTCTACATAATCGCAACATGTATGAAAATAAACTTAAATACATATACTATGTAATCGTAAACAAATTTATGATACAATTGTTTCTACCTTGATTTCAATCTTTCCTTTAGTTTTCTTATTGTTTCTGTCTTTGGGTGGTGACAGGGTACATTCTGATAGCTGAATGAATAACAATGCACTAATTATTAATATACAAATATTCATAATAATTAACTATTTTTAGTACGAACTTATCGAATGCACAAATCAATCAAATATGAATGATACGTATGGTATCATTTAAAGGATTTTATTGATGTCGTTAATAGAATGCGCTGCTGTCGATCTACCGCACATATCACATGTATATATGCACATACACGGCTTGTGAAATAATTTGAATAAAATTATATAATAAATATTACACGTATATATGATAGAGAATCCTTTGATAAATAGATAGATTCATGTATTGATATCAAATTTTTATCAATTGTTAAACTTTATATTTATTTTATGAGTTTTGATATAAGACTTTTTTAAACTAAGATAGTAACAGTTACTTTTTTTTATTAAATAAGAATAGGTTTCCATGGAATGATTGTTCAATGTATAACAAATAGAAAGAAATAAAAATAAAAATAATTGGAAATTGCTTTGATACTTTTTTAATTATTTTTTTTAAGCTGTATTTTACCACGTGATTAGGTCACATGATATATGTTTTGATGTAATATGGCGCCTTTAACTATCACAGCGCAATAAAATTTCTAGAAGGATGTTACCTTTATTTTAAATGTAGAACTTGAAACTCAACACAGAATGCCAGTAGATATAAATCGATTAACGGAAGGTTGGCTAGAATTGGAAAGTGACCCAGGTATAAAATAATAGCCACAACAGTATGTCAGTATGTTAGTTTTAATAACTATTAACATTATATTATTTGCGTGTATGCATTATCAGATTACAGTAGTTTGTTTTGACGTGGTACTGTAATTCATGATATAAATATAAAATTGTATGTACAATATAATTTTGGTTGAAATATCATTTCATCATTTTGTTATATTTGTATACAGTCAATATATGTATAATGTATTTTAACTTTATCACAATTAATGAAAACATATTTTTGCTATTTCGTTAGACATTTAGGTTAGAAAACCTATTTATATTGTTAGGTAATAACATATTTATATTGTTAGAAAACATATTTATATTGATAAGTATTTTATATTGTTAGGTCTATTTACGTTGCTACTGGAGGATTTTGGAGTAAAAGGCGTACAAGTAGAAGAAATATACGATTTGCAAAAATCATTGGAGGGTCCAGTGTATGGTTTTATATTCCTGTTCCGTTGGATAGAGGAAAGGAGATCTAGACGTAAAGTTGTCGAACAAGATGAAAGTTTTGTGAAAGATGAGGAAATTGTTAACAATATATTTTTTGCACAACAGGTACAATAACTTTCATACATATACTTTGCACATATTTTGCATACACATACAATATTCACATTCGAGAATTTGTTTCTGACTAACCTATTATTTTGTAGGTTGTGCCCAACAGTTGCGCAACACATGCGCTGCTCTCTGTATTACTTAATTGTCCAAATATTCATCTGGGAACAACTTTATCCAGATTGAAAATGCATACATCTGGTATGTGTCCAGAAAATAAAGGATGGGCAATTGGTAATACACCTGAACTGGCTTGCGCTCATAATTCTCATGCAATGCCTCAAGCCAAAAGACGACAAGATAAAAATACTGGAGTTTCAACTGGTAGGTTTACTGGAGAAGCCTTTCATTTTGTTAGTTATGTACCAATTAATGGCAGACTATTTGAATTGGATGGTTTGAAACCATACCCTATGGATCATGGTCCGTGGAAAGAACACGAAGAGTGGACTGAACAATTTAGAAGAGTAATAACAGATCGTTTAGGGATGGCAACAGGAGAGCAATTGCAAGATATAAGATTTAATTTAATGGCTGTTGTTCCTGATCGAAGACTTGCTATATCACATAAATTAACTATGTTAAAAACTAATAGACAAATAGTGTTAGAGGCATTGCAACAACTTGTTAAACTAAGTCATCAAGATGGAACAGAGAAAAATTCAAATGATTCGGAGAAATCAGATAAGTCCTCTGAAAAGAAAACCAAAACTGAGGAGGAAAATGTCTTGTCTAGCAAATCAGAAATTGATGAATCTTCATCAGTACCAGCTATTACAGTTGAAAGAAACAGTGATTCTACCACAGATACCGAGGAACCAGCTTCGAGTATAACTTCTGGAAAGACGGAATCAAAGTAGGTAAAGTTAGTAATTAGATAACATTCGTATTTAACTTCATTTTATTTTTCAAGCGAAATGATATAATATTGTATATAAATGTTTCAGTGGTATGGAGAAAGTAGTAATGTGTGCACTAGATTATGCTACTCCTCTTAGAATTCAAACTTCACCAGCACATAGCTCGTCTAGTACTGACACATCTTCCGAAATTGGATCTGCATTTAATTCTCCAACACAAGGTAAGTAAAAGGCGATTTTATATTAGTTTGTTGCAAAGACGTTTTGTTGTACAAACTTTCTTAACTTGACAAAATATTAAACCATTTGGACATGTCATTCTTATGGATTTGATTTGTGAATTATCTGGAGAAGAATGACAAATATAGTAACGCGATTCAGATGTAGGATCTTTCGTTTTTCCATGTTCCATACATATATTTTCATTTGACACATTTGTTTCAAATATATTGTCTATACTTCCGAGTGAATTTGCGTTTGCATTATTTTTGTTTTCTATACACTTATTATAACTTTCTGCATCACATGTTCTTGCAAATCTGTTAAATGCTGTGAACAATGGACATGAATATTCTATTACAGAAGCTATTACAGGTTCGCATATATAATACCTAGTACAATCAGTAATATTTGGCATCCGAGTACTTTTTATACATGGAATAAGTTGAATATATTGTGAATCCAGTCGATAACCCAATGATTTATACCTTTCAATAGTCAAGTACTGTCTGTTTCCAACATGATCGGTAATTAGAATTATATTGTTTTTATCTCCCATGTTATCAAATACCGAGGAGTTTTTTGAATTTTTATTTGATACTGGTTCAATAATATCATCTTTTACATTATTTTCAGAGGTATTTTGTAATTTCACATCGGTTATAATGGTATTTTGTAAATTATTGTTTTGTTGAATGTAGTTCTGTACAAGATAATTGGCTAATGGTAAATTTGTAACAAGGCCAGGAGATGTGGATAATGATGATGATGCTAAAAATTCCAATGGAATAGTAATTTTTTTGTAAAGCAATAGATGGTGTATTAATTGATTCAACATTGAATAGTATTTTTTATTATCACTTTGCGTTTGCAGATAATCATTATCTTTAATAATTTCAGAAGCGTTTAAATTATACTTATGTTCCATTGTTTCTGCAATTTCAATCAAAGGATATGGTGTCGCCGTTTCCTGATAATCAGGAATGTTGTCAGTAGTATATGATGAATCAACAAATTCGGAAAGATTCCATGGATCTTCCGTTAATCCCATGTAACTAGTTTCATTTGGATTGATCAATTCAGGAACATCGTATTTGTTCGTTATAATAGACGATTCTGTCGATAGCGTGTCGCATTCCCAAGAATCACCAGGAAGAACACATATTCTTAAGTACGGTTGGAATATCTAACAATAGAAATATGTTCTAAATTTCTGAAAATCATAGCCACGTGTCTGCTAACTATGTTAGCACAATAATGATCTTACCAGGCCTTCGGTACATTTACTGGGTACCCAAACGTAACCGCCACCGGGCAAATTCACGCAATTATAAAATATAGTGCAACTAGTAGAATGAGGTTTCCTTGATTCCGGACACTTGGATGATTCGATCGTAATCAGAATGGAACAGAAAACAAAAATTAGCTGTTTCATTTCGTTGTAGCGTCGCGCGTGCTGTTATATGGCAGACTAAAATTCTTGTAGTTCGGTTGCTGGTATTATGTGACTTTCGCACATTCCCCCGTATTTCGTCTGCTTTGACACCTTTGAGGTACAGTTATTTGACCTATCCTTCCTGAACATTTTCGCAATGTTTCCTGTTTTACGATCGCGATCAGTGATGGAATACGGTTCTTTTGTAACAAATAAATTTCTTGGTTTGTAGCATGGGGATGGAATTCTGGGCAAAGCAGTCCAACATCGACGAAAGATTTCAAAAAGTTCGTCGTAATTAGAGTGTCCGGGGATGAAAAGAACGAAGCTGGTTTAAGTACGTGTATAGCCTATTGTTTCTTTATGTTTTCTTAGTGTAGAAAGAGAACTTCTTATACCGAATGATAGCAATACATAAAATCTATGTCCATAAGTAGGTCGTTCTCTTGGGAACATTAATATAAATGGGAAAAGATTAGTGTCCGACAGCGGACACTTACATAAGAAAGTTTGTTTGTCGGGAGAAGTTAGAATACCTCACGCCAGAGTAAAGACTAGTAACGGGGACACCGTTACCGAAGAGAAGAAAGTCGAAAAAATCGATCCAAAATTATGTTCGAAATATCCGGAATTATTCGAACCTCATACGTTTGCACCCAAAGATCTTCTAGCATTGTTGAAGAATTTAGAACACGAAATTAGTATCTGCGAGACTAGCTTGAAAGATGAAAACGACAAAAGAAACAAGTACAAGGTAAATATACTTCGGAATACTTATTTATATTAAAGTTGAACACAGAGATAGTATAAGACCATTTTGTTCTTCGTTTCAGATTGACGATTGTCGTAGAACGCATAACTACGACGAGTTTATCTGTACTTTCCTTTCGATGCTTGCTCAACAAGGCAAATTAGCGGAATTGGTCCAACAACACTTGACCTTAAAGAAACACACTTCCGTGTCAGTGAACAGAGTTCATAGGTAAGGAATTTTATTACAATTTCAATTAATGTGATGGATCGTTTGATTAAGGAATTATTTATAGATCGTCAAAGAAGACTGACACTCGTCCAAACTCATCGCGCAGACGTCGCGGTAGAACCAAGTGTAAAAAACGAAAATAATCTTCATAATTGAATTGAAATGATAATAATGAAGCTGTTGCCGGATCTATTGAAATGCTAATTAAAAAGTTTTGGAATCGTCGGGGGCGCCCAATTTCAGGACGACAACAAGCGTGTAATGTAATTATACGATTGTTGAAACAAAATGCAGCGTGGGTTGTATCACTCTTTACAACATTTATCTACGCAGAATCGACAGCGCCGAACTATTCGTACTTTGTGGTACTTCTTTTACTTTCTTACGTAAATGTCTTGTAGACAATCGTAAATTTGTAGCAGTCAGCAGTGCTGGCTACAATTTTTATCCTTTTGTTATTTAAAATTTATCTCTGCATGATTTAGAAGTTATGCTTTACAATTGTACAAATTAACTTTATGATGTATTTTTTTCATATTAATGTGTGGTTTTTATCGTTATGTTATATTCATAGATACTATGAATCTATCATGTACTTTTTTGAGTATATTTTGAGTATATTTTATCTCTACATTTATTGTTTCATATATGAAATATATGGTTTCATAGATACACTGTTCTTTATTTCGCGCCATGAATTATACTCGTCTTAAATTGCTGTTTTAGTGAGAGGATTAGGAACGATGACGAAGAGAAAAGTCACGAGTATTGTCAAAAACATTGAAAATATTTATTTCGGTATTCATATACAAGTACACTACACGCTGTGGATATGTCCCTTAGATCTAAATACTTATATCTCCGTACAGCCGGAGAAAGAAGGATCAAAACTCGTCTTGGAATCATGTTTAATCGTGGACAACGGCCGACCGTGTCTCTAAGTCGCTTTACCATACTGTATAGGAACTGTATTCGAAACGTCCTCAAAGAAGCTATTTCAAGGGTGCAAGTGTACAAGAGGAGATAACGGTAGTTTAATAAAATTGTTATTAGTTCCTTCTCCGGCCGATGCTCGTTAACGCCTTCGATATTTGCGCCATAGTTTCATCGGCACGAGTAGCGTGCTTTTTGGCAAAAGAAGAAAAAAAAAAAAGATAAGAAAGGTGCAATTATGTACAAATATATCGATTCATGGTCGCCGTATTCGAAGGTAACATTCTCGTGGGCAAGTAATCGTGAGATAAAAGATTATTTGGAATTTGCGAGTAAGAACGACCTTGCGACGATCACCACATTTGTGAACGCATGATTCGCGTGGCATCCTCTCTGCAATCACTAACGTGACCGATCGCGAATTAACACATTCGATATTTACAAAGTACACGGGTTCCTCTCTTTCTTGAAATATTGTTTCGTCTCTTTTTCTTTCTCTCAATAAACGTGCTTTCCACGTCGAGCTGTTGAAAAATTTGCAATTTCACAGAGGGCTGCGGGATAGAACGTACAGCTTCGTTATTATAGGCACTCGTGGTATGTTACAGTAGATCAACTGCAGAACGGTATACATCGTGTGTGACTATCGAGCCGTTGGTACTTGTGTGTTCCAAGTTTGCGTAGTAGTGAATTAAGAAGAAACAGAAAAAAAAGAGAAGAAGAGAAAAAGAAATTATATTTACATTGATACGATATAAATGAGCACGCTCGCCCGACAAGTAATAAAAGAGATATATTAAAATCGTACACACTTCGGTCTCACTACTCGACGTGTGATTTTCATAATGACTCTCTTTCACTCTGAGCAAAACTGCGAAACGTTTGAATGGCGGCAGTAAAAAAAAAAAAAAAAAAACAAAAAAAAGGAAGAAAAGAAAAACTAATATTCATTGAACATCGTTGTCGGCGATTTTTCGCAGAAAATTATCAACAATAATCGTACAAACATGCCGTATAAAATATAGAAAATTCACGCGAGGAAAATAACGTAAAAAATACAAACAAGTGAAAAAGGGAAAAGTAAGGGAAAAAGGGAAGGCGTATAGAAACGTGGGGAGGATGAAGGGAAATAGATACGAGATCCTTCCACGAATAACGCCGATCACGATTAATACAGTCTTGTGATGTGTCTTAAAAATCTTAAGAAACACGCGTATGCCGCAGATCCGTAAACATTGATTTCGATCTGCTCAGAGATGTGTTCGAATTATAATCGGAGCTATTGTCATTCTGAGCCTCCAATCCATGATAATTTCTCCGACATTGTGAACGCCACAGAAAGTAGTGCGATCGCCGCGTCCAATATTTAAATAACACGCTATATCGTTCATTCGTCTCGATTGATTTATCGTTGGCGCAGTTGTTTCCCGCGATATATATACGAAACCACGTAAAAGAAAAAAGAACCAGTATTTAAGTAAAAATTACGTATCGTGATCCGTTAATACTAAGGTTTGCCTTTTTCTAGTCGAAACACTGATTCTTACGTGGTTTCGCGTACGAACGATTAATAATAAATAATGTTTTACAAATATATAATAGCTTCAGATTAATGTTGCCGTGACTTATCGTCGTACTGTGGCGCGGGAGGCGTCGAACGAACGCGCATTTCGAACGATTCGAGATTAACCTTCCCCACTTCAATAAATATTAATAAAAAAAAACATTCGTGACAAAGAATCGGCCGCGATCAATCGAGGCAATCCGTCGCTTTGGTTTTCGATCGTTATCGTCTTTGTCGTCGAATCGCAGAGCGATCGAAGGCGCGCGTTCGGTCGACGCTTCCGGCCAGTTTACCAGAAATTTCGAAAAGAGAAATCCCTTCAATTAGCGCGCGCTCTCAACAGCTTTCTCTCCTTTCTGGCGAAATTCGATTTCCTCGGTGCGGTAATCGATCAAATAAAGAATCGTGTTCCTGCCCTTTCATCGTCTACGACGCCAAAAGCGTTGCGCACGCGTGCATGCGCGCGAATAAACAGACACACACACACACACACACACACAGATCGTTCGTCTTATACTCTCACGATATCGAAAAATACGTTAATTTGAAAAAAAATATATATATATATGTATATACGTATATGTATATATGTATATTCCTTAGGTATGTGCACTATGTATACATTATGTAACACTTATAGGCTCGCTTAATACTTTGGATACCGCGCAGTTCCCGGTACCCGACGAATCCCGGTATGCTCCATCATTCGCTCCCGATGATTAGAGAGAAGAAAAAATATAAGAAAGAAAGGCTAGTCGGCCCCTCCCGTTTCCTGCTCGACTTCTCGTTTCTCGTGCCGGTTGCTCCTAACGATTGCACGAAGCACCAGCGAACAGCAAACATCCGAAACGTACACACACGCACTCTCTTTCACGTTTATACGTACATATATACACGTCTGGTCACGTTAATCGCTAATAACAAACGTATATAAAAAAAAAAAAAAAAGGCTAAAGAAAGAAGAAAATGTGAAATGATTTTAGAGGAGACGCGAGAAGAACATTGACAATGAGGTGAACGTGATCGATAAATGAAAAAGGCTGTCTGTAATGTTTCGGAAAAAAAAGAAAAAAGAAAAACGATCAATGTTTCCGAGGCGCAATTGACTTGCACGAATTGGGAACTGGCGTTATTTGCGGATCGAGTGGCAAGGTTGAGTCTCAAGGAGAGGGCATTAAGTAACGCGTTCGTTGCGAGACGTTGGACGAGGACGACAGAAGAATCGTCGGATAGGCAAATAAACCTGGAATCGAAGCCACGCGTTCGAACACTAATAAACACTTTGCCTCGCTCCTAGGAATCTGCCGCGGATTCGTGCCAATGTTGCGCCGCGCAAACATGGATCGGCACGAACGTGATGAACGATTCTTGGGAAAGAGAGAAGAGATCGCGAATCGATAATACATGGGTGTTATTGCTTTCGCTCGATAACGACATAAGGAGAGTTAAATCGTTAAGGATGACTGTGGCGGTAGTGAGATAGCCGGTTGCGCGACCAATTATCAATCGGAAAATAAATTTGTTGTTTCGTTTTTATCAAGAGAAAAATTGACGCGACTCTCGCCCAATCGGAAGATCTTCAAAGTCATTTGTTATTGTGATTTCTTTTTCATTTTACCACTCTTCACTTTATGTACATGTATATATGTATATAATGTAATTTGAATTTTCATTCGACGAGAATAAATAAACGAGTCTGAAGGTCTTCGAATTAACGAGATCGTTTCTTTCGCCCGTTAAGGACGATACGAATCGAATATCGAGTCTCCAAGTTATTCGAATCGTTGCTCGAGTTCAGCAGCAAACAAACGCTCGGCCGGATTAGCCGCTGCATGACCTTTCGAATCAGCAAATGAGTTCACTAGCGACAACAATGATAATAATAATTAAACGAAAGTAGCCTAAGAAAGTCTTACAGTATAAATTACTTACAACCTAGAGATGATGTCGCATCTTTCTTATCGTCTAACTCATCGTTACGATGACCGCGGGACATTTGAAAGGAGTCCCATTTTGGCAAACGGGGCACCCCAAGAACAAAAGAAGAAAAGAAAAGAAAAGAAACAGAAAAAGACGCACCCGATTCGACCGATTCTCGCACTCGATCGACTAAAATCAAATAACCTTCGTCTCCCGAATCAAAGCAGTTCATCTTTCTACACGTTTCATCTAGTCGATCTCTCTAGCCGTTGTCTGAAAAAACCGTGTGTGATTTGTTTCGCGCGTTTCGTTGGTCGATACCAGAGTACAATATGCGCGGATCCAATACTGCAAAGTCGGTCGTAGTCCCGTTTCTACTCAAACGTACACGTCCCTCTGTTCGTAACCAGCCTTCGCTCTCACTCTTTGCCAATTTATTACGAAAGAACGAAATCAAGCGACGATCACCCGACAGCTATTTCCTTCTACCAACTAACAACCATCGTCACAATCGTTGGAACGTTCGCGCGCGTGATCAGCCATCGAGGGGTCTTTCTATTTCTTGCCTGCCCCGTACACGATGCGCCACGGTGAGAAATCGTCGCGTTGATCACCGTCGCGTTTAACCTGATACAGCTCGAGGAGTAAAGTGTTGAAGAGTAGAAGTTCCGAAAAAGCCAAGACAAGGGGTGGATGGTCTCTTTTCACGGGCCGTTGATACTGGCGTTCGTTGACAACGAGTGTCCCGTAACCAGATTGGTCTCCGTCGGCTTGCCGATGCGTAGTATCGACTGCAGGGAGGCAACTTCCGATGCGAGACGATCCAACCTGGATTTCACTTCCCTCTCGCTCTCAGGAACGGTGGACACGCTCGGGCCTGTCCATTCGGCACCCAGGGAAATGCCCGAGTCACGCTCGTCGCTGGAACCTTCGTTGTCCCACGGCGGTGACGCCCTTGGTCCAGGCTCTTGCTTGATACCCTGAAGCGCGAGTAGCGCGCTGGCCGCGTCTTTGTCGCCGATGCGCGACTTGTGCCTCAGCTTGTGAGGAAGACTGTTGTTAGCCGCTGGATTTTGCGAGCTGACCACCAACTGCGGCCCTTCGTCACCGCTTCCGGATGACAGTTCAAACGGTGACTGAGCGCGTCGACCACGAGATAAGTTCAGGGCGCTCGTCGTGTCGAGATGCATCGCCGGATGAGGATAAGGATACTGGAAGCTTTCCGCCTCAGGATACGAGGTCGTTTCGGCGACGTACAGCTGCGCCGGCGACCTGGGCGATCGTGCACCACTGACTGGCTGGTGGATCACCGAGGTGTGCACAGGACTCGGTGTTCTTGCGTAGAGGAGAGCCGCCGAGGGTGGGAGTTTCGCCCTTTTCACGATAGGCGGGTCAGCGGGTAGGGCCGCAAGCACGTGTTCCGTGCTGATTACGGACTCGCCGCATATACCGAACTTATCCCTAATCGCCTCGAGTTGCGCCTTCAGGATGTGGTTCTCCTTGCTCAACTCCATGACTCGTTGCTCGAGCACCATGTCGTTGAAACGCCTTTTCTCTCGCGACCGTTTGGCTGCCTCGTTGTTGCGTCTCCTGCGGTCCCAGTAGCTGTCGTCCTTCTTGTTGTCCGGAATGAACTCCCGTTGCTTGCGCTGAGAAAATAGCTCTTTTCTGATGTCGAAGTTCGGGGGGAAATTTTCTGGGTGTGTCACCTGTTGAGCGTCGTGATGGTGATGCTGTTGCTGCTGCTGCTGCTGTTGCTGCTGCTGCGTCTGTTGCTGCTGCGGCTGATGGTGGTGGTGATGTTGCGGCGGTTGCTGCTGCGGCGGCGGCGGCTGATGTTGAGGCTGATGCTGGTGTTGCTGTTGCTGCTGCAAAGTCAGCGGGGCACCGTGGTGCGCCGGATGGGTCAATGGTGGCAACGGTCCATGGGCGTCGTGGCCACCGTGAGCACCGTGACCGGCGTGCGCCATTGTGTGGGTGGCCGGCATGTTGCTGTTCAAACACGCGGTCTCACCATTGATAGGCGATCCACTCTGACGGGCGACAATTTCTGCCACCATAATTTGTCTTCTTAGTACATCTGCAAATGGAAAAACAAATGGAAATTAGCCGAGTAGACTGGCAAAAACCGGTGCAGGACTACCGTTGCGTGTTTGCAACAATGTGAATGCAATTTGATGTGGAACGCGCGCGAGCTAATCTCGCGGAATTAATAAGATCATATATTACGTCGGTGGTTAAAGTGTCAAATAGCAAGGAGAACGATTCTCGAGTCAACACACGGAACGAGTTTATTAACGGCGGTGATGAAAGTAGCGCTACGTGCCAAACGATCGCGATGACGAAGAACGGTAGCTTAGTGGCATGACAGCCTAGACACGTAAAATGTGGATAGATCAGAATGCGAGTGTATTTAATGATTGTTTCGTGATTCAGCGCTTCTCATATTTGACTTTTTTTTTTTCATCACTCGTGGAACGGAAATGTTCCGAAAATGGTAAATAAGTTGCAGCCGCGAACGCGTTCTACTCTTTTGGACACAAGGTCCTTCCAGTTTTCCACTGGAACGTTTATCAATCCAGAGTGACGCAAAGCGCAAAGTGGCCTGGGTAACGCATTTGCAATCCTAACCACGTACGAAATGTAGTCCTTGTGCGGTACTGTCACGCAACAGTCGAGTGACGGAACATTACGAAAGAAGGTCGCGCGATACGGAATCAGGAAGAAGGAAAACAATCTCGAGAGATTTCTATCGATAGTTGACCTCCTATGCCGTCGTTCTTTTTTTTCTTTCTCTGCCGTTGATCGTTGATTACACACGGTGTTTCAGATTACGACCCATACCGATCGCCGCCTACCTTTCCGGAGGAACTTCTTCGATTCGATCGACCGCGATCCGCGACGTGACTCAATGTAATCATTCCTTTCTCGTGACACAGCGAGTAATAACTATAACAGAATCCACGTTAGAACTGTAATCAAACCATCCTGGCTAATTCGATGACGCACACTTATGAAAATCGATCGTCACAGTTGATACAACTAGAAACAAAGTGCTTCGATAATAATTTCCTGGAACGATTGTTCATTCATTTAGCTAATCACCTATATCACGCGGCTGGGTCTGAACGTATAGCCAACGTGACTTGTTCTCGCTCGGGCTAATTAGCGTTGTATCAGTTAATTTAAATAAAAATATAGTTAGCTCGATTACTGACCAACTCGAACGATCTCAATCTATTACAAAGTAGATCTAGAGTGTTGCAGTTCTGATCTCTACTGCTTCTTATCTACAGAAGCAAATAGCATGAAAAAAAAAAAAAAATTCTGAAGGTTAGAGAACGGTTGCCAAGTAGCATAGTCACGCGCCATTAAGTGTACGTTCAAGGTGTACACTCTGTGTACATCAAGAATCCATTTGTATTCGGTGAGCGTGTGTCGAAGATCATTGCCTTAACGCCTGGTGAGCGTGTTAAATCGTTTATACAACGATTGCCAGCGGTGTGCAGCAGATACGCCCTGTGTATTTCGGGCCCTCGAGGACGATCGTTTTATCGAGCAGGCGTGGGCGTGGCGACAGGAGATCATGCTCAACAACAGGGAGAGTAAATCCGTCTCCGTAGAGTTTCATGACCGTTATACGAAAGAGTAGCACGGACCGGCCAAAGGTGAAGAATTCCGAAAGATCGAAGGACGTGCTCGTACTGCCAACAATACCGGTCCGGCCGCAATGCCGTGCGCAAGTCGCAAAATAGCCTTGGGTAAGGTCGGGCTGTTACCCAAGGTCGAAGATGTCAGTGAACTCGACGACGTTGCCAGTGATTCCACACAAACTTGTCCCTCCCTTTTGGGAAATTAGCTTCAAATTATTGAAAGTACAATCTCAAGTTTCAATAATTTGAAACTAATTTCCAAAATTTCGGCGCTCGCGCGAATATACTTTGATTTAACTTTTATTTAACATCGCAATCGTGTATCTGTATGTCGATTTCATATTTACGATTTACGTACGTATATGATTTCTTTTTTTTTTCTAAATTTGCAGATGATACTGTTGAATATGATGATACTGTCGTAATAAGTGACGAAATTCTTGCAACAATTTATGATACTGGAACGTTCATGATGTAATGATGACATGTATGTACTTGAGCTTCGCCCTGGGCTCGATTATGTAAGCATGCATGTGATCATTTCCGCAGATCATCATGTGCTCGAGTATTACGCGATTCTCGCGTAATGTGTTAATTGGGCGTGATAAACGTCCGGAGACCGATAACATTTGATTTAGTAACTTTGTCGTAATCTTCGTTCGGAGGAAAATAAAACTGTGGCTTCCGTGATAATCCACGACCTACAAACAGCAATCGAATCTATCCAATCGTTGATCATTTGCAATCTTTGCACATTAACAAACAATTCACACAATTACACATGTTTAAACACAATTCGGCATATGCTTCGGGGTAATTGAAATTAATATGTTTTTATATGCGCTCGTTAAAACGCTCATGTCGTTATCGTGTCGCGCCTGTTTGTCGCTGAAAAACGCGTGACTATTTAATTCAAGTTGTAGTTATGTAAGGAAGCACGTGTACCCGTGCGAAACCGTGCCACGTGCTGCAATGCTATCGGCCGTTTACGGATTGAATCGTGGAAACACTTATTTACTCAACCTTCAGCATCTGTATACGAAAACTATGTTTGGATTAGACAACGTGCTAGTTAAACGGAAATACAACATAAATTCCCTTCCTCGAATTATTATGCCTCTCGAGAACGCGCATCGGATGTCATTCGACGTGAAGTAGGGTTAGATTCTATTTCTACGAATTTATTACGAATACTTACATATAATATAAATTTCGAATATTTGCATATATTAGCGAATATAAATGTTCGTTGAGTTTAAATATTTATGTTCGGTATTGACGAATTAGTTTGTTTTCAAAAGAAAGGGTTTGAAATTTCGCGGTCATGGCGTCCGGTGTACGCGTACCTGCAATCTGCGCGCGCAGCTTCGATAGTCGAAATTTGAACGCATCACGCAGGAAAAATTTCGATAATCGAAGAAGCGTCAGTTCTTTTCGGGCAATTTCTAACGGTGGTCGTGGTACGGTGATTCTCCGAGAAAAAGAGTCGGAAAAGATGTACCCAATCGTTCGAGATATTTATATTTCGCGTACGGGAAGTACCGCGAGTGAAGTTCAATTTACCGTGTGCGTGTTTATTGCGTGGAATATAGAAACATAGAACAAGCATACATTTCCTCTGTCAACCATGACTAGGTGCAAGCGAATAGGTACGTGTCATTTTTCAATTATCACGCTTTCTTTGTTTTTCTAAACTCTTTTATGATCAGTTAAGGACGATTGGCATCTCATAAAGAAATAATGACATGTAAGGTATAATGAGCTTCACAACTCATGTCGAAAGCATATAAGGTATACAAAGTCTTAGCTTCGCAGATGCATCAATATAGACGTACATATCTCTCCCTCTGTATGATTAATCTCTTAAAGGGTTTTTATTAATACGTTATATTGGTTTAACCTCAATAGGAAGCGAAATACGCGTCTCGAGTAGGCTAGGGTATCGAACTTGAAACGAGACGGTAGAGGGGGGGGGGGGGGGGAAATGGCGCGACCGCGAGCTCGGAAAAGAGTAAGAGAGAAACCGAAACGGCAAGCTTGTGAATTAACCGTCGAAGCACGCGGGCAGAAAGTTACGTAAGGGTCTCGTTGCATCGTGTACGCGTGCGTTTCCTTCATCCACGTGCTATGCACGCTTGTTAGAAGTGAATGTCAGCCGCTTATATCGCGGAAGCCCCTTTACTATCCCCGATAAATATGTACATGAATCTCTTCTAATCACATACTTCTGGCCTCCATGAGAAACGTGCCTCCATGACCTCGCACGGTAACTGTTTTACAGTCAGTCGGGGCTGCCGCGTATCCTTCAATTTATCGATTACGAGTACGCGTACATACTTACACCTTAAATTATCTCTTCGTCGAGCACATCGCGTTTACGATTAGTTAGAAACTGACTCGCTCGATGCTTCTGGGAAACGCACTGGCTAGTAACGGCAGGGGGTAAGGTAATTGGAAGTTTCGCGCTTACCATTTGTGGACAATCTTTTCACGCTCCCCGCCAGAGGGCGGTGACAAACGCGGTTTCTACTGGAAAACGCGTTGCAGACTTCCATGCAATTATAGCGGTCACGCGTAAGTCGGTCGTCTATGGTTCGCGCGTATCGCGTTACATTTTCGCATCGACAACTTTGCAGTTCAACTTCGTTTTACTTAAACATCCCCGTTAGCGGGATTCTTATTTATATCTTCGTAATGATTTTCTTATTATTGTCGGAGCTCGTGCCATTAAATTCCTGTTCCGCTCATTCGTGGCGGAATTCCTTGAAAATCCGAATGCGAATATTTCTCGAAATCTCAGCTACCTCCGTTCCCAGCGTTCGTAATAGAACGCGGTGCGACGTGATGTTATTTCCCACTATCGAGATGTTAACAGTAACCGGGTACTATTCACAGACGTAACAGGAAAAAACAGGAAATGATTCTGCCAAAAATTAATAATCGCTGATTCAATCGCGAACCGCGAAGTATACTCGCGACGATTCCTTCCACGAATCCTGATGAGTGACTCAGCCTAGAATAGCATAGTGATGCGTAACTTTGCATTCAAGTCCCCCGTTCTTTAATAAGAATAGCGTTATCGAAGAATACAATATATCCTTGTTGAATTCGCGATAAAGAAACGTATCGTTTGATTTTTCCATTCGCGATTAACGCGAGTCGGTACGTGATTTGAAACGAAATGAAAAAAGAAAAATAAAATAAAATACGGCACTCGGCGCGTGATAAAGTATAATAATTGAAATCTTGGCGCTGCTCCTGTAAAACGACGAGGGAAGTGTGTCGAGACCCGGTGAATAGGTTCTTAATTTTCGTTGCAACGCCAAGAGGTGTACTAACCGTGACACGAAGCCCGCACGAAATTGAGCAATCACCTGGAATTTCGCTCGCGAACTTACACGTATAGACGGGTGCTCGCGTGACTCAC